CGTGTTAACAGATGTCGTACAAACTCTGGTACTCGGTCACCAATTAATAGAATTGTTAAAGCATATAATGATAACTTCTCTAATATCGATATATTTGCTACTAGACCATCATTATTCAAAAAGATGGTTGGTCAGAATTTGTCACATACCCATTTAACTTAATAGATGTTAATTTTTATTCTTAGTAATTCCTTTTTTTTTTATTTATTATTATTATTTTATTTTATTTCATTTTACGCTTTCTTATATTAATAGATAAGTTGCATTTTGAGTCGATATTTGTAACTTTGTATAAAATTCACCACTACTCTAGACAAATTTGCATGATTATATAGTTATTGTCTTAAGTAAACTGTGATTAACGTCGTTGGTGATACATTTATCTTTCATCTCATCACATATTGTATGTATATTTAATATTGTATTACTGTTTGTTAGTCCTAAATAAATAAAAAAAAAAAATCACAAGGCCTTAGTTTTGGCAGTCCTCTTCTCAAGATAGCCTCCTCTATATTTATTAAAGGGCAGGTTTACGTTGGACTCTCCAGAGTTAAAACCTTAGATGGAGTACGTCTTAACAATTTAGATCCAAGTCACGAGAGCTCTATTGTAGAGTACAACCATCTGAGGACGTTATACCGCCCCGATTTGCCCAAAAATTCCTGATACTGAATTGGCATTGCACTTGAACATTTAAAAGTTACAAGAAAATATAGAAAATAACACAAAAAAAAGACAATTATACCCCGTAAATATACGAAAATACAGTATTTATCAAAAATAATTTGGTATTAATTTAGTTATAAATAAGTACCTCGTATAATTTATGTACAAAAAGTAATGATATCCCATCAAAAACATAAATGTGAAATGATAGCCGAGTTTAATATTATGATATATGCCTTGATTGTTGACTTCTACGACAAAAGAGATGAGATCTAAATGGGTGCCAAGTTCAATGGTCTGTCCTGAAATGTATTTATAACAATATAAAATATCATTTCTTCTTATAACTTAGGATAATATACTGTAGCCTAAGGTCTAACTTGGCTAGTTTTCATATACGAAATATACTGTAGCCTTCGCAAGTTCTAAACATGTTACTTGTCGGTTCCTATTTTAATATTAATAGTAACTAGCAATCGAAAGTAATAATTGGTATATGAGAACTGGCCAAGTTAGACCTTAGGCTACAGTATATTATCCTAAGTTATAAGAAGAAATGATATTTTATATTGTTATAAATACATTTCAGGACAGACCATTGAACTTGGCACCCATTTAGATCTCATCTCTTTTGTCGTAGAAGTCAACAATCAAGGCATATATCATAATATTAAACTCGGCTATCATTTCACATTTATGTTTTTGATGGGATAATATTGACGTTAGTAATCTAAATTTTTCTAAGCAATTACAATACGTACGTCGTGGAAATTCCACATACTCGCACTGAGCGGATCGCGTCGACCTTTCTAATACGCACTGCCAAAGACTGGAACACACTTCCAGGTTTTGTGTTCCCGGAGAAATACAACCTGGATTCTACAAGTCTATGGTGAATAGATTTCTTTTGAGTACATCTTAGGTCTTGTCATCATTTACCATCAGATGAGTCAAGTTTCCAAACTGAATATTTGTAGTCTATGAGACTAACATGATAATTGTAAGGGAATTAAACAAAATAATATACATCCATTAAGTAGTGACATGACTTCCGCAAAATAACACCCAATTCGATGAAAATGAAAACAGATCTTACAAAGATCAGCTTTTCGGCTAAGTAATAGTGAGACAGATGTACCTAAGCAGACGAATGTACAAAGTCTACCTCTGATAAGGCTATAACTAAATTAATATTATCATTTAATGCCTATAATCGTTGATTCAGCCTAACTACAGTATTGTAATAATAATAGAAATAAATGCTGGGACACCTAGTAGAAGTGATACTTCAACGAACTCCCGTTGCCCTCTCTTTGTCGTCACCAGCATTTCTCTTTCTCTCACAACGCGATATATCGTTTACCACCTTCAATCGATGGTAACGCGTTTTCGTGACCGAATAATCCTAATACATCCCGTTAACGTAGAAGTTTCATTTCAACTGTAGACATAGCATCATCGAGTCCTAAGCTAAGCAGAGCTTGTGTTATGGGTACTGGACATGTCATATAAATGGTAACACATAAAGTGCTTTGTTTATAATGTCCAATTTCTTATTCATATACTATCTAAGGGACGATTAAACTTGAGTACAACCTTCACTTTAAACAGGGTGTTACACCAATACAAACAATCATATAATCAAATCATGAATAGAAATGTTTGCACCGTACAAGGAATCGAATCAGCAATCATCGGAAGTAAAGCGATGTGCTAAACTACTAAACCAAATTAGGCTTAAAAAATAGTTACCTACAAATATTTTCAAGTAACGATTATGTAGTTAAAGATATTTAAACCAACAAAATTGTTAAAATAACATCATTGCCTTGGCTTTATCCTATTATTTGTGGTCGGTGCAGTATGTCATCCTCTACCACTGACCTCTAGCGGCCGTCATAACTGAACATATTTTCCTTTTTTTCATATCATCTTTCACCATACCATCCTTCTCTTTTTCATCTGTTTTAGGGCGTCCTTTCCCTTCCCATCCATCCACTTCATATTATATACTTTTATATATACCTACTCTAATAACATGATAAACAAATACATTAGTTTATTTAAAAAAACCTGTTGTAATTAAGGTAAGTTTGTTGTAGATACCATAATTGTTATATGGTAAGTACTCTATGCAATAGCTTGTATCTGTAATCGGTTTTAGGAAGGAAAAATATAAAGAAAACTTTACCAAGTCGTCTATTTACCATGATTATAGTAGGGTAATGTTTTCCTCATATGAGGTGAGACTCAAGTTAGCTATAGTTCAATATTGGACTGACTTTGATTTTGACTCGTTATCTTAAATATGAACGCAATATGACTGGCTCACCCGTTGTACTCGTGAACGGGCGCTTCTAGTAGAGACTGGTCTGCTCTGATGACTGGTTATATATAAGCTATTATATTTATTACTTATGTCAATCTGGCTTATTGGCAGTTCACATTCACACAAAATCTTAAAAAATTAATGCTGAACAATTTTTATTTAAGAGAAAAGTCACAGTTACGTAACACATGCAAGTTTCATAGGCGTTCTTGTAATGAGTCTGCGTTCCGAATGAGTAGTAGAAAAAAGTGCTTTTATTAAGTTTGTTTCAATAAATATTTCTATTTCTATCTAATTATTTCTATTTCTCTTGTACCTATACTATATTGTCTACAACTCATTAGAAACAAATATCTTCCTGTGAAAACTCGAAAAATTAGAACCGTAATAACGTTTACAATGTAAATTTATATTAATTATGATCGAAAATGCACACAGTACTCAAACTAACAGTACATTTGGCGGACTTAAAACCATGTATATAATAATATATTATACTAGCTTTTGCCCGCGGCTTCGCTCGCGTTCATTTATCCCTTTAGGGGTGGAATTTATCACAATCCATTCTTAGGAGATGTATCTTCATAGTAGCTTTATGCATGCAAAGTCTCAGCACGATCGGTTTAAAATTAACAAAGTTTCATACAAACTTTCATCTCCTATTTTATCTTCTTGGGGGTAGAATTAATCAAAATACTTTCTTAGCGGATGCCTACGTCATAACATCTACCTGCAAGCCAAATTTCAGCCTGATCCGTCCAGTGGTTTGGGCTGTGCGTTGATAGATCACTAAGTCAGTCACCTTCGGGTTATATATATTTAGATATACTATTGATATATCTATATACATATATCAATAGTATATTGTTAACGACTCTACCAACTTGTATAAATCGTATGTTTAATCTTTCACTTTATTAACGACTTTCTTCAATATTAATTAACTTTATTTATTAGCCACTAAAGTTACTATCTCCACATAATAGCCAGGTATAAAAATACTTTATCATAAAAAAATATTACAAAAGTCAATTGTTTTGACACAGTATGATAAAAATAATTGCCACCTCGTGGATGATGCGTGTTTCGTTTGATAGCTCAGGTGACCCGGCTGCATCTTGTGTTAGTTGCACGAAGAACCCGGATGAGTGTTACAATAACAAATATATATTTTTGTATGTTGTAACACTCATCCAGCGAACTATCTGGATTCAACTGATACGGGCCTATATCTGTTTGTTTTTAATGTTTGGGTTATATTATATCATTTGTATGTCGGAACTGTGATAATATTTATTTTGTTTTTGTATTAAAGTATAAAGATTTCTACCGTTTGGGTTATCGTTTTTTTACTAGTCGTGTTTTTTTTTATGTTATTACAATGGCAAATAAGCATACAGCCTACCTTATGACCGCGCGGACATTTCGATACTTTTAATTTTTTTTATATACCTCAAAGTTATATAGTCGTTCAACGAGCGTCGATGACACTCCAAACCCGCGGAAGAACTTATGGAGCGGCTTAGAGCTAACCACATCTGACGGGTAACACTTTAGTCTGAGGGCACCGATAGGGGTTCGAAACTGGGATCAGGCCGTCGTAATTTCGATCCTAGTTTGAATTGGACGGGGGATCGATCGGAGGGGTTTGTAACAGCGTCAAAATATATAGATTAGGTAAAGCTTCTAGCATTGAATACTACTTTTGTAGCATTTAATTTATGGAATATTAAATAAATATATCGCAATATCTATACTAATATTATAAAGAGGTAAAGTTTATGAGTTTGTAAGATTGTATCTCTGGATCTACTGAACCGATTTTGAAAATTCTTTATAGAATTATAACATGTATCTATGAATGTCATAGACTATTGACCCGTAAATTGAAAAAAACTTTCGTCGTTGGTAGTAGAAAATGTTTAGGTATTGGCCAACGAAGTGGGTACTGATTAGCAGGTGTCTGTAGTGGCGCCATAAATACAACGTTTTGTTTTCTTTCCAGTGGAGTACGTTGACGCCGAGTATAGTCTATGGCTGACATGGTTCCTGACACCGGTGATCGTGACATTCCTGCTACCAGCCGTCATCATTGTCCTTATATACATGAGCAGCATTATATTCCACTTGTACAGATTATATAGGTAAGTAACTCTTTTTTATAGAATGGAATTACAATGGCAATATCGAGCAGGCTCGCCTGATGATAAGCGGGAAACGAAGAGCATGAACAGCACCAATGGTTAACCACCGGATGAAATAATATCTCCAGTTTTTTAAATAGTTAAATGCATCCATGCAATGAATTACTGGATTCCAAGAATGTGTGACAAATTATACGATAAGATTAGCTTTTGCGTGAATTGCAACCACATGTCGTTGACGAAAATCGATAATTATAGAAATCTGTCTGTAAAAAATTCTTGACATGTTATTCTTCCGGATTGGTCGTTTCGAGAGCTGGCAACCTGGTGACAGCAATCAGGCCAGACCTAGATTGAGTGGTGTCTACAATTACCTGGTGTCTGTCAAGTCTCTTGATTTGGTGTTTATGTCTATTTAATTATTATCGTAGAGTTTATTATAATAATAATATTAGCTTTTTTATTTATTAATTTTACTATAGAGTATACTCTGCTATTATTATTAACAGAACGCACCACAGATTACATAAATCCACAGATCTATTCTAAATTGTTTTGCCAACAAAGTATTCTTATTTAGGTTATATTATCAAACATTTTATAATAATAATAATCTCAGGACAATTCACACAGCGCCATATAGACCCAAGTTAATCTAGACAAACCTTGTGTCATGAGTACTATATAGATAACTGATACAAATGCATAGATATAATTTTTTTTTCATAAATACATACATATTATACATAGATAACACCCAGACTGATACAAACAATCGTACTCATGAATACAAATGTTTTGTGCCGTGCGGGGAATCGAACCCGCGACCATAGGAGGTAATGCGGTGTGCTAAACCGCTAGATTATCGAGGCAGTCAATGTAGACTACATTTCGAAAAATTTTATATGTTTAAATTTATAATATTATCGTCCCAGATTACGGGTGGTACCTGGAGTACAGAATGATTGGAAGCAAGCGGCGAGGTTAGCTGTTTGCGCGCTGTGGGACGCCCACGGTTGGCTATGGCATGGTAAGTAAAGTAAACTCATCTGGATTGTCTATAGCCGTATTACCCGACCTTTTTGACGAGTGTAGACGAATAGATATCTATGTAGAAGCGCGTTACATCTTGTTTGGGCATCATGTAGCAGATGTAAATGTGTCATATAGCATTATGTAAGTTATAAAAGAGCAGACCACTGATTTGTATAGTAAGTTTTTACTGAATACTCTAATGCTTGTGTGTGCTTCTGCAGCAAACTAATAACTAAATATATATTGATATATATTCATAGCGACAAAAAAAAAAATATAATTTCTAATAAAATATAAAACTTACTTATAATGCAGTGGCCGCAGCTCGCCTTTACAGCTTCACCGGACGATAGGCGAGTGCAGATGGCACTCTAAACCCGCGGGAGGACTTATGGAGCGGGTGAAGGCGAACTCCCGCCTGACGGATACGACTTTAGTCTAAGGGCTCCGCTAGGGGTTCGAAACAGGGATCAGGCCGTCGTAATTTCAATCCCCGTTTGAATTGGACGGGGGATCGATCAAAGGGGAGTAAGGATATATGTATAAAAATATCTTTATTGCAGGTTATGAAGTTCGAGGTTTAGAAAACATACCGGAGGGGCCGTTCTTAGTGATATACTACCACGGGGCACTGCCGATAGATATGTACTACTTCATCGCCAGAATGCTGTTATTCAAGAGGAAGCATATACACACGGTCGCAGATAGATTCATGTTCAAAATACCAGGTAGGTTTCTTATTTAAATAATAACATCAAGCAAATTAAAGACAGAATTGGAAACGTGACGGTTTTTGTTTTTTTTTTTGGACTACTCTAATGCTGTTGGCCGCAACTGGCTTTTACAGCTTCACCGGACGATAGGGGGCGAGTGCAGATGACACTTCAAACCCGCGGAAGGACTTATGGAGCGGCTGAAGGCCAACTCCGGCCTTACGGGTATGACTTTAGTCTGAGGGCAGCGCTAGGGTTCGAACCTCGGCTCAGGCCATCGTAATTGCGATCCCCGTTTGAATTGGACGGGGGATCGATCGGAGGGGGGAATCGTGATGTATCAATGTTTAAAGATATTGATGGAAGATCGTGGAAAGTGGCAAGAGCTACACCGATAAGAGCGTCGCTCTAAAGTTATGAATATGAGCTGTCCCGGCAAACGTTGTTTTGCCATATAAATTTTGAGTACTATTAAACATAGGAGTTGGGAATTGAAAAGTGAAAATTAATATATTATTAATGCCACATTATAAAAAATAAATGTTATGGATGTTAGAGACAACATTAGGGTCATGAAAAATAGATAGTACCCGATTCTCAGACCTACTGAATATGCATATAAAATTTCATAAAAATCGGTCAAGACGTTTCGGAGCAGTATGGTAACTAACACTATGACATTGATACTATATAGATCAAGGCAATTATTTATCATAAGGAATCTGTATTACGTGATTATGACTAGTGTCATGACATCTCAATGAGAACACAGAGTACATAATCAAACATTTTTTTATTAAGTCATAAGCTATTTATTATTATATATTCGTTTAATTAATAGTTACCTATAGATGGTTAATATGAATTATTATTGTCCGTTATTAATAATATCTATAATATAATATCTCAGGACAACTCAGATAGAGCTTGGGTTATAGGCACAAAAACCTGTATATTTATATCAGTTTAAAGTGTATCAGTTTTAAGACAACTGATATAAATACAGATATTTTTATAAATTCATATTTATAATACATATCAAATAGCTAAACATTTTATTTAGGTGTATGTTTTATGATATATGATACTATAAGAAGGTCATCATTACATAGTATAAAACAAAATCGCTGTCGCTGTCTGTCCGTCCATATGTATGCTTAAATCTTTAAAACTACGCAACAATTTTTAAGCGGTTTTTTTAATAGACAGAGTGATTAAAGAGAAAGGTTTATATTATTAAGGTTTTTTAATATTTTTGCTAGGTTGGGCGAGTCTTCTGGAAGGATTGTGTGTCATTCCGGGAACGGTGCAGACGTGTGCCAGCGTCCTCCAGTCGGGCAACTCGCTCGCTATCTCTCCGGGCGGAGTGTACGAGGCTCAGTTCGGTGACCACTGCTACAGGTTACACTGGAAGTCCAGGATTGGGTTCGCTAAAGTAGCATTGGAGGCTAAAGTGGTTAGTATTCATTTTTTATTAAATACTAGCTGAAATATTAATATTTAAAAATATAATCTTAAATAAAAGTGTTTCGTAGATGAAGATTTATCTAATCACATCTTAATCACACTTTTTTTTATTTCCAAATCTAGACTTACTTGATATTTATCATTGTCTCTCAATTTACATATTCAAATTCAAATTTTTTCAAATTCAAAATATCTTTATTTTTCTATTACAGACTCTTATGATATGTCAAATCTAGTCAGTTCGGAATGATATCGAGATTGATATTTTTTTCAAATAATAGTGGAACATGTTTATGATAAATACAGTTATTAAAATTCTCTCAATTTATCGCAAAGAAATATATAGATATCTTTTTAAATTATAGGCTATGTATATAAGCTATATTACTATAAAGTTTCGTCAAAATCCATTTTTTATTAAGCAAAGACCATTAGCTTTGCTCATTACATGCCGCCCAATTTACATATCTTTATAGCCTAAGTGTTATTCTATATAAACACAAATGTTTGTTACTCTTTAAAACTACTGAACGGATTTTGATGAAACTTTACAGTAATATAGCTTATACATCAGAATAACATATAGGCTATAAATTTCACGCTGATGAAACGCGGGCACAGCTGTTTGAAATTATTTATTTATTTATTTATTTATGCTTATGCTTGCAAGGAATCGAACTCGTGACCGTCGAAATGAAAGCGGTGTGCTAAACCGCTAGATCACCGAGGCCATCAAATATATTTTATTTATTGTCCACAGCCCATCGTTCCGATGTTCACACAGAACGTACGCGAAGCGTTCCGTACTGTGGGCTGGCTGAGAGGCGTGTGTCTTCGACTGTACGCAGCCACGCGGGTGCCCCTCACGCCAGTCTACGGCGGGTTCCCCGTGAAGCTGATCACGCACCTGGGACCTCCGATCATGTATGACCCCAACCTGACACCTGAACAGTTGCAGCTCAAGGTGTGTATAACTTTTGGAAATAATCTTTATTCAAATAAACTTACTAAAAGCACTTTTGAATAGTTATCTTAGGCGTCCTTCTAATAGTCACATCCCTAGCGTGAAAGATTTTTTTAATTTTTATTATCCAATAAAAAGTATATAAAAGAGGAGTTCAATGCCATATGGCATTAGAATAGAATAGAATAGTTATAATCTTTATTTAAATAAACTAAATATAAGCACTTTGAATAGTCATATTTTTTTTACTCTACGACTCACTCGGAACGCAGACTCATCACAAGAAGAATGAGTAACGAACATAATTGTTGCTCTTTTAAATAACTGGTGTTCTAAGTAAATACCCATTAACAAGGATTTAGTATGCACCAATCAATATAGAAACCAATACGCACTCAATCTTTGTTAAATCTGATATTGTCAACGCTATGAATTTTAAGTTTCATTTTTTCTACAAAATCTAACTTAAAATGTGAAATAAAATGTTTTTATTATTATTATTTATTTCATTTAGGTCGCGAATTCCATAGAGAAGTTAATAGATGAACATCAAAGAGTCCCCGGCAACATACTACTAGCTCTAACAGAGAGAGTCTGGGAGCTGCCAAAAAAGAAGAAAAAGGTGGCACAAGAGCAGCCCATCACAAACGGACAAAAAGCAAAGTATCAAAACGGCAAAGTGAAAGAGATGCAAAACGGTGAAAGTGACAAATGTGCCAGTGATAAAGTCAAAGTATCGTAACTTTGTCCCAACACTACCGGTGAGACTGAACATTACGTTAAAAAGTAGTAAAGTAGTAATTTTGAAACAAAATGGCGACTCAAATTGTCATTTGTATTCTACTAAATCATGGTAGAAATGGTAGAAATAGGAACAAAGTGCTGTACAAATGTAACTTATGATTTTTTATATTCCTACATACATAATGTATGACCAATGAAATATTTTTTTAGCATGTAGCATGTTATATATTTATAATGCGCTAATGAACAGTTAATATTAAAATAAATATAAAGAAAGCAACAGTTAACAAATATATATAATATATTGGTACGTATATACAATGTTAAAATGAATTAGGCATATTTAAAGTAGGTCAAGCGGCCCTAGTCCATACTAAATTACTTATATTATAGACTATGGCCCGCTTAAAGTAAAGACATCTATGTACATTGATTATTATATATTTTTTATAAAAAAAACCATACATTTGGATATGATAGATCATATTTTTTCCAATAATTATAACGATAAAGCAAATGAATTAAACTCATACAGCTGTAGTTTATCTAAGGTATAGTTAATAATATAGTGACGCCATCTTTGAACGAAAACCTTTCGTTGGTTTTAAATGTAAAACGAAAGCCTGTAAATTATGAATAAAAATCTCAATCAGCGTAATTGATAATAAAATTATAGTATACATCAAATAATAATAGATTATTAATATGACAAAATGATTTATTTATATTAATTATATGTATAAATTATTGTTCCTTATTATTATTAGTGTTATATCGACGATTGGGAGGCAATTTGGTCAAAATATAACAAAATTACCAATTCGACATATTAAAATAATACCTGGTTGACCGAGAGTCACTCGGTATACTCCTTTTTTTCAATGACTGGTTTTTCAGCGGTCGTATTTTGTGTAATATGAATAAATGTGAAATTATTTTCAAAATATATTTTCTATGCAGTCGATTGTATTATTAAATGTTGACTTTCAAAATTATTTTAATGTTTCTGTCAGTATGATGTATCTTTTCTAATTTTATTACTTGTGTAAGTTATGCTCAACATTGAATTTCAATCTCTTCAGTTAATTGCTTTCCAAACGTTGATATCAATTGTGGCATATTGGTATACATATATGTATGTATGCATTTAGTAATAATTAAAAAAATAATATAAGTTTTTTAAGTTTTATGTACAAATATTTATTATTAAAAATTCGACAGACCGAACCGAATTTTCTGATATTATTTATGATTTTCTTTTCTCGAGCAATATAGTTGTAATATGACATTATTATTTGAACATTTATTTCATGATTTATTCTGTTTTATATAACATTGTATTCAAATAAAAAATCACGTGTATTTTTAAAATGTGTTTACGAGAAAATAATGAGGAAACATCATACAGATTGTTTGGAATACCGTAAGAACTAAGTTGCAACCTGTTGTACTCAATATGAGTTATGTAAAAAAGAAATGTGTGCTGGGACACATGTAGAAGTGAAACAATGGACATGTGTCTTTCTCTTTCTCTCACAACACGATATATAGTCTACCCCCTCTACGCGACGGTAACTATTTCGTGACCGAAAAATCCTAATACAGCCCGTCTATGTAGAAGTTTCACTTCTTGTGTGTGCTTCTGTAGCAGTGTAAATGTGTCATATAGCAATGTAAGTTATAGCTCAAAGAGCAGAACACTGATTTGTATAGTAAGTTTTTTTCTGACTACTCTAATGCTGTTGGCCGCAGCTCGCCTTTACAGCTTCACCGGACGATAGGCGAGTGCAGATGGCACTCTAAATCCGCGGAAGGACTTATGGAGCGGGTGAAGGCGAACTCCCGCCTGACGGATACGACTTTAGTCTGAAGGCACCGCTAGGGTTTCCGACCTCGGCTCAGGCCGTCGTAATTGCGATCCCCTTTTGAATTGGACGGGGGTCAATCAGAGCGGTTGAATATTAGGTGTGGTTGTTGTAAATGCAACTCGAGGTAAACAACTTCAAGAAAAGCATAGACAACGATTCTTGTGCTCTAATGCTTAAAATTGTACTGTGTAATTCACATGTTCAGGCTATTTACCGTGTCTATAAACTTGACAAACGGTTATCACTAACTTTATGCATTCATTATTAAATCGATTAGATTATATTTAAACTTAGAACATATTATTTATTTTTAATTATTTAATTCGGGCCATTTTTTATTCACAATACGAACTCTATCGATTTAAGTTTTAAGAGCAAAATATTTTTATTGATTTTGATAAGGTTTTTTTTATTAATTAGTGATAAAAAATGCATTTAGTATGGTGTACTAATTTATTCTTATTTAAAATATTAAACTTTTAAATTCGAAAACGTTCGATAGTTTGGTAAAATTGCATATATGTTAGCTGTACTAGAAATGATATAACTACCTGTAATGTAATAATATAGTACTCATGAAAGAAAACTTTCCCCACAGAATATAAAATATCTGTTTTTTTATTTAAGATTAATTTTATTTATTATTTAATTTAGACAGTGATTTATATAAGTACGGGGGAGACCTAGACTGACCTGTCATTAAACCACATACTCCTCGGGGGAGGAGTTAAGTGTCTCCAGAATCGTGTAAGGGATGAGTTATGAATGTTGATGCAGCAAAAGATTATAAAATAGATGTATGATACCATGCTTATCATTATACCCTGTAAGGGTAAGAATAAGATAGTGTGTAATAAAATTGTGGTGACATAGGATTAAAGTTCTGAAATTATTCTCGCAAAACAATTGATTTATTAAAAAAAATGTCACAAAAGTATGATATATAAATATAATTATTATTTATTTGATTATCAAGGCATTATAATATTTTTAATTCATGGTTTGTGATCTTTATATATGATTTAATAATATGTAGAAAATGGCGTCCATGTAATGCTGGCCAGTCCATGTAATAAGCCATAACACAAATTATATATAAATAATTGTATAATTATGTTTTATATTGGTGTTCTTAAATTTTAGTATATGAGCATACTCATTTATAAAGTGTATAAGACTTAGACGAGCATTTACAATGGTTTATACATAGTACTGTATTATATAAATTGCTATTTTTATTTTCGGCAAAAAAAATATGTATTTAGTTTAATAACACGTCCATTAATATAAATCTACGAATTTATTTATACATATAATAATTTAAACAAAAAGAATATAATATCTATCAATAAAATGAACAAATAAAATTAAAAAGTAATAAATAAATATTAATCTAGAAATTTAGAAGGATGTAGAGTTTTACAATTAAATAATTTTGCCAGTTTAAGTTATTATAAATAGTTTAAATATTCGCGATATGTCGGAAATTATTCTATTATTTGGGCTTTAATATGAGAAGACTATATACACTATCAATTTGGATAAATACATAATAAAATTAATTTATTATATAATAATATTTTACTATTATATCTATTTATAGTTTCTAAAGAGTTGACAAAAATGGTAACACAATAATTAGGTAGATATTTTTTTAAATATGAACTAGGCCCTATGCTAGGGTATCTCTCACATTTATTTCTAATAAATATAGTACATTCGGATTTTGAATGTCACTAATATTTATGTGTATCTTACTTTATTATAATGTACGAGTGTTGCTAGTAAGAATAACATATAATATAAGTGGCATTCAAAACTAGACAATTTATTAAAAAATAAATGTTTTTTTTTTAATAAAGTTTGAGTGCAAGGTCATCCCTGACACTGCTTGGTGACGATACAATAAGTGCTGATTTTGCATCTCATTAATATTTATGATTATATTACAGCGTGTGTATGTTGTTAATGGATGTTTGCATTTCTTTTTACGTCTAAATATAATACTACGCTATAACCTAACACTTATTAATAAATATAGCATGTTAATAATCTAATACCAGGTTACAATTGAACTAGTTAAATACAGATTAAAGGTGTAGTAAATATGTTTAGACTATGTTATTAATAAATATAGAGTATATATTCGTTTGAACAAAAAATATATAATAAGGCTTCTCTCTCAATGTCCATGAATTACGTAACACAGTTCATACTTTTTCAACACCTCCCTACTAATTATTATTACTACTACTACTATATTAATTATTCAGCATAGCATAATACAGAGTAAAAATATAGAAAAATCCGCGCTGATTTTCAGTCATTTACGACTCGCCTTTCTATTGTGACGTCATATAGTCTTTCCTATATTTTTACTCTAATTAAAATTACTTGTTGAATTCAAAACAATTTAAACCTTATGTCTATACGTATACGAAGTAAAGCGTTTGAAAGTTTTTATTAATAGTTTAATCTTCGTGGTTTGATACTGAGATATATTAGATTTTAAAATGATGTCAGGATAATTGCGACACCTTCCTTGTCACAATGAATACTTGGACAGGACCAAAAATATACTATAGTGTATTGTAATTGAACCTATATGGGTATAGTTCTTCTTCGGCCCCGGTGGTCTAGCAGTTTAGCACACTGACTTACTACCGATGGTCGCGGGTTCGATTCCTCGCACGGCACAAACATTTGTATTCATTAGTATAATCGTTTGTATCTGTCTGGGTGTTTTCTATGTATAATATGTATTTACGAAAAATATATCTATGTATTTATATCAGGCATCCAGTACACAAGCTTTAGCTAGCCTAACTTGGGTCTGGAAGACGTTGAGTGAATTGTCCTGAGATTATTTTGTACTGAGATACCTATAAATAAAATTCTTATCTATCTATCTATCTATACTTTATCAAGCCCCTTCCTCTCCTTCAACGTATGACGTAATTTATAAAGACTTACGTAGCGTACCTTCGCACTTTCCTACTGGCCACTTGTAATTCTAAACTTTAATAAAATAATAATATGAATAATAAGTTATATAATTTATAACGCGTTAATATAATAATAATATATAAATAAACATTAATAAATATAAACTAGAATAGACTTTTTAACGATATATTTAATTTTGTTTTTTTTTTTCAATATGACGTTAAAAAGTGCCAATAAAGAATATAAATATATGTATATATTATGTGAAACAATGATTTCATACTCTGTAAATATTTTAATGATGAACTTGTACAGTCGTCTGCATTAACGTGTGAACACATTTGTATCGCATTTATTAAGGAAATTGTTTAAATGTTTTAGATTTATAATCCGCTCAAATTGTCAATGTACTGCAATCTTGCTATCATAACATTTACAGGAACGTACAGTTAACAAAATAAAGCTATAATTGTAATCCTATTTATAGCTTTATTTGTCAGCAGTGCATAAAAAAATACAAACATGTCTGAAATGACGTCATCAAAATGGCGAATAGGTACAAAGCAATTTGAGCAGGTCATTTCGAGCCTTATTACACATATTCGTGCTATTTTATTATCACATTTGTGACGTAGTATGCCCTTCAGTAATATCGCTGAGCCTTTGATAATGAAAAGACAAAATATTATAAGTAGCTTAAGTTAGATTTAGAAGAAAAAAATGTCAAACAAATTATTTATTATTGTAGACTTAAAATATTTTATTGATTTAGCATAGATTTCTTTATACCTAATTAGATCTTATTATGTGCTGCAAAAACACTATGTTTTCGCAATGTATATTTGACAAGTTGGCTAAATGGAATAGCCAGTGTAATCTTAAATCTAATTCTGATCCAATAACATTTGGATTGCTTTTTTTCGGACTACTCTAATGCTGTTGGCCGCAGCTGGTCTTTAGAGCTTCACCAGACGATAGGGAGCGAGTGCAGATGATTATTTGAAAAACCAAGCTGTAGTCTCTAGAGAAAACCTCAGTAGTTCATTCCATATAAATGAATACGCGTCAAATATACATTTGCGAAGTCAATGATTGTAATATTAGAGTTACTATATGTGTAGCAATTGCTATAGCGAAGTGCCAGATTTTTATACCAAAATTAATGTTTCCAATACTATGTTAGACTACATTTGTATATGTTACATAAACGGGATATTTACCATGATATTTTTCTTTTTTTATATACAACGATGGTGACAATCGGGCATATGGTAAACGGTTACCATCAGATGGGCCATTTTATACTACGATGCAGTATAAAAAAAAAAATTCTGAATTTTTCAATCTAAAACCTCCAGCAGCTTTTGTTTGTAATATTAAAAAGCATTTATTACAAATATATTTCCGATATTTCGATATGGTCGTCCTGCTCACTAGACTGGAGATGGCGGTGTATCGAAATATGGATATGTTAAATATTCCGTGTATAAAATGTATACAATTTGTATTGTTGTATAATACTTAATTAAAAACGCATACTTATTTAACATATAAGGAGATATTTTCCAACATATACTTGTTTTATTTTACACCCCAAAATTTTTTGATGATGAATTCTTACATGAAAATTATGACCAAGAGTCTTTGACAAAGTTGTTTTAGTATCTCTATTACCTACTTATTTCAGCCAGTCAATTACCACGTTGCAGTGCCTAAAAAGTGCATGTTATGTGTATAAATTAATTCATTGTATACTATAATTGTGTAACGGAACGTAAAAAAATAAATAAATAAATAAGATGTGTTTCAGTTGATTAGTTCCCCAGAATGGAGGGGGGGGGGGGAAGGGAGATTGTTAGTAATGTGGAGAATTGATCCTATTTTTTATTGATAATGGAATAGTGGAGGATGATAAAATGAATATGAGGTCAGGTCAGTTGTGTGTGAGTAGTAGGAAATTTCACACACTTATAGCTTATTTAGAGAAGTAGCGCAGAATACTAATATTTATTTTGAAATTATGCATTAAAATACATAAAATTATTAAATAAAACATACACTACCATATATTTGACAAAGGGAGCGAGTGCAGATGATTATACAGATGAGAAACACACACTCATAGAAGTATTTTACCAATAGAACCATAATAATGTTCAAACTTATAATTTTAATTAATTATGTATATTTCATATATAAAAGAGATATTTGTCAACATATAGCTTTCATTTTTTACTTGAGAACAAACGAATTCAATAGTGAATACTACGCTCGAATTGAAAATTTAACAGGAATAAATAAAAAAGGCGAATTTTATTAAATATTCTTTATTTTAGACGTTATTTCAATATTATTTTGTACAAATATTCACAACAACAGCCACAGGCTTATGTGTGGTCACGCTTTACAATGAGACTCGTATTCTTTTTTTTTTTATAACGCAGGAGACAAACGAGCATGCGGCTCACCTGATGGCAAGTGATTACTGGCGCCCATGAGCACCCGCAACACCAGGAGAATTGCAAGTACGTTGTCGGCCTTTTAAAAAGGAATAAGCTCTTTTCTTGAAGGTCTCAATATCGTATCGGTTCGGAAATACCATTGCAGGAAGGTGATTCCACAATGTGGTTGGTGGTCAATTTAGTTCAGTCATAATATTACAAAATATATACCTATATATCCCAATATTTTAGTGAAAAACATAAATGAAACGTTATTATGATCAAGATACTGTCTCTTGGTCATAATAACGTCAAACGTGTAACAAACCTATTTTAGTTGCTGAACATTTTTTCGACCTTTTCTCCTCAGTTCTATTAGAGCAAGAGCTCACGACGGCCAGACATTCATCTTATTAATAAATGTGAAAGTTCTACAAGAACCTGTGTGTCCTCAACCTCCACACATAAAATCTGGATCTTGTCTGGCAATAAACAGCGCAAAATGTAATACTGTTACGAACTATATATGAAAAAATTGTGTTTCATAAGTTAATAAATTTGAGATGAAATTATATTAAGGGGTTCCTCTATCGACAAAAATATGTAAATTCTTGAGTCACCTACGCGGACAAGTATATGCAGTAAAAGAGTATACGGATCGAAATAACATATACGTACATACGGTTGAAAAGAGGCAAAAACTCATATATAAAAAACAATAATAATCTAGTCCTTTTCTAATTTAAAAACAAAAACGTATCAATAAAATGTTTTGTAATTATAAATCGTAGCGAAGCAAATTTTTAGCAATGTTCCACGTTAGGTTGACTTCCACACAGTTCGCTCTGGAAATCATTATCATAAACTTCTATTGAATTTGCAATGACGGGTTAACTGACCTGACCTCATATTGATTTTCCACTGGCGCCAGCGTATCATCCATTAAAAAATAAATGAATATAAAATAATACAGCGCCCACACAAAGCCAATGACTATATGTATATTACTTATAACTAGGCTCTATAAAAAATCTACAGGAAATCATAACTCGAGACGTCATCGAATTGTTGAGACTGTGCAGAAGGACGCGCCCCGCTGCCGCCCGGCCGGTACTGTGGTTGCTATAGAAATTATATATAATTAATATAAATACACATGAATGAAAACGTAAAGTTTCATTAATATTCCCTACCGTCCAATTCTGTCTGCAGATACAATTGAGAAGAACTGCCAAGAAACACAATTGAACTTTTTTTGTTTTTATATTATACAAAATACCCATTTAATAATTACAGATTTAGTGAGAAAAAACCTTACCAAATTTCGCTGCCAGCTTTTATAAGCTATTTTCAATATATAATTTCAATTTGAAGATTTATATGGTAGTAAAATTACGTAGTAGGTACTGAGGTATAACAATTAAAAATGGTACCACATGATGTACTAGGGACTTAGTTATATATTCAGCAAAGTCCATTATATTATTTATATATGCGACGGTTATTACTTTCCATCGGTCGAGCTTGTTTGCCTTTATATTTATAATTATATATAGTGGTTTCTATACACTATCAGAATTTATATTACCACTTGTTATATATATATTCGACTTATAGAAATCAGAGTTCTAACTGCAACGTAGTAGGCAATAGTTTCTTATTATAAACAAATTGAAAGTTTTGCGATTATGTATAAACATTTGCAGACAGTTGCAGTTACAAACTGTTTAGATTTTTGTGTCTAACTTCAATTGTATCTTACTACGCATTAAATTTCAATCTGTTTAAAATAATAATCATTAATATGCCTGATTGTATAATACCAGGGGCTTACACAATCAATCTTGATATCTATTTTGGTCTTAATACCAATTGTTCAGTTTACCTGAAATTTACACAATAATATTGGACGAGGGATGACCATTACATGCAATAGTAATAGCAGAAAAGAAAAAAAATGATAGAAATTGTTTATTTACAACATGCAAAAATGGACTATTGGCATAGTGATATTCAAAAGAGTAATATATAGAGAATGATTTTTTTCCAGATGAGTGATTGTTTGGCAAAGATATGAAACGGATTAAAAGTAAAAAAGAGAAGTCGCTTCCACAGCCTTTAGGAATGGTAACATTACATACAAAATCTTTAAATTATTTAAAGATTTATGAGTGACCGGGACTGTTGTCGAAATATCAGAAACTCATAAACACAAGAGTATTGTATACTAAATATATTGTTGCTTGAGCAAAGTTAGAAATTAGATTTGCACTCTTTATAACGATACTCATCCAAAACGGCTTGACCAATCGAGACCAGGCCGACCTTCGGCCCTCCATCGTTTACCATTAAAAAAAATCCCGATTGGTCTAGGTCGAGTTTTTAAGAATAAACGCGCTCCGCTTAACTAGTTACCTGGTATGTAAACACTGGTAACAAACCTGGTGTAATGAGTAACGTTTTATCTCTAGTTTTTTTATATATATATTATTAAAAAAAAAAACGCTTCAAAATCCGTTTCATAGTTTTAAAGATTTAAGTATACATAGAGACGGACAGACAGCGACAGCGACTTTGTTTTATACTATGTAATGATAATGATATCACTATGCCAACCGCCAGTTAGTAGGGAAGGTAAGCATTACTTGTGCGAGTGAGTGCGGTGGACTGTGGGCGGCTCACATGTGCGGGCGACCGCCGCGCGGCGTCTGCTGTTGCTAGAAACACACGACGCGCTCAACACTACCTGAGCAATGCTGAGCATGCTCAACCTGACTTAGAAGGCATAGCGAGCGCATATGCCGTATGTCGGCCATCTTGCCAACTAGTAACGTAAGTATATAAATTGTATCGTATATTATTATAATGCAATGTAGTGTTGTATTATAAATTCTTAGTAATATTACAAACGCGAAAGTTTGTTAATGGATGGATGTTTGGTACTCTTATACGCAAAAACTATTGAAGAGATTTTGATGAAACTTTACAGTAATATAGCTCATACATAGGAATAACACATAGGCTAAAATTTAGATTCAGATGAAGTTGCGCGGGTTAGCTAGTGTTATATGTGCGTGCGTGATTGCCAAAAAGGACTATCTGTCTCTTTCTTTGAAATGGCACATATATGCCAAAAATATGACACAAAGTGATAGGAATAAATAGTAGATGATAGCTCTGGAAGTACTGTGCTCTCTATACTAATATTATAAAAAGGAAAGTTTCCACAGTTTGGACCGATTTAAAACAAAAATACCTATAAATAACAAATAATAACTAAAAATCATCACGTCACATCAAGCACACAATGTTTCAAGCATTATGCTGTGTTGTGTTGTTGACATTGAATGGTTTGTAATGTGTGTAAATTGTTTTACGTTTTTTTTGTCGTTATTGTTGCGTCAAGACGAGTCAATAACATTATATTTTATCAAAATGACGGCTCGATTTGAGTCAAATTGAGCATGCTCAGTATATACGTTAAAGTGTGAAGATAAGCAAGACATGAGTTAAGCGTGTGCTGAAAAAAAATTACAGGAGGTCGATATGAACAACATTTAAGAACTCATTTATACTGCAATGATGCAATACATTCACAGCTGTACCTGTTTCATTTCTATAACGTTTGATGATTAGAAAGGCATATAATTTGTTAATAATAATAACAATAAAAGAAATCAGAAACTAAAGAGAACTACACTGTATACAACCATACAAAGAATAATATATTATTATATTAAGTTTTTTTTCTATTATGTTCTTTGTGTTTTATTTTTAAAAAGTCAAAGTCATTAATTAATATAACAGTTCTTTACCTACTTATGCACATAACCATTTTTTTATCATTAACTCTAAGGACTTGTGGCTACTTCAGTTGTAAAAAACAGTTGCCAGGTAACCTCATTGGTATTTTTTTTTATCTCAAATGGTATTTTTTCGATTATTACATTCTTACTTTCGACATCAATATCGGGTGTTTGTTCATAAACTTTTGTGTTTAATACAAATTGTTTATATTGTTAACCGGGTCTTAACATGTCGAGAGAGGTAAATACCTTCATTTGGCATAATCTTCTTCGATTCAATGGTAACTAAATGTTGGTACGACAATTTTTTATTTTCATTTGGGCAATATGAATAGCTTTAAGACCTGGTTAAAAATATGAATAATATGGGGTGTGCTTTATTAAAATCTATTTTATTCTAAGGTCTGCTTGTTTTCACTGCCACTAACTTAAGAGATCAGGGTGTGAAATTAAGCAGTTTTGCACAAATAACAACAGATTTCCTTTGTATAATCCACTCAGTTTTAAAACACTTGTACTGATAGCATAATGTTCATAAACACGTACATTTGAAGCCGTTGGATTATGCAGAACAAATCCTGAATTTAGTTTCGAATATATGGTTTGAAGTATGAAATTGATGAATTTTAGAAACGATAACATTAGCAAAAGTGATTGCAAGAACCTTGGGCTTGTCATGCGAGTAGATAAGATTCTTTGTTTATAGCTTTGAATAAAAATGTTTATAGAATAAAAGTTAGGCACATATTACATTATCAATTATATAGGATAATACATATTTAATTAATCAATGTGGAACTATTTAATACAAGCAAATAGTTTGAAAAATCTTGCATTATTGATTAAGTAATATACTATAAACATATATATGATCCTATACTGTATATGATTATGCTAGTGTAATTAGATTCATAGATGTATTATTTACAATCACACAGTTTAATAATTAAATTAAAAGATGACATAAAAGTAAATTTAGTACACTTAATTAAAATAATTTTTCCAAAATGTGGGATTCTTACTCTCTGACGTGGGAACGGTCTTTATCGATTTTGCTACACGATATAATAAAAAAAGAACACAGCTATATCATGTGCGCTGTAGCATGGTGCGGGTGAGTTTAATTAATTAATTAATTAATTTATTTATTAAATATTTTAATGCACAAATACATAAATAAATGGCGGACTTAACAGCATGAGGCATTTTCTCCCAGACAACCATTGGGCAAACAGAGATTCATGTAGGCGGTGCTTTTAAAAAAAATGGAATTACAATTTTAAAAAAATATAAAAAGAAGATAACTTTAATATTATTAAATATAAATACACATGCGAATATACATTAATGTTTCGTTTCACTCTTAAAAGTTGCCACTATTTACAAATTATGACTTAATATTTCAGATGTACCGCATTCGTAATATATGAAATCATTAATAACTGTATTAACTTAAATGTAGCAATTGTTAAATGTAAAATTAGTAACTGTTACCCGCACCATGCTACAGTTACAGTATAAGACAACTAACTATATGAATAATGAGTATGCTAATTCTGAAATATAAAAATTTATAGAAATTAGGTTAGTATAACTCACCTGCTGCAGGAGATGCCTAAGGCCCGGATTGGAAGGTAGTAAGGGTCTCATGATCCGCGGCGGATGTCCTCCGGCCACTGGACCGCCAGCGCCTGCACTTCTGAGCTGCTGTTGCAATTGTTGTTGCAGCTGGAAATAGACGGAATAATGTAAGTTACATGAAAATCGGTCCAGCCGTTTCAGAGACTAGCAAAGCTATCATCTCCGATTTTGACGGATATTCACTCGAAGATATCTAATAAATAAATAGTAACTTAATTAACTCACTTATATATACATACTTGCTGACCCGGCAAACGTTGTTTTGTCATATAAATTAAAATCGCTGTTAAAAAATAGAGGTATATTGCTAGGAAAGTGAAAATTTAGGGTTGTAAGTATTTTCAATGTCACATTATAAAAAAAATAAAATTTGTCCAAAAAATAAAAAAAATGTTAGAGGTGGACAACTCTTATTCTTGGGGGTACGAAAAATAGATAGTAGCCGATTCTCAGACTTTTATGAAATTTCAACCGATTTTTTATAAAATTTTAAATGCATATTCTGTAGGTATATGTATATAAAATTTCATAAAAATCCGTTAAGCCGTTTTGGAGGAGTATGGTAACTAACATGACACGAGAATTTTATATATAACACTCGCCCCGGTTTTGTTCGGGTGTACATGTATTATACATATAAACCTTTCTTCAGAATCACTCTATCTATTAAAGAAAACTGCTTCAAAATCCGTTGCGTAGTTATAAAGATTTAAGCATACATAGGGACGGACAGACAGCGACAGCGACTTTGTTTTATACTATGTAACGATATATACTAACCTCCAACTGTTTATAGTGCTCGGTCTGCGCGTGGAAGTGCGACATCATGTCCATTTGCGACTTGTACTGTTGCTGCTGGTGCGCCGCCTCTATGGTCTGCTGCAGGTGTTGCATCTTCTCGATGTTCTGCTGGCGGGCGGCCTCCAACCCGTCCATCTGTGTGACAGGGCGGGGACCCTTGCCGCCCACCTGCTGCACCTGGCCGCCCATCCCGCCGATCATCATGCTCTGGAAATCATGATTCTAGATCTAGACTGTTTCTAAGTTCGCACAAAAACATTTGTTTGTTTGTAACACTTTATTGTACAGTAAATACATATAAAATAACTAAGGATACAACGATCTTAAAAAATAAGTTGTACAATGGCAGATTTATCCCAATATTATTTTGAATGGAATAAAAAGAATACTGCAATAACAAACGAGCTAACGGCTCACTTGACGGTAAGTAATCTATATATTTTTTCCGTCGCCTATATTCTGGATCGGTCGAAATGGGTATACTGACCGTTTACGCGGAATCAATTAGTAATAACTAATTGCAAATAAAAATGAAAAAAATAAATAAAAAAAATTGATCCCGCGTGATTTTATTTCTAAAAACGATTCAGGAATATGATTGTTTGTATTGGCCTAAGTGTCATGTTTATTATGTAGGTATTTAAGTATTTCTATCAGTTGCATGATACCCATAACACATTTACTTAGCTTGAGACTAGATGGCGTTATGCAATTTTTCGAGGCTTAATAGCTTATAAGTGTATTTTTATAAGTGAATAGTTAAATATGGCAATACTACGGTTTCCGTCGATAGCCATTACCGATGTATAACACCTGCTTTGTAATGTGTGCACATACAGTTAAATAATTTATTATAATGCTTTTCACTTGAATGCTAACAGTTTTCAAAGACTAATTACCTGCGGATGCTGCTGCATTTGTGACTGCACCATGCTCTGGCTGGTGGGTACTCCGGACATCTGCCCCACGCCCACGTTACCCACGCTGCCGACGGGCATGCCACCTCCCATACTGCTCCCGGGTCCCATATTGCTTCCCGGGCCCATACTGGTACCCGGACCCATGTTGCCACCCGGACCCATGTTGCCACCCGGACCCATGTTGCCACCCGGACCCATATTGCCACCCGGACCCATATTGCCACCCGGACCCATATTGCCACCCGGCCCCATACTTGGACCTGGTCCCATGTTGCCACCACTCCCCATCCCTGCGTTTGACATCCCCGGTGTAGGCATCGAACCTGGCCAGAAAGATCCTTTATTTATTGTACAATCAAAAAGCGAGCTTAATGCGGTATGGCAAATTAGAATATAATAGAAATAATTTTTATTCAAATAAACTATTTTAAGCAGTTTTCTATAGTCATATTTTTGCTCCTACCACATTCGGAATGCAAACTCATCACAAGAAACTTGCGTCTTGTACCTTTAAGTAGAAATTGAAAGCGTTGTAGAGTAGTCACAATCCAAACCATATCTATGTACATATATAATTAAATTATATGAACATAACATCTTCATCTCATTACACAAAAATAGTTTACCTAATAATGTAATCTATAAATTTATATATTACTAGCTGTGCCGGAAAACGTTGTTTTGTCTTAAAAAAAAAATTTGGGTTGGCCTACCCCTAACATTAGGGGGATGAAAAATAGATGTTGGCCGATTCTCAGACCTACTCAATACGCTCACAAAATTTCATGAGAATCGGTCAAGCCGTTTCGGAGGGGTATGGGAACGAAAACTGTGACACGAGAATTTTATATATAAGATAATAAAAATGAATTGCGAAACGTATTTTAAGTGCAAATTTCGAGAAACGTTGGACCAATACATATAGCTTTATTTTAATATTGAAAGTCGTGCTTGAAGTTTGAGGAAGGTTGTTATGAGAAGAAAATGTTGGAATATTTAGCCGAAAAAATGTAAAACAGCAGTATTTTTACTTTAAAACTTTCGCGTTTAGTACATATTATTAATAAACACGCATAATTTAATGGTAAACAATAATACCTGATACCTATTGATTTACCTATTTCAAATTGAGTCAGCGGTCACCGCTTTATTTACCATAAAATTATTAGTGTTACAACCCGAATAATTTACTATATATACTAATAATGTAAAATAGAATCAAATAGACAATCCTTTATTCAAATAAACTTAATTTAGACACTTTTGAATAGTTGTAACATTTTTTTTAATCGACCACTCATTCGGAAAGCTTTCTCATCACAAGAAGAACGAGCAAGAACCTCATATGTTGGTCTTTTAAATAATCCTTGTAAGTTTACAGTTTTCAAGTCAAAACATGTGAATACAAACTACCAACTAGCTCTAATGTATTAGGGTCAAATATAAGATAAAAAGAAGACACAATAAGATTAAATCAGTCGTAGTGATAAGAGCAGACCAGTCCCTACAAGCAGCACTCGTTCACGAGCATGTAAAATGGTAGTAAGTAAAATAAAAATAACTTGTAAGTGTTCAGGTATGATACTAACCGGCCATGGTGGAAGTGGGCATTGAACCGCCTGCGCCCGCCGGCATCTGCTGTTTATTTATAATCTGAGTGATCTTCTGCTGTTGGATCACCTGTAAAGCCCACAAGTATATATAGTAAATAGTAGATGTAATATACAGTAGCTTTAACTTTATTTTTCTAAAATAAAAGTAGCCTAAGTTACTCCTTATTACATCAGCTACATGTCAAAAAAAGTCTCGTCAAAATCGGTTAAGCCATTTCAGCCATTTTAGCCGGAACAAACACAGACAAAAATTGTAAAAAATGTTATTTTGGTGTATGTACCGTATATATATTCATATGGATGTAGTAAAAAACGGTTATTTCAATATTACAAACAGACACTCCAGTTTTATTTATATGTATAGATGTATATATGTTGTATATGGTCAGCCATAAAAAAAAACATAAAACTATAACTTACTTTCCGGAGCCTGTCTACAAACGCAGCCTGGTTGTTTGGTATGAATCCGAGGTACGCCTTCTTATCTGGCGTGTACAGCAGAATCAACACCTTGATGTCGCACTGCGGCGGGGACGGCATCGGGGAGAAATGGACGCAGCCCGCCTTCAAATATACACAAGTGCTTTGATATATCAAATCAAATCAAACTCATTTATTCATGTACGATATTCTAGCCGCTTATAAACGTCAAATTTTATATGTATTACTATATTTTTTATTGGGAATAACTGGCAAGAAACTCATCTTTATTATTTTTTAAAGCCAGTTTATTTACACTCTGTACTAGGTGTCTATAATAATAAGAATAATAAACTCTTTATTGTGTACATAGAAGAAATACAATAAGAAAAAAAACAATAAATAGAAAATTATGATCAAAAGGCGGTCTTATCGCTATAAGCAATTTCTTACAGACAACCTGCAAGATAGGACTAACATACACAGTATAATTATCAAACGAATATATATACATAATATATAACGTCTATGTCTGATATTAAGTGAAAATTCCGGTTTTTTTTCAGACTATCCTAATACAGCTGCTGCAACTCACCGGACGATAGGGGCGAGTGCAGATGGCACTCCAAACTCGGTTATGAGGGACAAAGACTTAAGGAGCGGCTGAAGGCCAACTCCACTTCTGAGGGCACCGCTAGGGTTTCGAACCACGGCTCAGGCCGTCGTAATTTCGATCCCCGTTTGAATTGGACGGGGGATCAATCAGAGGGCCAGAAAATTAACAACAATTGCCTTACACATTTGTCCATTGTTTCATATAACAGACACTTAAATTTGTGAGGGTTGATGTTTGTTACTCTTACAAGTAAAAACTACTGAATTGATTTCAATGAAATTACATATTTATTTGTATAGATCATATTGAAATAAATAAATTTGTGAGTGTTTATGGAGGGATGCTTGTTACTCTTTCACGCAAAAACTAGCGAATGGATTTTAATGAAACTTTACATCAGAATAACACAGAATAACATATACATTTCAAACGGGTGTAATCGCGGGCACAGCTAGTAGCCTATAACCACGCGGTTCGTAGGCAGAGCTAGTTAAATTATATACAAAAACATATGATACTTACAAATCCATTGACCATGACCTTTGTGAGTGCATCCAACGCCTCACTGGGCTGGAGGTGGAACAACACAGACTTGCTCTCCTTGAGGTACGCGCCACCGATGTTGCTGATCAGCTGTTTGGGCATCAGCTGCATGAGCAGCTTGTTCGGCCACGTGTCCACCTTTAGGTCCGGCTCCACGTCCTTGGAACTTGCTGACACCTGGATAATAAGCGATTATGATTGACACTTCTCAATGGTACTTCCAAATGATAGATTCTTCGTAAATAATATGTTATACAGATATTAGCTGTCGCGGCAAACGTTTCTTTCTTATTCTTCTTGTGATGAGACAGCTTTCCTTATGAGCGGTAGATGTAAATAAATATTTTTGAGTATTCAAAAGTGCTTAAATTAAGTTTATTTGAATAAATTATTTTTTATTCTATTCTTGAGGACAAATTATTGAGGATCCTCTCGTTTCCTCTAAAATTATTGATCATCTATCGATTTAACAGTTTTAACAATATAATCTTTGTACAATGTCTAACAGAGTGCAGACAGCTCTGCACTTGCTACTATCATCGTCCAGTGAATATATAAACACCAACTGCAGCAGAGACCTTTTAAATGGTTCGTAAAACTTACTTGGCACGACAGAAGCCTGGTGGTCTTCTGCTGATCCCCTGGTGCTTTGCCTTTCTCCATCCATTCGATAACGCCGTTCCATATAATGCTGCGTTGAGGAGCTGGCGGGCCGCCTGTGGCGGGCGACGTGGAAGGACCCGGTGTAAGCATATTTGGCATACGCTGATGACAAGACATACATACATAGAGAGACTAGCATACTTCACAAACCTTGTTCTGCCGTATAAATTATCAGTAACTTACCTCTGAGAGTAGAAAATTACTAAAAATTAAGGGTTGATGTTAGAAGGGTTAAATTTAGGGTTGCATATATTTTTTAATGCTGAATCATTAATAACCAACCAACCTTAAATTTCTTTTATATAATGTTGGTTAATATCTGCTGATAAGAGTGCCTTTATGTGTGCGCGAGCTTTAAACGAGCACATATTATTATTGTGTTTTAAAAGGTATCATTATACTTAATACTAGCTGTACCCACGACTTCGTCAGCGTGGATTTTAACTTTATTTAAAAAAAAAAGTAGCCGAAGTTACTTCTTATTAAATCATCTACCTATCAATAAAATTCCTGTCAAAATCGGGCCAGCCATTTCAGAGATTAGCGGGAAAAACAGACAGACAGACAAAAAATGTAAAAGATGTTATTTTGGTGTATGTACCGTATTTATATTCATATGCATTATGCTCCAATTTTATTTATATGTATAGATAGAGTTCGATATAGGATATTTTTTTGGCAGTTTCGTTATTAAACAAACAAACTGTATACGTACAGAGACTTGTTGGGGCGGCGGTGGCGGGAACGAGGGCTGCGCGAGCTGCGTCAGCAGCGCCGAGTTGGCGTACGTGAGCGGCTGACGAGGCACCGGCCATCCGCCGCGAGCTGCCGCCCGCGGGAACAGAGGCGCTGGCGGACGAGTGTTTGTAGCGCCCACGCCCACTCCTACGCCCACGCCCACGCCCACGCCCACTCCCACTCCCACGCCCACGCCCACACCCGCGCCGCGGCCCTGTCTGATATTGGATTTATATGAAATTATCATTTTTTTATTGAGGGTTTTGGGCTATTGTCAGGTTTATTTTTGTGTAAGATAATGGAATGGTGCACCCGCTTGCGCTAACGGTTTACGATGGCGGGCACCAGTGGAGGATTATGAGATGAGCATGAGGTCAGGGCAGTTAGCACATCGTGACAAATCACTAAGAATTTATCACGATGGTTTCCAGGGGGAACAACGTGGAGGTCGACCTAACATAACGACCGTACATTGCTAGCAATGGGAGTTACTAATTCCCCCGTCTACGTCCCCCCTATTGGCAGGTATTAAGATATGTAGCACTGCGACCTACATAGATCTATTGCGCTCGCCCTTTTTTCCAAAGTTCGCCACCTAGGCCCGTCAGGGACAGGAATTGAAGGATATTCTTAGGAGCGATGGTTTTTATCTCCTCAGACTATAGTGTATACTTTCTTCTTTAGATATTTCGCTTCTGAAACTAGCTTTACAAATCAAATCAAATATTAGTCATGTAGGATATTTTATCAGTTTATGAACGTCAAGCATATTGTAGTAATATACTTTTTCCCTACCATCCTGTTCAGTATGCAGCCAATGCCGGATGTATATGAAACTAGCTATTTAAATCAAATCAAATCAGGGGACGACGATTGTTTGTGTATGGCCTATGATCCCATTGCTACCAAGGTACCATGTCCATTCGCACGCTCGCTCTCGGCTCGTCTTGTCTGATACCAGATTTATGTGAAACTAGCTATTCAAATCAAATCAAATCAGGTGACGACGATTGTTTGTGTATGGACTATGATTCCATTGCTACCAAGGAACCATGTCCATTCGCACGCTCGCTCTCGGCTCGTCTTGTCTGATAGCAGATTTATGTGAAACTAGCTATTCAAATCAAATCAAATCAAATCAGGGGACGGGCATTGTTTGTGTATGGCCTATGATCCCATTGCTACCAAGGTACCATGTCCATTGCCACGCTCGCTCTCGGCTCGTCTCGTCTGATACCAGATTTATGTGAAACTAGCTATTCAAATCAAATCAAATCGAGGTGAAGAGGGTTGTTAGTAATGTGGACTGATGATCCCATTCCTACCAACGTACCATGACCGTTCCCAGAGAAGATTTACTTCCACCACAATAACTAATCTCTCTTGACATCATATTCAACTGCTAAAATTCATCAGTTTTGGCTGCATTTAAAATGCAAAACCGTAATAATCAGACAAACTTACAGACCTATGCTTCTATTTAACCGACATTAGTATTATATTAAAAATGGATACATACCCATACATATCTGTCTGTATGTCCGGAACAGGCGGCGGAGCAGGACTGGGCGGCCGTTCCTTTAAGCTGTATCCACGGAGCAACACCAAATGTCTAGGATCCTAGAATATAACAATTAATAATAATATCTCTGAACAATTCATACAATATAGATGATGTTGTGTTCCAAGTTAAGCAGAGCTTGTGTTATAGGTACTAGACAACTGATATAAAAACATTTTTTTTTGTAATTACATCTATACTAATATTACAAAGCTGAAGAGTTTGTTAGTTTGAACGCGCTAATCTCAGGAACTACCGGTTTGAATTGAAGAATTTTCTTCTTGTTGGATAGTCCATTTGTCGAGGAATGCTCTATATAACATTACGCTACAACCAATAGGAGCGAAGTTCCGATGAAAAATATTGCAAAGGATGGGGAAATGAAACGCAGACGAAGTTGCGCGGGTCAACTAGTAAATAATATACATAGAAAACACACAGACCAATACTAAGTTATGAATCAAGACCATCTAGGACGTCAGCTGACAATTAAATTAATTATAATACAGAAATACAAGAAAGTGTTACTTTATCCTGCAGATGAGGTTTTTCAACAAGAAAGACTGAGTAACCATACCTAGATACCAAGCTCTGCTTAGCTTGGTACTCGACGGCACTGTGAGTTGCACTGAGATATTATTAATATTTGTATTGATATCTGACCTTCGCATAATTCCGCTGCTGTGCTTGATGTAACTCGCCCCCGGCATGTTCATAGAGGGAATGCAATGTGGTTATTCTACGAGCTGCCACAATAGACAACTGAGCACCACGCTCGCCAACCAATCGTGCTGCTTGTTCAACAGTTGCTGGGGCACCTACGTTGATATAAACATATATATGTGTGTGTATGTGTGCATATATGTGTATCTTAATGTTGTTTTATGAATATACGAATGCAATGATTAAATAAATAAAGTCAATAAATGTTTGAAAGGTTGTATGGAAATATCGTCATTTTTAAAGACGCTAGAAGTTTGAAACTTATATCTTAGGCTATTGATTAAATATAAATAAATATGACATTCAAAGTTTGTAAAAAAATATTAAGAGTGTAAAATTAAATAGGGGTTTAAAGTTTGTATGAAAATTCGTCATTTTTAACGTATCAGCGAGTGAAAGTACCGTCAAAATCGGTCCCGCTGTTTTAGCAAGAACAAACAGAAACAAAGAAAAAATTGTTTTTAATTAATTTTCTGATAGTAGTTTCAAATACATAAGTAGAGTATATATAATAGTTTCGAATACATTTAGTGACAAGCTGTTAATTTAAAATTGCAATCGGAATTTTTGGACTACTTTAATGCCACAGCTAGCCTTTACAGCTTTACCGGACGATCCCGCATGACGTATACGACTTTAGTCTAAGGGCACCGCTATGAGTTCGAACCTCGGCTCAGGCCGTCGTTATTACGGTCCCCGTTCGAATTGGATGGGGGATCCATCAAACAGATACTTAAATTTTATTACCTGGAGGCGGCAGTCCCCCCGCGTATGCAGAATATGGTGGAGATGTACACATCAGTAGTATGTGCATTGGTATATCAGTTCTGCCGAGCTCTTCAAAACATGCCAGTGCTGCTGTTAGAGCTTCTGTGACGCATGCGCGGCTCTCCGCATGCCCGCTTATGTATCTGAAACAAAATTTCATTGTAACATGTAAATAGGTGTGATAACAGAGTAAGGCTGTACTGGATGTTTGTTTTTGCCATTTGTAGAAAGTTAGGGGCATATGCACAATATAAAATAGGAGTTCTATTTGCAGCTAAAATAATATTAGAATTTTATTTTATTTGAAAACTACCTGTTACCTGCAAATTCGTCGGAGCTAAGGTGTGATAAATTTAACCAAGATAATCAGACATGACACTGACTTTTAAGAATGAGGGGCTGCTTTATTGGGAGCAGCTCTATGAGTCATACATTGCACACCATATCTGCTTATAGTCGACGTGGCTAATTGCAAGGTTCTAATTGTAAAAAAAATCTATGACTTACTGTATTTTGTCCACAGTTTCAACAACATTTTGTGGTGATGTGAAAGGTCCATAAGTAGATACTGGCACACCCGGGTGACTGTCAGCAGCTCTGTATGTAACTATACTGTACACAGAACCACTACCACCACCCTCCTCTAATGCACCTCCATGGAAGTATCTGGAGAAAGAAAACATAGGTGAAAATATAATGAACTATACATGCCGCCCCTGCATGACTACCGAAGGGCTTTTTGTGCTGCAGCCCAGGGCCCCCAGTTAGGGACTAAAATGATATTTAGAATATAAAAAATATCTAGAATGTTAAAAAACCTATCATAAAGTTGGCAACCCTGAGATCAATCAACACATGCAAGTGTGCATCTATTGAAAGGAACAAGGAATTCCTAGTCACTTGTTTTTGGTTGTTGTATTTTTTTAGTTGAGTAATATAATTAGGTAGGCTCCTAAGTAGATTTATAGTTGTTTATAATCTCTCAAGTGTTGTGCTGACTTTAATTTTAATATTCTAAATCTGCAAAATTAACATTAAATTCACTACTAAAATTGAAATTGAAATAAGCAACAGCTACAAAATTCCATTGTCTCTCAAACCATGTTGACGATAAAATTGATAGCAGCCATTCAAAGTAAAGAAGAAACAAGGGTAAAGCTCATTTGACGTTGAACACTTACAGTAGCCTATAGACTACTAAAACACCATGGGTGTCACATGTACATTGCTGACCCTTAAAAAACCTTAATATACCCTGCAAGAAAAAACCCACACAGTAGTCTCTCAAGGAAACCTCAGAAGGTAATTCATTAACAGGATCATGGGCATAATATCAACATCATGGTTATATCATGTAAGCTTATGTCAGTCCTCAGTCTGAAGTTCATTGTATCCTTATTCCAATTGACTAAGTAACTATTCATACCTCTTATCTTGTAATGCCACTGCCAACTCACCCTTCAACTGATACACAGCTTACAGAGCAAGGTTGGTAGCAGAAATAGATGAAACAAAGGTAATATGCTAAGGGGTCAAACCTTTACATCTGTAAAGTGCTTGTAGAACAAGAATCATTATTTACACATGTGACCATGGTTAGTTCTGGCTGTCTAGTCTAGAAGACACTCTGTACCATCAGGTGGACCTTACGATAGATCACTAACATTGTTTTAAAATACATCATTAGGTCCTGAATGGGGATAAATTAATATATTATGGGGATAAATTTGTTAATAACATAATTTGTAGTTCCTGTCAATTTACTATTTTAAAAAGAATACAAAATGATTCCTTATTGTTTTCAGTTCAGTTTGCATGACTTAATAAATTCTTATTACTCACTCAAGTGTAGGAATTAAATAATTTGTTTTCAGTTCACTAATGTATGCCCCATTTGTTGATGTAGCTTCTATAACGAATATAACTTCCGCCTGTGTAGGCGAGTCTGGTGCATTTACCACCATAATTGTAGGATCATTAGTTTGCAATATATATTAATTTATTATTGCAAAGTTATTCTATATCATTTTAACATATAAAACAAAATTAAAAATTAGAAAACAATCCAGTACTATTGCAAACACTGTAAACGTTTCATTGTTATTGTTTGACATTTGTCATTGTCGTTTAAGACACATTTTTGACAATGATACCAATGTGTTTGCTGTCAAAATTGTCAACATCAAATTCATGACTTTGTCAATAATTTCTTTTTGTAAAATTACTTAAAATTCGTCTGCACAGAAATTAATTTAAAAAAATTATATTTTATTATCATTTTCTTTATCTTTTAATATCCTTTAAATATTTGTTGTTGTTGTGGTGTTTGTTTGAGAAAAGTTTTTACTTCACCGGTACTATAAATTATTTATCAAAGAATTACTACAAATTCAAACTATGGAAGTTACTGTACGAAGTCTTCGATTATTTAACCGGCTTCTACGAAGGCCTATTGGTGTAGCAACGCTAAAGAATGTTAATTCTCCCGCCGTGAAAGAAGAAGTGAACACAGAGCTATTAAATTCCTTTAATCAAGATATAAAAGCTGGTAAGAAACAATATTGAACTATCATAAATTCAGCAAGTAGATACAATGAAACATCTGATACAGTTTATCTTTATTTTTATTAAAATAACGAGTAATAGACTAAAGTTTTACTAATTTTTATTTTAAATGAGTAGATAATATTTTTAGCAGCACCAAATATGTTAATAATGTTATCATAATAGAAGCAGACTATTTATTAAACAAAATAAAATATAAAAAAATAATAGAATACTCAAAGGGTACCCAAAATCCTTATTAAAGACTCATGCACAAAAATTATGATCAGCCCAAGGCGAAATTATTGCACAAATAAATAAAACTTCTTTTTATTTCCTTATGATTTGTATATCTGAAGAATATTCTGAAATTGATAGATAAATTTTCATGATTTTATTATTTGTCTTAACAAATAATAGAATAGTAAATAATATTCTGAAATTCATAGACTTAAGTTTTTCAATTTTTTTTTTTTGTTTTGACAAATAATAAAACATAAAAAAATGAATCTCCATAAAAAAGATAACAAGTATGAATACATTTTTAATGACCATGAATGTGAAAATTTGTAGGTGGAGCGGTCCCAGTGTTCCGCCGAGCCCTCCTCTTCCCTACAAGGGTTGCGTTACAAGATGACTTTGGTATTTACACATATGCAGGCCTGTATCAAGCTGCGGCTACACTCAGCAATGAGATTGCAACACAACTTGGTAAGACAAATTTCTGAATGGTGACAGAATAGGTCTGTATTTTTTAAATAAACTACAGATACTTGTATTAGGATGGGAGTTAAAAAAAGTATAAAAATCTACTGATAAGTGACTAAATTTGAATTGAATATACTTAGTTATTTTGAATTTGAATTTAATTGAAGAATAGTTGTTTAATAGCCTACATGTTATTTGTTATTAGAACTAATAGATATAAATCTCAATGTACAGTTAGTTAAATAAGTTATTAGGCAACAGATTAATATATAGACTGAATTTAAAATAAATTACATTCTTTTCTGTACTTACTTATATGTACTTCTTAGCATTCCATAATTTCACCATGCAGGTGGTAAATCCATCCTATTGTACAGAAGGAAACTCTGACCAGTTCTTAGGACTAACCGGGTGTTAAGGGTCCCCATTGCCGGTGTATGTCAACACTCACTTTCACCATTTAAACTTTTCTCCCTGCCCAGCTAATCTGTTAGGAGCTCTCTAATGCAGCTTTTGATAGCTATAGAACTTACTGTAGTTCTAGACAGACCAAGATGTTTTAGAAAAATGTAGAGAGGTTTAGCTAGTACCTCTCGCTGCTTTCAAATTCAACTAATAAATAAGAAAGATTTGATATTTTATTCTTATTCTATAAAGAATACAGTGCTTTAATTTTTATTCTTATTATGTAATGGCAAATAAGCGGACGGTTCACATAATAGTATGTGGTAACTGTCAGTTATTTACATAAACAATGCTTCACATTAGTAATCTATGCCTAATTACATTTACAATCCCATGGCACCACATTACAAAATGTGTCCATCAGGTAACTTGTAGGACTAAAAATCACACCTCTTTTACTGTAATTTTACTGCATTGTCATCTCAGTCTTCAATGGATATACATCCTAGAAAGCAAGACAATAGGCAGCTGAAATAAGTGAGGTAATTTCTGTCTCAGTATAACAGTGATTTTGTCTGTCTTGGACATTTTTTTATGGATTATAATAGTGACGCACTCCGCTGCGCTAACTACTTACGCTAAAATCAGCATAAACTCAGATCAGTTAGCACATCTGGGCAAATAGCAATTTACCACGATGGTTTCCAGGAAAACCGTGTGGTGTTCAACCTGACCTGGTATATTCTTAATCATGGAGTTATTAGCCCACATTTCTAATAATCACCTTTCTCCGTATATACGACGGTTATCGCTTATTATCAGGTGGGTAGTCAGATTGTTTACCTTTACGATAATATAAAAAATTTTTACTACAGATGGGTATATATATATTAATCCACATTACATAACATTACGACATATATGACATTACAAAACAATATACAGGTCACTGTTCTGTGACATTGAAATCAATGAGTAGGCATAAAATAGATAATGGTTTAGATTTTAGATATTAGTTCCTATCTGCACTGGTTTTCCATTGTCATTGATATGATAAATACCTAGTATATATAGTATATTTGTTTTATATGAAGGAAAGCAACTAGCTAAAGCATTTATGTATGTGTCATAATTGGATGCACAAAATAAAAAATCCATATAAAAAAATATATATGTATACAATATAAATTCAATATTAGTAAGAATATATCCATAAGTATATCGATACATATTTTACTGATAATAGATGTATATGAAATCACCAAGGTTAGGTAGGTAGGTACTCATTAATATTAACATAAGTATGTAGCGTTATATAAATTATTTGACTGAATGTTTTAAATATGTCAGACATTTATACAGGTGATAAAATTGTTTTTCTCTACACATATAGTAACTAGATAGTACAGAAAACAGATTAAATACCTAATGTGTAATAATGAATGAAAATAATAGATATGTTTGTAGACTCATTTCAGTTGGGATTAAACTTCCACTTGCTTTAGAAAATGGGTTTCCCAATGCACTGGTGGCTGGTCCGCGTTTAGTTTCTATAGATTGGGTATTAGGTTGAAGCTTTTTTTGCCCACAACCAGTAATAATGAATGAAAATAATAGAGATGCTTGTAAAGATGTGCTACTTGGGAACTTCCACTTGCAGAAAATGGGTTTCCCGATACACTGGTGGCTGGTCCGCGTTCAGATTCCATAGATTGGGTATTAGGTTGAAGCATTTTTGCCCATAACCAGTAATAATGAATGAAAATAATAGAGATGCTTGTAATAATAGACGTTTATTATAGCAGAGCGCATTGACAGAAGTGTTATAAAACAAATTGCATATACAGAACATCATATTTTGAATATGGATAAAAGAATATATAAAAACTGCCACTGATTCTCATTGTAGATCTAACAATGATTGAATACCACCTCATCATACATTTTACTGCAGTGGTTTATTTTTTTATTTAGGGTTTTGAGCTGTTATGCGGTACTAATACAGTAGCACTGCGACTACATAGATCTATTGTGCTTGCCCCTCTCAAGTGGGTGGAAAGGGTATTGTTAGTAATGTGGACTTATGATTCTTATTGCTAACAATATACCAAGTTAGGTTGTCCTACACGCGGTTCCTCCTGAAAACATTGTGGTAAATTCTTGGTGAATTTGTCACGATGGGCTAACTGACCTGACCTGATTCAGGTTATCTTATCATCCTCCACTGGCCCCCGCCAGCGTAAACCGTTAGCGCGTGCGAGCGGACCATTCCATTATCATCCATAAAAAAAAATCCCCTCTCAAGTTTATAGAGTAAATCCGCAGCTGGTTTATGTTTACAGGGAATTCATTTCCACATTCTGGAACCTAAGTGGTCTCGAACAGCACGGTTTCAGAGGAGCTTCCTCCCGCGTACACTTAGGTTGTGGAATGAACTTCCTGCCGAGGTTTTCTCACGAGACTACAGCGTGGGGTTTTTCAAGAAGGGTATATTAAGGTTTCTTAAGGGTCGGCAACGCGTCTGGTGTTTCAGGCGTCCATAGGCTACGGTAACCATTTACCATCAGATGGGCCGTATTCATGTTTGCCAACATAGTAGAATAAAAAAAAAAAAATCATATGATTTTTTTACTCAGTGGGAGAAACGGAGCGTACAATATGCTACATGTGCAGTAACGATGCCTCACACGTCATCGTGCAGTGGGCTATATGGATGTCAGGCAATATTGGTAAGTAATATTCATTATTATGTAACTAACTGTTACCCGTGACTTCTTCTAGGTTAAATTTCTTTTTTTTTTTTAGCAAGAACATATAGACAGACAGAAAGACCACATTTTTTTTGTTAATATTTTGTTGATGCATGTACCGTATATATTTTTCTCTCTGTTCTCATCCGATAATACAGAATTTAAAAATAATTCAGAACTTATCAGTTTTTTTATGATTCACCAATAAAAAAAATACATACAAGTCAATATTTTTATCCATCTACCATCAATAACTAATTGTAAGAACGATTATTTTAAACTAGGATGGTGGCATATGAGCATATGACCCATCTAATGGTCTACAGCTCTCCGAAATGGGCACAGGTCTACTAGTACTGTATAAAATGTTCTATATGAGCAAGGGGCCGTCCATTAACCACGTGATCTTTTTTTAGCATTTTTAAGTGTGGGGGGCCACACTTTCCCGTGAGACGTGGTGATATTTAGGACAACCTCCCCCTCTCCCCCTCCAACATGACGTGTATTTTTAGCGCTTAAAAAGAATCATCATATTTTTTTTAATATTATCTATAAATACAGGTGTAAACTATAATATAATCTTATTTTATTCTGAAATTAAGGACCATGAGTGAAAGTGATATCTCACTACATCCCCCTCCCCCTTGTGATATTTTCGTAATTTTTGTCGAACCCCTCCCGCCCCTTTCAAGCCTCACGTGATGAATGGACAATCCCCGAGCTATTAGTATACTACATATATACCAGTACTATTAATATATAAAGAGTCGTTATTTATGAAATATTCATTTTATTTCCAGCTGTTCCCTTAACACCACTACATCCGCCAGATATGCTCAAGTATTTTCTAACAGACAGTTGCGCCGACCTTGCAATCTGTACCCAGGATTATGAGAAGACGCTACAACCTCTTACTTTAGAGACGTCAATACCACTGCTCATAACTGGCAAAGATAAAGAGATCACAGCGCAGTTGTACCAACCTGACACGTCGTTTTTGAAGCCGAAGCTGGACGATTTGTTGGCTGATGTTGGTAGAACGAACCTTTGGTATGGGGATGCGGAGGCGCTGATTATTTATACGAGTGGTGAGTTTTTTTTTCTTTTTGGCACATATTTTGTCAACGGAATCTGTCAAATACAGTTTAAACTTTTTTCAAATGTATTTACAAATGTACACGTTTAAAAATGAGGTATTTACCATGATAATGTTATTTGAATATTGACGACCTGGGTGGTCTAACTGTTTAGCACACCGCTTTACGTCCGATGTTAGCTGGTTCGATTCCTCGCACGGCACAAACATTTGTATTCATGAGTACGATTGTTTGTATCGGCCTGGGTGTTTTCCATGTATGTATAATATGTATGTATGTATATACGAAAAATAAATATCTGTGTATTTGTATCAGTCATCTAGTACCCATAACAAACGATTTAGCTACCTTAATTTGGGTCTAGATGGTGCTGTGTGAATTGTCCTGAGATTAATGATATATAAATATTTACTCAATTTTTTAAAAATAATATAGAGAGGTAAAGTTTGTGAGTCTGATGAATCTATTTGGAAAATTATTTTTGTGTTGGATAGCCAGTTTATTGAGAAAGATTATGTGCTATGTAATGTACGATGTTCTTTAACACTATTTTAAATGAATCTCAACCATAAAACTGTGATGCCAGAAGAGTTGCTTTGCCGCCGTTTTACTTTTTTAAATCAGCGCGCTGGCTACTAGCTAACGCCGCGCAGCGAAATTTGTAAAAAAAAGTCAGTTTTGTCAGTTCGAAATTAAAAAAAAAATAGCAAATTGTGCGGTTATGGAATATAAACCTCACTAATTGCATTTATTACAGTCGCGTGTTTTTTAAGCTGCTCTATCATAATTCATAATTATTTATTACAAAAATATAACAAACTTGTTGAAGTGTCAAATTGTAACAACGCATTATTAGGTATTCGTGAAAAGCGGATGTGCACAAAATATGATCTACTATCTCGCTCCTATCGCCTATAATCAATATATATTGAAAACCTGTGAAATTTAATCCACTTTACGGTATGTTGAAAACTAAATTAACGTTACAGGTACAACGAGCAAACCAAAAGGTGTAGTGTGGACCCACAATATGCTGCAAGCACAAATATCGTCCCTACACACAGCATGGCAGTATTCGTGCAATGACGTAGTATTACACACGCTCCCGCTGCACCACATACACGGACAACTCAACTCTATGAACGCATCTCTAGCGGCTGGAGCCAGGTTATCTACACATCTATCAATAAAATTGGAGTGTCTGTTTGTAATATTGATATAACAGTTTCAGTACATGCATATGAATATAAATACGGTACATACACCAAAATAACATTTTTTACAATTTTTCTCTGTCTGTCTGTTTGTACCGGCAGATCTCTGAAATGGCTGGACCGATTTTGACTGGAATTTTTTTGGCAGGTAGCTGTTGTAATAAGGAGTAATTTAGGATATTTTTTTTAAATCCTTAATTTTAGAAAAGTAAATTTAAATTCCACGCGAACGAAGTCGCGGGAACAGCTAGTCAAAGATATAAATCAAATCATATAGGACATTTTAGCCGCTTATGACCGAAGTTTGTAATAAAAAAAATTCCCCTATCGTATATCATATATCGTAACGCAGGATACGCATGTTACCATCGTTCGCGTCTCACGTGGTGTGGGCGCGGCTACTGGGTATGGGTGAGAGGGAGGAAGCCAAGCCGACCGTGTTCCACGGAGTGCCGGCGATGTACGCGCGGCTGGCGGCCGATCATCTCCGCATGTTCGCCGACGAGCGAAGCACGCAATACGTGCGCACCGCACTTGCGCGCATGCGCCTGTTTGCGGCAGGATCCGCGCCGCTTCCGGACAGCCTCTTCCGGAAGTGGGAACAGGTTCGTATGATTGTTTTCCGCGTTTACGCTATTGAACGTATAAAGTAGCCAACCAAGGTTTATCCAAAAGCTGAATAGCTTCGTACGTACTACGTACACGGCGCACTTACACGCCTGTTTGCGGTTATGTCTGTCTTGCGCTTCCCGACAGCCTCTTTCGCAAGTGGGAACAGATTTATATGCCCAACGGTTCACAGGCTTAGCGGAGCATTCCATTTCTATTGTTTTGGTTTTTTTATATACTACGAGGGTGATAAACACGACCCATCTGATGGTAAATAGCCGTAGATGAAAAATCCGTAGCCAATTGACGTCTGAAACATCAGAGGTATTACGTGTGCGTTATCGATAATTAATAAACCTTAATATGGAGAGAGAATGGGGTTTTCCGAGAAACCTTAATTTACTCTATTAAGGTTTCTCGGAAAACCCCATTCTCTGGATCATCTCAGGCATCTCACTAGAAAACTTCGGCAGATAGATCATTCCACAATTGTTATTCTAAAGACTATAACCATAATAATTGACAGATATCGGGCATGCGATTACTGGAGCGATACGGCATGAGTGAAGTGGGCATGGCTCTGAGTAACCCGTACCGACCAACCGCGGCCCGCACGCCGGCCCACGTGGGCGGCCCGCTGCCCGGCGTCGCGGCCCGCATTGCGACCCCCACCGACGGCGGCCTTGCCGCGCTCGTTACCGTCGAGTGCTCGGGACCTGATACTTGTGTAAGTAAATCAAACATTACTACAATTTAAACTTCTTACTGCTAGTACGACATCGGCAATGTACCTAACTCGCCTACACTACGCCATCAAGAAGCAGGATATTGTCGACTACATATGGACCAGGAGTAACCTGACACTGAGAGTGACGCAGCTGGAGTCAAATCACAACGCGAGTTTCAAAGAGTTCGTGGCCTGGTTCCCCACCAACATCCTGATCACCTTCATAAAGAAGGACTACTGGCCGAAGAGGAGTATCGGCGCTACCGTAGCAGATTGCCGTCATCAGAGTCGTGACCACACAGACAAATTATATTTATATCATTATCATTCAAATATATAATAATATGTTAGTCCATATTACTTATTGAGTAGTAAACGGTTATTGTATTCTATGGACCTGCAATACCAGCCGTGTGTCGTGCTTGTTGCCGAAACTTAATGAACTTTAATATCTCCTTCTTGAAAAACCCCACGGTCTAGTCTTTAGAAAGAACCTCGGTTGTTCATTTCACAATCTGAACGTGCGTGGGAAAAATTTTCTCTAAAACCGTACTGTCTGTGACCACTTAGGTTCTAAGGTATATTGAGGAATTCCCTTTTTATGGTGTGCTTTTTTTCGAGCTACTCTAATGCTGTTGGTCGCAGCTGTCCTTTATAGCTTTACCGGACGATAGGGGGCCAGTGCAGATAGCACTTCAAACTTGCGAAAGCACTTGAAGGCTAACTCCTGCCTGATGGATATGACTGAGGCACCGCTAGCAGTTTCAACTGATACTCAATTGTTAGCCGGAAGAAATTTATAAGAAAAATCGTATATATTTACAGATATCTCTTGAGAAACTGGGCCTGACAAAAGAGCACCAATCGAATTCAGAACAGTCAGAGTGGCAGCCGCCCAAAGTAACAGTACACCAGCTGAGCGAAGACGGCACCTACCAAGGGGAACTGCTTTTGAAGGGACCCGGGGTATTCACCACGTATGTAAATATGTTACTTCGTTTTTTTTTTCCTTCCCTATCTTCCCGGATGTCAATTTCCAGGATTTCTACTTTTTTAGGGACTATTCTAACATATGTATATATACTAATTCCACAGTTTACATTTTTGGACTTATTTTAAAACATCCTTTTATCTTCTTACTTTCTTACTTATTGCTATTTCATTTTAATTTACATTTTGCCTCTTTTCTCTTTACATTTCCTTATCCTCTATTCCTATTTCTATTCTATATGCTTACTTGCTATTGGTCTTTGCTACTTTTTCTATTATTTTTCTGGTGTACTATATGAATTTTTCCCCACTTTTCCGATTTCTTACTATTTCGTCGTATTTTATCTCTAGTATTTCTGTTACTTCGTTATTGAGTTGAGGTCTTTTTTTCTAATTGTGGAATATCTTCGAAAGGCCGTCACCCCACCGTAGATAAGGCGGGGTGGTGTGTGCGATTTATACACATTAAAAACCACACGAAGTACATGAAAGCGCTAATGTAATTATATGTACTAAAAATATTATGTGAACTTTCTATCAAAAATAAATAATATTATTATTTTTGTATGTATGCTGAATGTGGAAATAAATCATTTACTTATTATTCATCTTTAACTAACATAGGTACTGGAATCGCACGCCGAAACTTGATTCAACCGATTTCACCGATGACGAATGGTTCCGTACTGGCGACACAGCTTTATACGCCGACGGTAAGTTCAGAATTTTAGGTCGTACCTCCATAGATATAATCAAAACTAGTGGCTACAAAGTTAGCGCGTTACAAGTCGAATCGGCTATACTGGAACACAGCAGTGTGGCCGACGCAGCCGTGTTAGGCGTCGAGGATGAAGACTATGGAGAAATAGTCGCAGCTGTTGTAGTTTTAAAGGAAAACACTCAAATCACGCTTAAAGAGTTGAAAGATGAAACAGGGAAGAAACTGGCACCGTACCAGCTACCGAGGACACTGTTGATAATAAAGCAAATGCCGAGAAACGCAATGGGCAAGTTAGATAAAAAAGAAATAAGGAAATTATACGGAAAAGACTTAGGACTGAAGAAAGGGTCGAAAAAGTAAGTTAGAGTATTGAAAATTAAATTATATTACTTTAAAACATAACTGAATTTCCGAAACAGAACATTAAAAAATTAAATTACTTTAAAACATAACTGAATTCCCGAAACAGGATATACAAAATTAAATTGCCTTAAAACATGATTGGAAAATTTTAAAAGGCATAAATATTTTTATGCGTATGTAAGGGAATTTAATGAACTTACTATCTATGTGTAAGCGTCTCGTTCTGTGCCTCAAAAAACAAAATAATTAAAATTAAATTTTGTAAAAGTTAATTGCAGATAAGACGTGTGGTGTCGATCGCATCTAGGTACAGACTGCGTGGCGTGCGTTGCGCCGGTTATAAGTTTTTAAAAACGACCACGACACCGCACGCAGAGACAATAACATAGACAAACATAATTTTAATTATTTTGTTTTTTGAGGCACAGAACGCGTCGCTTACACTATGTTTTATTTTTTTTTCAATTGTTTCGAGTTTGTACCGAAATCTTGCGAGTGCTGCTTCGTGCCTTGCCTCAAAAAATGTTAGTACAATAAAATGTACATATTTTTAAAATATATGTATGCCATAATATGCAATTGTACAAATACATATACAAATTGTTATTGTTTCTATTTAATTAAATCCAATTGTTGTACTTAATTCATGGTTGTTTATACATTTATATTTATTAATTGTTATTTACATGACAATTGTTATTATATATTGGGTTGTTTAATTTTAAAATAGTGATAAGTTAAGACTGATGCTAAAGCAAAAAATATTTAATCGGTATCGACTTATATGTCCTTTTTCATGATTTAATACAATTTAAACTTTTGTTTTTGTTACTTTGTTCACATTGCACGAGACGAGACTTTGTTTCATTGTGAACAAATCCACAATTGTTACTTTATTATTGATTTGTTTTCTACTTTATATTATGTTTGTTGATTTGTGATAAAGTTTAAATATTATTGGTACTTTATTAATTTTATAAATAACGATATGCAATCTAATAATACAAAGTTGTGTTTATTCTATGTATGCAAAATAATTTGATTAAAGATGTTATTATAACGCCAAGTAAGTGCCTTGTCCATATATATATATGTAAAAATTGGAGTGTCTGTTTGTAATATTGGAAAAACAGTTTTTTACTACATGCATATGAATATAAATACGGTACATACACCAAAACAACATTTTTTGCAATTTTTGTCTGTCTGTTTATTCCGGCTAATCTCTGATATGGCTGGACCGATTTTGACGGGACTTTTTTGGCAGGTAGCTGATGTAATAAGGAGTAACTTAGACTACTTTTATTTGAGAAAAATAAAGTTCAATGCCACACGGATGAAGTCGCGGGAACAGCTGGTATATCATATATTAGAGGTTGCACGATTTATATACTAAAAATTTTCCTGCTCTAAAAGACTGCTTCTGGAATATATACAAAGCATATAATCTATATAATATATAACACAAAGGTGACTGACTGACATAGCGATATATCAACGCACAGTCCAAACCACTGGACGAATCGGGCTGAAATTTGGCATGTAGGTAGATAAATTACACCTCTATAAATAGGGGATGAAAGTTTGTATAAATCTTAGAATTTCGACTTTGATTCAACGCCCATGGGGATAAAATAAGGAATGATGCAGGATGTAAATGTATTAATTTGAACCTATCACCTAATGGAACGAATAAATTAAGACGAACAAAATAATTTTTAGTTTTTTTAGCTACTTTTATTTTGCAAAAATAAAGTTAATATCGCGCGAACAGCTAGTTTCCTATAATGCTACTATGTATATATAAGTCTCTACAATATCACCTCCTATACCATATTACTATATATGTACAAGTATACATATATGTTTGTTAAATACATTACTGTTATTGATACATAATTTTGTTTTATTAAATTTATGCAGTACATCGTTTATTGTAGTTTTAATTTTATGATTATTGAACAGTTATAAGTAAGTTTTTTTAAATGAATCATAATGGAATGTTGCACTTGCCTGTGGTAATGGTATACGCTGGCGAAGCACCAGTGGAGAATGATAAGATGAGCATGAGGTCAGGTCAGTTAACCCATCGTGGCAAATACACCAGGAATTTATCACGATGGCATTCCAGAGTGATCCGCGTGAGGGTCAAACAGTACATTGCTAGCATTAATCCAAATTACTAACAATTCCCTTTCCCCATTCCCTTTAAGGATAATTACAATATAATATTATACAATACAATACAATATATATACTATTGTCAGAGTTCTGTCTTATACGTTTTATTTTCTTGACGGCCTTGGTAGTCTAGTAGTTTAGCACACCGCTTTACATCCGATGGTCGCGGGTTCGATTCTTCGCACGGTACAAACATGTCTATTTACGAGTTACGAGAGTATGATTTTTTGTATCGGGTGTTTTCTATGTATATTATATATGTATTTACAAAAAAATATATCTAAGTATTCTGTCAGTTGTCTAGTACCTATAACACAAACTGCTTTTAAATGATAATAATATCTAATTATATTATTATTATTTAGTACAAAAAACAGACGGCTCTTAAAATGAGTTACTCCATTTATTTAGTTAGAATTTTATTAATCAGTAGACATTTGTTTTTCACTTATATTATGATATTTATATACATTTAGATAAAACTCCTGGCAGCTACCGTCGCGTTAACCAAACATGGTGGCGAAAAAGTTGCATAGTTAATACTGTCCGACCAATTTGAAAAAGTAGCTACTATTGACGTCGTTACACCGATCAGCATAACGGTCGATGCAAAAACTACATCATACCATGTCACCTTACATTCATAATTATTGTTACTTCCAATTTCTGTGTAATTACTAAATGTCTTATATTTGGTGTGGGAATCTAAAATAGGCTCGAAATTTGACAGTCCGCCATTTTGTTTCCCATTGGAGTCACCATTTTGTTTGTAATTCAGTGCGTCATTTTGAACATTGTTTTTAATGATTATGTCTGTATTAAATGTCCAACTTGACTTATGTTTAATTCCATGCGCATCATTGTTAATACCATTTTGCTTCAGGTTCTGATAACTTAATGACGCCTTCTTCTTCTTTTCGGACATCTTTGTTTTCATGTAACAGAGTTTAAGAAAGAATAATGGTGGAAAAACAAACATCAGCGGTCCTGTTAGCGTTGAGCCGACTAGTCCCATCACTAAGTCGAATCTTGGAACTGATTCTCCTAAGAACACGGCCAAACCCACGATCCCTGACCTCAGCAGACAGCGCTGTAGGCTGAAATCTGTAAAATTATAATCACTTCAAATTATGTTTTCTTATTGGCATGTGCAGTGTTATAATTTATGTAATTAAAAAAAAACTGCGGGCCCTATATTTAATGAATGACAGACAATACGGGAAAAAAAATATTCCATTATTTAAAAAAATCCAATAGATTTCAATTATTATTTTGAATGAAGTCAGATGACAGCCCGAATCTAGGGGAGGTAACCTGACAGATTAAATTAGATTTAATTATGAATCATCTGGTTATATTAGATCGGTGATACTAATTCTCTTATTAGTATCAGAAACCGCCTAATTTAAAAGTAATAGCGGTAGTCAGTCATCCCCCAACTCATCGCATAGCACTGCAACACCTGTCTGCACACATTTTTCGTTCAAGAGTTCTTTTTTATTTGAAATGAGTTTGAGTTGAAGTGTTAAGTGTACTTCTTTAAAAACTATACTGTACTAAATAATAATAATTAAGATCAATACATAAGTATTAGTAGTTTACAATAATACAAATGACCTAGTGGAGTAACTTGAAACAGTCATGCTCGCTATAAAGTTCAAACTTGTGGCGGCGTGGTGGGTCGGGTTGATGTGCTCCCTCTATTATGGTTGAGTGCAATGATGGCTGGCTCATCCATCATACTCGTGAACGGGTGCTGCCTGTGGGGACTGGTCTGTTCAGGTTGCGAACACTGATTAGATTTTTTTTTTAATAGCATATGCTGGTGGTCCCTCTATTCTCTCAAATTTGAATTTAAATGAATCTGTATTATTGTAAATATGTACAACATTAAAAACAAAAAAATACGAGCTGAGTTTCTTGTCAGTTTTTCTCATCTCGAAATCATTCCGAACTGACGGTAGATTTGACATATCATATGAATCTGTAATAGACCTACATGAATAAAGATATTTTGAATAATGTATATACTTATAACGCAGAATGCGACTCCCACTCAGCTTTTTTGCTGTAGTATAACCAAGTTATTATACTACCTTAATATAATCAAGTGTATAACTTGGTTTTCACACAGCGTACGTACAGATAGCAAAAGAAAATAAAACGTTACGAATAACAATTTTGTAAATGTTTACACACCTCTAGGAATTTTCAATAATTCTTCAATATGCTGGAAAAGAGCTGAATTTCCCACAGCACTGGAGAGGCACAGCTGTATGGTGACCAGCAGCGCCACCACGTATAAAGTTATTGACGATGGCATACCTAAAACATCAGATGTATATCTAATCCCATCAAAAACATAAATGTGAAATGATAGCCGAGTTTAATATTATGATATATGCCTTGATTGTTGACTTCTACGACAAAAGAGGTGTATAGAATATAAAATATAATTTCTTCTTATAACTTAGGATAATATACTGTAGCCTAAGGTCTAAATATTAGGGGTGGCGACCCTTATCACTTAGCAGACCTACTGAATATGCATATAAAATTTCATAAAACTTGATTAAGCTCTTTCGAAGGAGTATGGTAACTAATATTGTGACACGAGAATTTTGCATGCAAACATACGGCTCATCTGATGGTAAACGGTTACCATAGCCCATGGACGCCTGAAACATCAAGGATGTCACGTGCGCGCTGCTAACCCTTAAAACCTTAATATATTCTTCTTGAAAAAATTTGATATTATATGAAACAAATAAATTACGTAACATCTCCTCATCACATATATAATACTAGAGTCGTAAGGTAAAAACCACCTATGCAGAAAAGAAAACACAGAAACAGTTTTCAGAAAGCCGTCACCTACCTGCATAAGGTAGGTGACGGCCTTCTGAAAACGACGGTTACCACTGCATAAAGAGTGTTTACTGTCGTGTTTATAAACAACGAATCTTGCAATATGTTGCTGATAACATTGCGACGGTTACAACCTCTTTAGAGTATTATGTTCCTTGGTTACCACTGTCTAAAGTGTTTACTGTGGAGTTATATAAAGAACGAACTTTGCAATATGTTGCTGGTAACATTGCGACTATTACCACTGTACAAAGTGTTTACTGCAAAATTATATAAAGAACGAACCTTGCAATATGTTGCTGGTAACATTGCGACGGTTACCATTGCATAAACAGTGCTTACTGCCGAGATATATAAAATACGAACCTTGCAATATATTGCTGGTAACATGATTCCCATATCTGTGGGCAGCCAGAGCCGTGGTAACGGTGAACATTGTGATGGTTATTGCAAACCCTCCCATAACGGCTGTGTTGATCTTCCTACCATCCTTCATATCAACTTGAATCGTCAGTAAAAGTGGGTGGATATCAAACTGAAAACCATACCATTTTTTATGGATGATAATGGAATGATGCACGGTCACTCGGATCGATCCCCCCTCCAATTCAAACAGGGATCGAAAATACAACGGCCTGAGGAGAGGTTTTTTTTTTGTGGATGATAATGGAATGGTGCACCCGCCTGCGCTAACGGTTTACGCTGGCGGGGCACCAGTGGAGGATGATAAGATGAACATAAGGTCAGGTCAGTTAGCCCATCGTGAGAAATTCACCAGGAATTTAACACGACGGTTTCCAGGGGGAACCGCGTGGAGGTCGACCTGACATGGTACATTGCTAGCAATGGGGTTATCAATCCACATTACTAACAATCCCCTTCTCCCCCCTGAGGAGAGGTTCGAACACCTAGCGGTACCCTCAGACTAAATTCGCAGTCAGGCGGGAGTCGGTCTTCAGCTGCCCATAAGTCCTTCCGCGGGGTTAAAGTGCCATCTGCTCTCGCCCTCTAATATTTATTGAAGCTGTAAAGGCCAACTGCGGCCAACAGCATTAGAGTAGTCCGAAAAAAAAGGAATGTGGCACCCACCTGCGTTAACGGTTTACGCTGGCGGGGCACCATCGTAGTAAATTCGCTACAATGGGCTAACTGGCCTGATTTAATGCTCACTCAATAATTTTCTACAGTGGAACGCTGGCGATACCTGCTAGATGGATGTCTATTACTCATTCATGCAAAAACTACTGACCGGTTTTGATTAAAATTTACAATAACATAGCTTATACGTATAATTAGTAAAAATCACGGGATCTTAACACGTTTTATATTTATTTACTGTGTTCCCGATATTTCGCCAGTGTTTCAACTGCCATGATCACGGGTAAACTCAAATTTAAAACAGTTTAAAACATAGCTAATACATCAGAATAACACATGCGAGTGAAACCGTGGCGCTTTTAGTTAAGTTATGCGTTTTAAATTGTATTAATTTCTATACATCGTTAATGAAATGATAAACCATCGACCATCAAATGGTTTTCTATACAAGTTACATAAAAAACTGACAGTAACAATCATACCTGAAAGGCTATAATCCCGTAAGCGATGAAAAATTCCTCAGGGTTGGGTTGATAGTCAAGCAAGCGTCCAGTACTGGGCGGGGAGACATCATCATGAAGTATACATGACCAGATTGACACCGCTACAGTGGTCACAATCAGCACTGATGTCATTGCCAACGGCCTGGAATTAACGAGTGAATTTATAATGTACTAGCTGACCCTCGCGTTCTCCACCTTTTGCAATATTTCCATTGCAGCTCTGCTCCTACTAGACATAGCGTAATATTATATAGCTTAAAGCCTTCCTCGACAAATGGACTATCCAACACAAAATGAATTTTTCAATTTGAACCAGTAGTTCCTGAGATAAGCGCGTTCAAACAAACAAACTCTTCAGTTTTATTATATTAGTATGGACTAGCTGACCCGCGCAACTTCGTCTGCGATTCATCTCCCCACCTTTTGCAATATTTTTTCATTGCAGCTCCACTCCTATTGGTCGTAGCGTAATGTTATATAGCTTAAAGATTTCCTCGACACATGGTCTATCCAACACAAAAATAATTTTTCAATTCGAACCAGTAGCTGAGATTAGCGTGTTCAAACAAACAAACAAACAAACAAACAAACAAACAAACAAACTCTTCAGATTTATAATATTAGTATAGATTAGGGAACGTGCACGCGAAACAAGCCAGTCCGTACTGTCATAGGTGTCAAGGGAAAAAAGTGGGGGGACAGAAAGCTAAAGGACTCTAATATAATAATCTGTGCTTACAACGAGTGTAAAGTTGAATTTAAACAGCTAGAACAGTATCTTACTGACGATTTTACTTACTTCATATCTTTCGGAGAGCCAAGCCACATGACGGGACAGAGTAGGAGGGCTATGATCAGCATCCACACACAGTACGTAATGCTCACCTCACCTCCGCTGATCTTCCACCAAAAAAGCTGCATGCTCTGTGAGGCTAGTTGCAAACACAGCAGAAAATTCTTTACAATCTTACTTTCTCTGGATGGTTAGAGAACATAGGAAAGGTAATTAACCAAACAAATGTGATTCCCGAGGTATTTATTGTACACTGTCATTTCTCTGCTTTTTCTCACCCTTCAACCGAAACACAAATTGCACGGCAATTGAAATTTAAGGTGAGACAGAGAGAGAGATGCAGACTATATGTAATACTAGCTGACCCGCCTAGCAACTTCGTCTGTACTTTAACATTTATAATTATATCCGTTCAATAGTTTTTTTTTAAATAATAACAAACATCCATCCATACTGTTAAAATTTCATCAAAACTTCCGTTCAATAGTTTATGATATAAGTATGTAATATTATGTTATCTGTGATATTAGTAAGTTAATATCCCTGAACAATTCACACTGATTCATGAATTTAAAAATGAATCTGTATTTTTTCCATTCTTGTATAAGCTCATTTGAAAAGAATAAGAGCTGAATTTCGTGCCAGTGCTTTATATCATAAGAATCTGTATTAGACCCTTACGAATAAAGATATTTTGACTTTGTTGTTAGGGTGTTATTTTTCAATTCTCACCTAAAATAAAATTAGGAACTCCGGCTCCAAAAACGGCTGCGTCTATCAGAAATGTCACTATCCGTCTTGCTGGTACACCAAAAGTTAATTCTGCTACTGCAGCGTATGGTAGTCTAAAAAATTATATGTAGATAACATTAAAATATGTTATTACTAGCTGTGATCGCGTTTTCACCGACATTAATTTCAATAAAAAATATAGCCTCTGTGTTATTCTGATGTATAAGCTATATTACTGTAAAATTTCGTCAAAATCCGTTCAGTAGTTTTTGCGTGAAAGAGTAACAAACATCCATACGTGCAAACTTTTGAGTTTATAACATTATTATGATTAGGATATAACCGTAATGGAAAACAAGCTGACGGTCCAACTGATGATAAATGGTAACCATTGCCAATATATTAACAGTACCACTGACATCACGTCATCACGTTTACCATTCCAATTACATAAAAAAACTAGTGGATAAGGTATTTACTTTTGTCTACTGATAATAGCAAATTTAAACAGTGCGCCACCCGCCTACTCTACGCTACCAAGGAACAGGACATTGTTGACTACATCCGGACTAAAAGTAACCTGACATTGAGGGTGACGCAGTTGGAATCGAGTCACAACGCAAGCTTCAAAGCGTTCGTGGCCCTGGTCCCCACCAAGATGCTGCACCTTCATGAAGGGAGACTACTGGCCGAAGGGGCCAGTAGTCCTCCTTCATGAATTCCTTCTATCGGCGCTACCGTGGCAGATTGCCGTCGTCAGTGCCGTGACCATAGAGACAATTGTATTTACATATCTTATTATTATTTCTTATGCATGTTAGTCTATAAGGTATTTATAATATGGGCCATGTAGTCTGAATTAAATAAATAAACGAAAACATGTTTTTTTTTCTTTTTGAATATTGCTAATTGGCAATCTGATTTTATACAATAGTCTAATGTAATGGCTCTTTTTCTTATTATTTATTATCTTAATTGTTTTTAGTCCATTCAATTCCTTTCAGCTCTAAGGCGCTGTCTGCGAATCTTTCCGCTAGTCCCTGCATATCACATCTTTAGACTTAGACTCCCCGACCTCTGTAATTGTGCGGCTAGTTCACTTCTGTGTCCATTTAATTATCATTAAATACTATCATTAATTTAGAATGTATTCTTTCAAATTAATTGTTTTAACCAAAAAGGTATAATGAAATGTGGCTCGGTGGTTATCACCTCACCACTGTAGCGTTATATACAATGTGATGAGGTGTTGCTACATAATTTATTCGTTTATTGTAGTATCTATGTAATCAATATACAGCTGTAATAATTCTACATTAGTAAGTTTATTTGATAGTATGCTACATGGCTGTTTATTAACGCGTAGATTCGACGCGGGGTCGTAACGATGACTGATTTTTACATTGAACTTAAATCTATGTTAGTGAGGACGTAAACTGGAAGGGTCGCAAGTGTTGACAGAAATATTACAAGCGTAGGCACAGAAACATGAACTAACCGATCCATTTTGCTTATGTTAGGCGCTATCTCCTGAGCGAGGATCCAACATTTTCCTAACAATACGGCAGTGTACAACTGCAGTCCAAACACACACACTACAAGCGGTAATCCGTATATACCTGGAAATAAATATTAATGTAATATTGTAATTTTATTACTTCATCTAAATATATATAACTCAAAGGTGACTGACATAGTGATCTATCAACGCACAGCCTAAACCACTGGACGGCTCGGGCTGAAATTTGGCATGCAAGTAGATATTATGACGTAGGCATCCACTAAGAAAGGATTTTGATTAATTCTACCCCCAAAAGGGATGAAAAAAGGGGCTGAAAGTCTGTATGAAACTTTGTGAATTTTAAACCGATCGGGCTGAGACTGCATGCATAAAGTTACTATGACGTAGCATCCCCTAAAAAAGGATTTTGATAAATTCCATCCCTAAGGGGATAAATTAACGCGAGCGAAAGCTAGTATATCATAAGCAAGTTCTTCTTGAATCACTCTATATATTGCTGAAAACTGCTTTAAAAACCATTGAGTAATTTAAGAGATATAAGCGAACGGACAACGGTGTTGACTTGTTTTATACTATGTAAAGATGTATATGTTTATAATATGTTGTTTGTATAATCTTTATTTTAATTAATAAATTACCTTATAATATTAAATTTTATGTAGACGCTGTATTGGAACTGACTGTCCTAAAATCAAATAAATAGGTAAACATAGCCTGGCCCCTGCGATACAAGCTATGCTTAGTGCAGAGACCGTTGTAAATAAACACAACTGACCACTTTGTTTAACAGTCATAGGTTAAGTTAAGTTAAGATCTATATTTGTAAAGTTGTGTCTCATGTGAAGTGTCTTTTCTTGAAATAAATATTATTAATATATGTATATTTTCTATTATTTTATTTATTACTATTATTATTTATGTTTCTTTCATTACATTCATACGCCATCCACCTTCTGTCTTTTCTCTGCCCAAAGGTTGCCTGGAAGAAATCGCTTAAGCGATAAGAACGCCTTTTGAGCCTACATACTCTATATATTCTGTTTTTTTTAAGGTACAAAGTGACGACCTCGGTGGTCTAGCAGTTTAGCACACCGCTTTACGTCCGGTGGTCGCGGGTTCGATTACTCGCACGGTACAAACATTTGTATACATAAGTATGAGTGTTTGTATTGGTCTGGGTGTTTTCTATATAGATTAAGTATGTATTTACAAAAAAAGCATATATGTATTTATATAGTTGTCTAGTAACCATAACAAAAGCTCGGCTTAGGTTGGGACTAGATGGCGATGTATAAATTGTCCTGAAATATTATTTAACACATACATATACTAACGAAACTAACTATAACTTATATATAGAACTAGCAACTCGCCCCGGCTTCGCACGGGTGTACATGTATCATATATATAAACCTTCATCTAGAATCTAGATATTAAAAAAACCGCTTCAAAATCCGTTGCGTAGTTTTAAGCATACATAGAGATAGACAGCGACAGGGACTTCATTTTATACTGTTTTATACATACCACAAGATATTACGCTTTTAGGTAATGCGATGACGGGGAAGACACCAAAAAGGTCCACTATGCACAGTATTGTGAAGAACACGCTGAGACCACCCGTAGTTTGACCCACACTGTAGTCCTCATGATGGGAGATCAGAGATGTTGGTTTGTTGGACACGGTCAAGCTCTGTATGACTCCTGATATCCATGGAAGCTTCATTATGGTGTCAAATTATATTTTTGATTGGAGAATCTGTGAATTGAATATGTACCTACTTACTTTTGATAAAAACCGTGTAATATTGAAATAACTGTTTTTTACTACGTGCATATGAATATAAATACGGTGCATACAGCAAAATAACATTTTTTACAATTTTTGTCTGTCTATCTTTTCGTTCCGGCTAATCTCTGAAATGTCTTGACTGATTTTGACGGGACCAATTTTGGCAGATAGCTGATGTAATAAGGAGTAACTTACACTATTTTTATTTTAGAAAAATAAAGTTAATTTCCACGCGGATGTATTCGCGAGTACAGCTAGTTATTAATACAAGTCAATTTGTCTTGGTTATATGGTCAAAGTCGAGGGTAAAACGTGTGCAACGATTATATAAGTTCATTCTATACAGTTCTTGGGACAGCACTCACTATATCTTCCAGTAAACTATTTTTGACCTCTAACTAGCATAGGTTACTGTACTAATTTGTCAACCATCGATGTAATAGTTACGATCTATAAATTTTCACCCCCATTAATCTTAAATCCCATACAGAAATTAATTATCTAAAATTGGGATAGGTATTGTTATTAATGGAGACCAATAACTACAATATATCAGGTTGACCTCCGCGCGGATCCATCTGGAAACTATCATAATAAATTCCTGGTGATTGCGCGAAGATATACTAACCTGGTTATCATCTTCCACTGGTGCCTCGCTAGCGCAAATCGTTAGCGTGGGTGGCTGCACTATTTCATTATCATTTATTAAAAAAAACCTTACACGCCACTCTTGCTTCATTCAGATTTAAAACCTGGACTCAAATATGGCGGTTCCAAAGTCTATCGAATCCTCCATCATTATTTCTTTCATCAGGTACACAAAGGCACGATAGTTATATGTAGAACTAACAATTCATATAAATATAAAAAATATATGTACCTGACATTATATAGAAGCAATATTTATACATTTCATCTTTTGTCCTTATACGTATATATGTATGTAGGTCTTTAATACACGAGACCTGATGGATAAATTTAGTAATCAACGTCCAATTGATCCACAACTATTATTCATGAAGATTTCGTTACAAATATATTTTTAATAACAATTTAAACATTTGTTAGAAAAAAATCACAATATTCAGACGAGAAATCCGAATGTTGTTCACGTCGAGCACTGTTTTTTAATAATTGATTTGTTTTCTATTCATAGTAAGGTTTAAATTTGATCGTAAATTGTAACTAAGAACACAACGGCTCAGACATTGGCCGATGAATGCAAACAGCAAAGGATTAACGTAACAGGCCTAATGAAATCATTGTACCGTGGCTAGGTACAGTCGATAGCAACGAGGATTCGCCAAAGAGAAAGCAATTATAGCATTTCTAAGATTATTTTTTAACTAGTACCTAATTGCATCAACCGAAATGCAATACAAACAAATATAAATACTCGTGTATATCTTATTCCATATGGAATAACAGGGTTTAAGAGTATTTAGAGAAAATTAGTTAACTAGGGGAAAGGGAATTATCAATAATGTGGACTGATCACCCCATTTCTAGTAATGTACCATATCAGGTTGACATCCACGCGGTTCCACCTGGAAACCATCAGCATGAGCTAACTGACCTGACCTCATATTGATCTTGTAATCCTCCACTAGTGCCCCGCCAAAATAGTGACTGATTGATTGATAACTGAATCAATCAGTCACTATTTTGGTGACCATTATCATCAATCACCTGGTGGCTCAAGCGTCCACATTTGTCCACATTCTACCATCGTAGAAGAAAAAAAAATATTTAAACTAGTAGATTGCCCCAGCTTTGACTGGGCACTCATTATTTCGTCAGTTTTGTTTTGCCGCAGAGCGATTCAGTTCTACTTATATTATAGAAGCGCCTGTAAAAAAAGGGTTAGCAAATAAAAGTATTTGATATTGTAAAGATTGATTTTGTATAACAAAAATAAATGTGGGTAGTTTCGCCAAGTTTGATGATCGATCAAACATATTAAACATTTTTACCTGTATTGAAGTAGAAGTTTATAAAATGTGTTGCGTTTAAATATATTTTCTGCTGAAACTTCTGTGCACATGTATACGTCTCATATAGCAAACTTTGTATGTCCGTAACCCAATATCCGCTGCGGGTGACCGAACGTTGACTTGCTCTTATATGCTATAGGTATCGCCTATTAATATAGGTACTTTCTATATTACTAAACTTTAATCTCTTTTTTTTGCAAAAATCAATAGTCATAATGAAGTAACTTTTTTTTTAGGTTTTAGGCACAGATTTAGTGAAGACGCTACCTACCATCACTCTGCATGAGCTATCAGAAATCATGTAAGTTACTTTTTTTAGTTAATTTTTTCTCATAGACTAGATAATGAAACAAGATAAATGGGTTAGAATACGAGTAGATCTATCTCATGGCCAACAATAACAACTAAACAACACAGGTATATTGTTTTAAATTTGTATTTATTTATTATTCAAAAACAACTAAGATTTGCAATTAAAATTATGCTACTGATGGCTAAAAAGCAGAATAGCTTTAGGCGTGCACATGGGTCCGTAAATTACATTATTGTAGTAAATAATATGTATGCTAAATTTATAACACGTATACAATTATAAAATTTTAGAAAAAATGGAAAAAATTGATTAACAAACAGTTAACAAATATAGTATAACCTTTTAACAATTTGTAATTGAGTGGGTATGTGTGTGTATATGAGATACAATAGTGGATGATAATACTGATTGCCCCTACACTCCTTATTTACGTTGGTCTTTTGGTAAGAAACCCGTGAAGGATGAAATCACGTTATCTGGCCAGTCGGCGCGCAGCTTCTACAACTTACGGTAAGTTATAACCACCGTTTCTAAACATAAACACCACCACGGACATTTCACGGACATGTCTACGTCTTCACATGATGCTTATTGTACTTCTTAAATCTAGCCATTCCAGACAACTAAGATAACCGTACCTATATTTTACTTTTAGTCGATTTATTTGGCCGCAGAAATAGGTCCCCTCCGATCGTTCCCTCGTCCAATTCAAACGGGGATCGAAATTACGACGGCCTGAGCCGAGGTTCAAAACTCTAGTGGCGCCCTCAGACTAAACTCGTATCCGTCAGGCAGGAGTTGGCCTTTAGCCGCTCCATATGTCCTTCCGCGGGTTTGGAGTGCCATCTGCACTCGCCCCCTAACATCCGGTGAAGCTGTAAAGGCTAGCTGCGGCCAATAGCATTAGAGTAGACAGAAAAAAAAAAGAAATAGGTAAGGAATGAGTATGAAGTACCCACTGGTGAGAAAATATATAATGGACCTTCCATTATATATTTTGAATTGGACGGGTGGATCGATCACTCATGAAACGATTTTTGTACAAAGCCTACCTTGCTATATAAAATATGCTATGCTATATATATTAATCTTTTATGTCAAATAAATTGTCAAATGAAATGTCAATTTTAGGTTCGTGTCATACGATGTCAGCAGATGTCAGTTTCTTACTGATTTCTTTCATTTTATTTTTGTTGTAGTCACAACATTTACTAATTTAATATCTAAATTAAATGTAATAGAACAAGAATTAAGATAAATGGTGTAACATATCTCTACTTTGGTTTTATTCAATTGCAAACATGGAAGAAGGAAATTCGATTATTTATGGTTTGGAACATCAGGTAATACTTTATAATTATAACTTTAATATCAATATTTATCAAGAAACTTAATATATCTAAAAAAACTTAATGTATCTCTTTTTATTGTAGACGAGAGCACTATCAGCCCAATATGGAGAAAGCGATGCTATTAGATTTCTCATTGGCACGCAGAGTCTCAAACCGCAAGCAAACCAAGTGCATGTTGTAGAGCTAGAGGAGGATACGGGTGCATTACATACTAAGGTATTTCTTTAATAATAATAATCTTTAACAATAATGATTAATAATAATATAATATCAATTCATATTCGAACACTGTCATACATCCTCTACAATAATACAAAATATCCCACATTACTATACACACATCCTTTACACTGCATACAACCCCTATTACATACTTCTAGCACTTATCAGTTAAAACAATACTTTCTAGAGTTTCTCATATAGATTTAATAATCCATTTTCTACTTTCTCTCTTAGTAATAAAGATACATACACCACACATACTATTAAATATCTGCGTCTAATAAATGTTATATATAATATATGTTACAAGAGAGCACTGATATCTATAGCACAGGTAATACCTAGTGTAACCAACACTAGGTATTACCTGTATATCAGGGCCCTCATTTTGTATTGCACAACTTTCTGCCATTTGATTACCTAGCTAACTAACTTCAACTATTATGTACTGCTCCTTTTTAATGTTGTAATCTTGTGGCTAATTCTTTTATTTCAGGTATTCAAACATGAAATTGGTGAGGTATGGCACCTGCGCTGCTCTCCGCACGATGTGGCCACTTTACTCACCACACACAATGCATATGACCCTAACACCTCCCAGTGTACCATGGGTGTTACTATATACAAGCTACCCACTGTAGAGGTAACATAACTTTCAATAATACTTTTCTAAATGAATCTTAATGTAGTAGTCATTACATAATATAAAATAAAGTCGCTGTCACTGTCTCTGTTTATGCTTAACTTTAAAACTATGCAACGAATTTTGAAGCTGTTTTAATAGATAGAGTGATTCAAGAGGAAGGTTTATATGTATAATACATGTACACGGGGTGGGTGGCTAGTAATATTATGAATGCGAAGATTTGTGAGTAAAAACTATATATACCCTTTATAATATTAGTACATATAGACTCTTCTCTATATTTGTTTATTACTTTTCCTAAATAGCTTGACTAATTTGCATGAAATAGAAATAATCTTTATTCAAATAAACTTAATATTCAAGTTTCATCACAAGAAAGAGCAAGAAACTTGAGTACTGCACTTTAAATAAATATTGTTTTAATTATATTTACATTAACAAGGATTAGGCATGTGACCATCAACATAGAAACCCCTAGGCACTTAATCTCTCTTCAATCAACATTGTCAAATATTGTGTGTATTCCAATCTGTTCCTAGATAGTTTAAAAATACAATATAAATACATAAATATACAGTCTTCTGAGTTTGAGACTAGTTAGTTGAGTCTGTGTTATGTAAGGATATTATAATTTTTCTTTATTAATAGGTAATCCCAAAAGATTTGGATGACCTGAGTGCAATACAAGGCAGGAATGCTGAGGATATGGAGCTACTGAAGACTATAACACCAGAGGTATATAATCTTATAAAATTCTCATGTCACAATGTTAGTTACCGTACTTCTCTGAAACGGTTAGACCAATTTTTATGAAATTTTGTATGCAATTGCATATTCAGTAGGTCTGAGAATCCGATACCATCTATTTTTTATACCCCTAAGTGATAAAAGTTGTCCGCCCCTAACATTTTTATTTTATTTTTTTATAATGTTGCATTAAAAAATACATACAATCCTATATTTTTACCCTTCTAACACAAACCCCTATTTTTAATAGCGGTTATAATATATATGGCAAAACAACTTTAATATTAGTAAAAGGGGGATGGTCTGTTAGTAATGTGGACTAATAACACTGTTGCCAGCAATATATGGTACATGGCCAGGTTGAACTCCATGCGGTTCTCCTGGAAACAATCGTGATAAATTCCTGGTGAATTTGTCACGATGTGCTAACTGATCTGTCCTCGTACTCAACATCTTCCACTGTTGCCCCGCCAGCGTAAACTGTTTGCGCAGACGAGTGCACCATTTCATTATCATCCCCAAAAAAAAAAATTTGCTGACTTGCTCAACTTTGTCTGTGACACACTTGACATTTCTCATTATATTTTGCCCAAACTACATATTTTTTTTAATATATGTTATACTTATGTATAACCTACATTACCGTAAAGTTTCATCAAAATCCGTTTCTTAGTTTTTGCGTAAAAGACTAACATACATCCATTCGTACTCACAAACCTTCGCGTTTATAATATTTACAAGATATATTTTTTAACAGAAACCAGAAGACGAAATCCGCTGTGCAGAATGGCATCCCACAGACCCGAACCGTATAGGCGTAGTCTACGAGGGTAGTCTGCGTGTACACGACGTGAACACGGGGTCTGCGGTGACAACAGCGGCGCCCGAGGGACGTACCCGCCTCAAATTCACTGGCGGCAAGTGGAATCCTCATCAGGGACACACTCAGGTTTTTATACTTTCCCTATTACATGATTTTAAGTAAACGGTAATTCTTCTTTAATTTTGGTTAATTTTTATTATTATTTTACTTGGAGTATTTTTATTTATATTTACTTATAAATAAAAATACTCCAAGATCTTTGGGGGAGGGCTATGTTCAGCAGTGGACTTCTTCCGGGCTGAGATGATGATTATTTTACTTTTATATTAATATATTGACATCCATAAAATTGTTATATGGGGCCTGACCAAAATAGATTTGCTGATTTATTTAAATAAAGTCAAATTAAAATGTAAAAGGTTAACATAATAAGAGCACGGACTTTGTCTGTGGAAGGAAGAAAAAAAAGAAAAAAAAGTAGTTGTGGTATAACAGATAACAATGCAGTCATACGACTCAAGATTTACTTATCTGTCTGGTGAACCATATGGTTTATTTTCATCAATATATATTTAACTAGCTGTGCCAGCTACTCTGTCCGCGTGGAATAGTGACCTTGGATAGCATTTATAATTATTATTTTTATTAGACTAACTAATAATATAAAAAGCCAAATTCAAAAGTATGAAACTATTTTCTTTGGCTTATAATTAGCTCTAATTTAAAAAATGAGAAATCGTAGATGTGTTTGGGGTTTAGCAACCAAATACAACCTACTGCATATCAGAAGTCTCTATATAGGTATCCTTTCTTTGAATTGCGCCTACTTTATAAAATAAATATTCCCCGATTTTACAATACGGCTTCGGTACGATATATGACGGCATGATCTAGCGGTTTTGCACACCGCCTTACTTCTGATTGTCGCGGGTTCCATTCCTCACACGGCACAAGCATTTGTATTCATGAGTATAATTGTTTCTATCAGTCTCGGTGTTTACTATGCTCTAATATGTATGTATTTACCAAACAAATATCTATGTATTTATACCAGTCATCTAGTGTCGATAACACAAGCTTTGGCTAGCTTAACTTAAGTTAAGCTAGCCAAAGCTTGTGTTATCGTCACACAGTGCCATCTAGGCTTAAGCCTAGATGGCGCTGTGTGACTTATCCTGAGATTATTGTTTTTATTATTATTATATACATATATACATAACATAAAATTATTAACAGTTTGCAGTGCTCCAAGATATGCATGTGAAATGCTACGACACACGCGATGACTGCAACAAACCATCGTGGTGCATCGACAACGCGCACAGGCAACTCGCAAGGGACCTAGACTTCAATCCTAACAGGTAACATATAGGAGTTTCCATGTTTGCCTAACATGTATGGAACCCTTACTCTATGACAGCTATATGTTTATATAACCTAATAATATGGGGCGGGCTTGTGTTCATGCTTCAATTTCAACAGACGCATGGATACAAGTCTACTCTACTCCCTCCCTCAGAGGGTGTAGGGGGGCGTGGTCTTGAGGGAGAGCGCAGGTCGTGTAGATCCTCAAGGCAAGTTCGGTAGATATCCTTCACGAGGTTGCCGCCCTGTTTTTGGTCTAGTTCCTTATGAAATAGACGTAACTAAAACTGCCGGGCGCCTAATGCAGGAATGGAGAGGTCATGTTCTTGCGTGTTCATCGTCGAATAAGACCAGACGGTGGACAGTGATGACCTCCCGCGTGTTTGTGCCGTGCGCGGAGACCCGTACGGAGGGATGAAGGAGTCCTGGAGGTTGAGTGCAGCAGTGTGCCGGCTGTAGTTGTACGCTGCTCACAACACGCCTCTTTGGTCCGGATTTCCGCCTAAACGGGCGGTCGTGGAGTAGCTAACCACGATCAATCGGCTGCGACTTCCCATAAGCGGGCAGTCAAGCGAGGTTCGGCGAGCTGGGGGAGGCAGTCGGCGCGGCGCGGCGTCTCGGGGCAAGCTTGCAGTATTGTCTCGTGCTGTAGATGTCCTCGTTATTCTTCGCTGCGTGCGGGCTCGTCTACTTCTCAGTTTGCTAGACCTATACCAAAGGAGTAGCTCTGGCGATCATTCCTGGAAATGACGTCCCCGATGTGAGGACTCCGTGGCGGGTGGAGAGCTCCTGAGGTGAAGTACATTTAATAATAACTTATGGATAGTGAGACTAAAAAAATAACAACAACGGCTGCGTCTATGAATGCGCCTAAAAACCTATTACCGAGGGGTGCGTCTCAGGATGCGCCGATGCGAACCCCGCTCAATGCTGCGTTCTCAAATGTCCTCAGATCTCCTAGGTTTATACCACCAAAACATGCACCGAACATGGCTGCGTCCGAGGATATGAGGATGGCTACCGATCGACATGCGCCAACCCAGGCTGCGTCTCATTACGTACAGTCCTCGTCGTCCAAGGATGCGCTGCGTATGGCAAATCCCTTTAATATGATAAGAACAGCTCCCACTGGGAAACCAAGGAATGATGCATTCTGCGATGCGACTACTCATGCTTCGCCAAACGTTGTGTCCTCCGAAGTGAACTCAGCGGAGCTGACCGATGGTGAGCCGATGGGGTCGTTTTCCGAGGCTGCGTCGTATACGGTGACAAATAAAGCAACAATGAATACATCATTTTCAAAAACAGATACAACCTGGAATACAAATTTCATGTCGGTCTCAAAGAAGCGGCGTCTGAAAGCCAAGGCCAAGGCTAAGGCTAAGGCAGCTGTAAAACGAGCAGAAGCTGTGGTTGCTGCGAAGCAGAGCGCGGACCTCGGGTCCTGCTCGACTGAAACTAAACTAGAAGGCGAGGCGACAGTAAGCTGGACTAGGGCCATCGAGCCACCTATCGAGGCAATTGATGCGCCCTCTGTAGGCTTACACAAAACCATCATTAAACCCAGGGGATGCAAAAACCCCAGTAACAACAACCCAAAACAACAAACAACAAGACCGCAGAAGCGCACACATCCGGAGGACATTGTCTCGTCGACCGAATGCAAAAAACTCCGAACTGGTATTGTCCGAGCGGCAAGAACTTCTACAACGAATGCTGAAGCGGGTGGCAATTACCTAAACAACGAGCTCTGCGTCGCGGTCATGATTGAACCCTTCACCGATATGACACAAGAGCAAGCTGAAGGTATTAGAAAACATATAGAGGAAAAGCTTCGTGATCAGATTTTGGCAAAACCTGAAACAACCCATGAAGCAGTACCAAATAATTTGAGATTTCGAGGCAAGACTCACTTTGGGGATGGCGTCCTCAAAACGTGGTGCGAGGATGAGTTCACACTAACCTGGCTAAATGAAATCATACAAAATATTTCCTCACCGGTAGCTAATTCAAAATTAGTTATCCGGCCACAATCGGCTATCCCAAAAAAGATACCGTGTCTACTCTTCGTTCCTGGATATACTGGGGACATTGTAACACTACGAAAACTTCTTGCGGGGCAGAACAGCAACTTGCATATTGACTCCTGGACCTTAACGTACGGGAAAATCAGAACAGAGCCACCAGGTACTTGCCTGTTTTTCCGTATTCCCGTAACAATCGTTAATTTATTAAAGGCCCAAGATAGACGCATTTACTATCTAATGGGGAACATTTACGTTCGTTTCATGGATAGAAAAGCTTCCCAGCAAACAAACAAAACCTCCACGCAACAGAAGCAGAATGGTCAAGGTAATGCGAATACGAAGAGTAAGCCGACGACGTTGGCGACAGATTCTGCTACTGTAGAAGAGCGCGTGGAGCCTGTAACTAGGATGGAGGTACTAGAACCATATTCGCCAGTAAATAGGTCGGATGAGGAGTACTATCCCGCGGGAGGAGAAAGCGAACAGGTTTCGTTTGATGATATCCTTTATTCCACTAATGAACAGGAACATTAAAATCCTACTAACATTAAACCTCTAGCTCAAACTGCGGCAGTTTTACTACGCAGGGTACTGGACTCAACAACAACAACACTGTATCCCTAATCCAAAAGCCGTTGATTTTCTGAACAGCACGGAATATGGTTTTGGCAATATCGAAAGAAAAGTAACAGGTACATCCTGAAGTAAACCAAGAGCCTATACCAGAACTTTAATTTTTGAATATTTAATCAATAATCGACACATACTAGTAATTACAATTTTATTATCGCGCCCCCTCCCCCCCCCCCCTTCTCTTCGCCTCGAGCGAAACAAAAATCAAGAATTACTTTTTTTATATATTCGCCTAAGATTCAGAAACAACCCTTCAACAAAGCTTAGTCTTGAATGTGTAGAGATTGTAATTTTCAAGTCGATTATACAGTTCGCAGTGCTGCACAATTTGTAGTTTTGGATTTGAATTTAATCTGAATATAAAATACCTTAAAATAACCAAATACAATCGAATTTAATCTGAATATAAAATACCTTAAAATAACCAAATACAATCTTAAACCAATATAATAAACGCTACAGACAGTCTTCTATGTTGAGACTTTGACTCCGAAGAAACGACCGCTCGCGTAATGCGTAGCAATGATCTCCCAACGTACATACAATTCCATGGACCAGTGAAGTCGCTTCGAAGTCTTTGAAGGTACCAGGACGCTCGTAGAAGCTTTTTGAAGCAGCTTGACTAACTGTTTTAAGCTCTGTATATAACAGCCCAAATATGGGACTAAATACTAAAACGGGAATCTACGTTAAGCCTATAAAGTAGAGGTAGGTAATATTAAATGTCAAAACGACTATTACAGTATTTAGTTTGCTTTGTATTGTATTGGAATCAATAGAGGTGTCTTCAATATACAATGCAGTGGGGTTTAACAATAAATTCTTAAACACCAACGGTGTCACCTTTGCATTGCCGACCCTTAGAAACCTTAATATAATCTTCTTGAAAAACCCCATCGAGTTAAAATAGTAATTTATTCTTGAATGCCTTTGCATTTAATTTTTTTTTAATTAACATATATATTGTTACAGGCAGTTTCATTTAGCAACGGCGGGCGATGACGCTGCTCTCAACATATGGGATTATAGAAACGGCAAAGAACCAATATTCAGCAGGACTGACCATTCACACTGGTGAGATTTAATAATAATAATACCCCAGGACGTTCAACACAACGCCATCTAGTCCCAAGCTAAGCAGAGCTGTTATGGGTACTAGACAATTGATATAAAAACTTAGATGATGCTCCCCATCCGTTGCTATGCTATTCCGGACGACTAAGATGTAATGCCTCTATGCCCTATAAATTCCCTTCAATCGAAACGAAGCTTACTCAGCAACCCTGGCGGATGTAATAGGTAATCAGAGGTGTTGTAACGTAGACCATTTTTGGAAACTACCCGCGATGAGATCGATATTTAAAGATAAGGTAAAAACTTTGTACACCTTTTTACAATAATTGAGTCATCAGAGGAGTATGAAATTTCGCACAATTATATTTTATATAGAGAAGGAATGTAGAACATTCCACAAAAAAAAATTATTCAAGAAAAATATATTTACATTACTTATTGTGTATTTCACACACACGTGTACTCTTTATGTTAGTCTCTTTATGTGGTCAACTTGAGTATACACTCAATTTGACCACAGACTATTAATATTATTTGTATATAGTCTTATTGAATTAAATATGGTCGAATATCGACCACTGGGCTACCACAAATTCATAAATCAACATAATATAATCATCCTTGTTTATGAACTTATTTTACGTAACTGGAAGACAGGCTTTGTAAAAGTCTACTTGTAAATTTTGAAGGTTAGTTATGGTCAAATTTACCTTCGCAGGGTATGGAGTGTACGTTACAACTCGTACCATGAACAACTACTGCTGACGGGCAGTTCGGATGGTCGAGCCTTACTAACCGCTGCCGCCAGCGTTTGCCGTCATTTGGACGACGAAGCCGCTCGCCTCAGCCAAGTGTATGTTAAACTCATTTATACCTAAAATCTTTTTACATATTCTTATTTTTTAAGGATTTTGGGCTACTGTCAGGTGTTTAATTTTTGTATAGATAATAATGGAATGGTGTACTCACTTGCGCTAATAGTATACACTGGGGGAACACCAATGGAGGATGATGGGATGAGTATTAGTGTGTCAAGTCAGATAGCCCATCATGATAAATTCACCAAGAATTTATCACGATGGTTTCCAGGGGGAACTGGGTCAGCAGTCCACATTACTAAAAATTCCCATCCAGGGGGGATGGGATGATGTTAGGTGAGGTTTTTTTTATGGATGATAATGGAATGGTTCACCCGCCTGCGCTAACGGTTTACGCTGGTGGCCTACCAGTGGAGGATGATTAGGTGAACATGAGGTCACGTCAGTTAGACCCTCGTGACAAATTCACCAGAAATTTAAAACTAGTGTTTCCAGGGGGAACCGCGTGGAGGTCAACCTGAAATGGTACATGGCTAGCAATAAGGTTTATGTTTATAATTAATCCACATTACTACGACCTACATATATGTATCGTGCTCGCCCTTATTTTTTCAAAGTCCGCTACCTAGTCCCGTCAGGGACAACAATTGAAGGATATTCTTAGGAGCGATGGTTTTTATATGCTCAGGCTACAGTATATTTTCCAAAGGAGATATATGATACATGAGTGAGCTACAACCATATAGGATGTGTAGTGGCGTTTCCTCTATACATTATCTTCTTTGTTTTCTTTATTATGTCTACATATTATCTTACTGCTTACTAATATTATAAACGCGAAAGTTTGTAAGTATCTATGGATGTTTGTTTTTTTCTAGAATTACATTTTTATTATATGTACCTGAATATTTCTTATTATGATATGATATACTATTATATTATTGACAATGATTATTCTGTATTCAGTTTGGAAGATGGCGTGTTACAATCATACGAACAACACGAAGACTCAGTATATTGCGCAGAGTGGAGCGCTGCCGAACCTTGGACCTTTGCATCACTGAGTTACGACGCGAGGCTTGTACTCTCTCGGGTGCCCAGACATTTCAAATACAAGATATTATTGTAACATATTTACTATAAAAAGTATTATATATCAATCTTGTGCAAGTTTTCAATATGTATATTATGTAACTAGCTGGTACCCGCGCAGAGACCAAGTGGAATTAATCTTTATTTTTATAAAAATAAAATTATACTAATTTACTCGTTATAATATTAGCTAGCTGCGAGTGATAGTCCCGTCAAAATCGGTCCAGTTGTCTCGTATATTAGCACGAACAAACTGACAGACAGATAAAAAATAACCTTATATACTTTTCCATTTGTCTCATATAACAAGAAGACAAAGAATATTTAAAATATTTTTTTATATACGAGTAAGTACCGTAGATGCTTTCATGTGCATTTAGTTAGGCTGTTAATTTAAAATTATACACACGCTTCTATTTTTTTATTTTGTATAAAAGATAATATTCAACAGACTTATTTTAGAAATTTAATAATTGGCTACAAATTATCTGATTGAGGGATGGATATTCTTTCAGAATTTGTTGCTAAAATAAAATTTACTATTGGAACTTATGTCGACTAGAGTAGTTAGACAATGTCAATGGCTACTCCATCATTGCAATACTTGACATGCCAAGATTTCGTTAAGTATATTTGAATCCAATCCTATGTTTTTTTTCTTCGACTGGCAACACCGACGACAATTGTCATTTTCAGCTGGCCGTAATAATAAATAAATTTTAATTGTTTATCATACAAATATTATAATTTCAATATTGTTATTAGTGATCTAATAGTGTAATTAGTGTCGATTGTTGTTTGTGTACAGTTTAGTGGTGTATTACTTGCAAAAATCGACATTACAAATAGTGTACCGGCCATCTGTCAAACTGTTCGTGAACAACTAAGTTTTATTCAAAATTATTTTGCAATTGTTTGTTGGATTTATCCCAAGAAACTCATAATCATTGCAAGTTTTACATAAAATATTCATATTAAGTTAAATTAATAATAATTATAGTGAAGTTCGGTTGTTGCATACGTCGAAGGAAAAAAATACCCACTAATTTAATTGTAAGTCTTTTTATATTTTGTATTATTATAATTTAAAGGGAATGAGCACAATTTATCTACATTTATTTCGTTATTCAGTTAAAACGTTTATTTAGATTATCAATTTATCAAATATAACTTGTTTATAATATACCTAGGAGAATTTATTCACAATTTTAACACTTAAACTGTATAGTAAGGTTCAGCTGCTGTTCTCGTTGTAATACTTAGCTTCTTTTAGAAATAGCTCACTTCACTCTCCCTAGTAACTATTTATATTCTTAATAATGTCACTATCTACCCGTTCCACAACTGCGCGGCAGACAGAGATGAAGCTTAAAGTGGCCCTACAAGAACTTCAGGCATCCAAAGATCTCAGTGACAAGTTGATCAGGGAGAGAGAAGAGAGTGAAGATGAAATTTTAAAAATTATAAATAAAAATACACAATTAAAATCTGAATTGTCAGAACTTTATAATAGTCATCAGGAAGTTATTGAGCAGCGGGATCAGCTTCAAGAACTATTAAGTAGCTTTCACCAATGTAGTGATACACATGAGCAAGCCTTGAGGCGTATCACTGAGTTGGAGCTTGAGTTAAAGCAGGCATATCTTAAAATTAATGATCTTGACACAAAATTTGAATCTCAACAAAGTAATGAGATTAGTAATTTATATGATGAGCTTATTAGTGTCGACTGTATGCCTCCTTCTACTTCAGTTCCATGCAGCCATCCAGTTGTGATTGACCTTACTAGTGACACATCACAGGGCAACTATAATAATAACCTATGTATGTTGAGTCATAATAAATTAAAAAAATATTTAAAATTAAAAAAGTTTATAACTAAGACTCGGAGTATATTATATAAACGTTCCAAAAATGGTCAGTTGCTGAAAAAAACTAGTTTAAACAATTTAAAATTGCATGATTATATTAATAAGTATAATAATAAACTAGTTGAAAGCCAAAAGTTATATGACATGGATACAAGTTACCTAACTTCAAAAATAAAGAGTTTAGAATCATCGCTTCATGATTTAAATAACAAGTATACTATCTCACAAAAACAAATCCAGGAGTATATTTTAGCAATGGATGATTTGATTGATGTCAGTAAATACAATGCTGACCGTTTTGAGTCGTTAACTAAACATTGTACATGTGATCATTCAACTTTGCCAAATAATAATTCAGTTTCAACTGTGCAGATAAATGAAGTTCAGGGGATTTGTGTCAGTGACTATAATCCTAAAAGTAGCACAATGGTGTTTTCTGACAGAATAGGCTGTAATTTTGGGTCTATATTGAAGTATCATCTTAAGGGTGATGTATTAAATTACTGTATGCCAGGGGCATCATTTGCACAAATTATTAACAAAATTAAATCTACTAAAATGAATAAAATGACCACAGTTGTGTTATTTTTTGGTAATAGTATTAAATTAAGTAGACAGGATATAATTAAAGGTATTCAATATTTGTTACAATTGAATGTATATAAGATTGTATTGTGTGCTCTTCCTTATACAAGTAGCCATTATCATAAAAAAATTAACAATAAGGTACATTACCTTAATAATTTATTACATACATTGACATGTCGTCATAGTGACGTTTTTACATTTTTTGACACTAATAGTTTTATTAGTGATTTTTATTTGACAAAAGATACAATGTATCTTTCTAAATCTTCTAAGAATAAAATAGCCACTTTAGTGGCTTATAATATTGACTTCATGAACAGTTTACATGGTAAACTTCAATATAAAAATTGTGACATAACAAATGATTCTATTAATTTTTGTTTAAATAGTGATATAAGTAATTTGACTGCAGATTTAAACTGCTAACAAAGACAAAGGGAAAGCAATTAGAATTGGTAATTGTTCATCAGAACATACAAAGTTTTCCCGGCAGTGAATTAATTATACAATTATTTTTGGAAAAATACAATATTGACATTATCTGTTTCACTGAACATTGGCTTAAAGAAAGCAATATGATGTTCAGTTTAAATAATTATAATGTTGTCAGCTGCTTCAATAGAAAGTCAGTTAACAGAGGTGGGTCTATGATAATTGCAAGAAATAATATTAAAGTAAAGGAACGTGCTGACATTGTTAGACTTTCTATTGAGTGTTGTACAGAAATCTCATGTATAGAACTAGATAATTATATACTTATATGTGTTTATAGGCCTCCTAATAGTGATTATAATGTATTTGAAGAGGTGATGGAGGATATATTAAAAAAAGTATTTAATAGCAGTAAAAAAATCATTGTGTGTGGTGATTTTAACGTTGATATTCTTTGTGATACACCCACATGTACAAAAATTATTAGTTTATTTCAGTCTTTTAATTTGAGTAATGTCTTTCAGGAACCCACTCGTGTAACCGCTACGACTGCTACTTGTCTTGACAATGTTTTTTGTAACTGTGAGTATATTGAAAAATTAATAATAAATAAACTTCCTTCGGATCACTGTGGTCAAGTTGTTAAGTTTAGTAATCAGACTAAAAAAAATACCAATAATAAAAGATCAAAAAGACAAATAAATGCTTACAATATTAATAAATACAAAAGCACGGTAAAATATAAATTAGACTTAGAGTTACAATCTGTCAGTCTTAATAATCCTGATATTCTTTACACCAAGTTAATTAGTCTTTTGTCAAAAGAATACCAGAATATTTTCAAGAAAAGAGAATATTGTGTTAAATCTAAATTTACAGAATGGGCAACAGTAGGAATACTTAAAAGTAGAAACATTTTATTTGATTTATATGATCAAAAAAAATATAGATTTGATGACAAATTTACGACTTATGTGAGAAATTACTCTAAAATTTTCAAACAAGTTTGTATTGCAGCTAAATCTAATTTTATAAATAAACAAATTAATCAGTCCTCTGACAAAATTAAGACCATCTGGGGAATTATAAACAAAGAAACTGGACGGTCTGAAAAAGCCTGCAATCAATTCTCATTAAATTATGACAATAAGTTAATAACAGCAACAAAAGATATAGTTCATATTTTTCAAGATTTTTTTGCTAATATTCCGATTGATATTACATCTTCTCTAGACTCATCTCCAATTCGAGCAAAAACATTACTGGAGGCTAATGTCAGCCCTTGCTCTTTAACATTTAAATTTTCACATGTCAGCCCTTTTCATGTCATAAAAATATTCAAACAGTTAAATTTAAAAAATACGGAAGATCTCTGGGACATGTCAGTTAAAGTAGTTAGTTCATTCATAGATATTGTTGCTCCTTATCTAGCTACTATTTTCAATAAATGTGTTGATAATGGCGTGTTTCCTCAATTAATGAAATTTAGCAAATTAATTCCACTCTTTAAATCTGGAGATAGATTTGAGCTAGGCAACTATAGACCAATTTCTATTTTGCCAGTTCTAAGTAAAGTATTTGAAAAGATTATGTTTAACCAAATGTTAAAATACTTCAGGGATAACGGACTGCTTCACAGTCAGCAATATGGTTTCACTGCCGGCAAGTCTACTACTGATGCAGGTGTAGCGCTTATTACACATATATTCGAATCATGGGAAAACTCACAGGATGCTCTCGGCGTTTTTTGTGACTTGTCGAAGGCGTTTGATTGCGTAGATCATGAAACACTTTTGTACAAGCTCAAACATTATGGTATTAGAGATAATGACCTAAGTCTAATGAAAACTTATCTAGAGGATAGGGTGCAAACTGTAGATATTGATGGTGTAAAGTCTAAGGGAACTAATATAAAAATGGGCGTTCCTCAAGGTTCAATATTGGGCCCGTTTCTCTTTTTAATTTATATAAATGACCTTCCCTACATGGTAGAGAAAGTTGCAGATATAGTGTTATTTGCGGATGATACTTCGTTAGTGTTTAAAATTGGTCGCCAATGTAATCAATTAGACGATGTAAATTATGCTATCTCTGCTATACTAAATTGGTTCACATGTAATAATCTATTATTGAACTCCAACAAAACTAAGTGCATTAAATTCACGCTGCCTAATGTAAAACAAGTAAATACGCAGCTATTGCTTAATGATGAAATAGTAAATTTTGTTAATGATACAGTTTTTTTAGGAATAACAGTGGACTCGAAGTTACAATGGGGGCCCCATATTTCAAAATTAGCCAGTAGACTTAGTTCTGCTGCTTATGCAATTAGAAGGATAAGGCAATTAACAGACGTGGCGACGGCAAAACTTGTATATTTTAGTTATTTCCATAGCATTATGTCATATGGCATACTGCTATGGGGTAAAGCTGCCGATATAAATACTATATTTATTTTACAAAAGAGAGCCATACGTTCTATTTATGGTATGGGTTCTAGAGAGTCATTACGTCAATGCTTTAAACAATCAAATATCCTCACCGTTGCCTCACAGTACATTTATGAAAATATTATGTATACAAGGAAAAACTTAGATAGTTTCAAGAAACTTAAAGACTGTACAAGTAGAAACTTACGCAATAAAAATAAGCTAATTTTACCTAAATGCCGTCTACACAAAGTTAGTAATTCATTTTATGGTAATTGCGTAAGATTCTATAATAAACTGCCAGAGTCTACGCTAAATCTTACAGAGAGGCAATTCAAATCTTATATTAAACAAATGTTATGTAAAAAAGCCTATTATAAGATAGATGAATTTATAGATGATAGCAATATATAGCAAGAATAAGTTTACTTGCGGACAACGTTATAATTTTAATTTTCATACTGCTTTCTTGATATATGATAGCGTAGCGGCTTTTGTATTGATTGCCGCATGCATCCTTATGTAAAGTGCGAATACTGTAACTACCATATAGTAATTTTTGTAGCTGTGACGTGGTCGTGTGGAATGAGTAGTCATGCTCACTAAAATGTCCAGACATGTGGCGGCGTGGTGGGCCGGGTCAATGGGCTCCCTAAAATATGGTCGAGCGCAGTGATGGCTGGCTCATCCGTCATACTCGTGAACGAGTGCTGCTTGTAGGGACTGGTCTGCTCTTATCACTACGACTGATTTAATCTTATTGCATGATTATATTTGACCCAAAAAATTAGTGCTTGTTGGTAGTTTGTATTCACACGTTTCGACTTGTAAATGTAAACTTACAAGGATTATTTAAAGAGCAACACACAAGTTTCTTGCTCGTTCTTCTTGTGATGAGACAGCTTTCCGAACGAGTGGTAGATAAAAAACAAATTGTTATGACTATTCAAAAGTGCTTAAATTAAGTTTATTTGAATAAATGATTTTCTATTCTATTCTATTCTATTCTACCGCTGAATATATTAAAGTATAAATAAAAAAATATCAGTAAATATATAACTTTTATTTAAATTTAAAATCTCTCCGCAACCCTATTTGCGACATTCCTCAAATTGCCATACACTTTTGAGGGTGGGGAACCCATTATAAGGTTACATATAGCTCTCCTTGCCAATGCAATGTTTTGATAACTGCCTAGTATATGAATTTTTGAGTCTGCTAAAACTATTCTTGTCTTAGTGACGTTTTCTATTGTAAATTTTGTTCTGCCTGCTTTACCCGCCAGTCGGCCTATTGCACGGCCCAAGTGGTCTCCCTGTAGATTCTTAACATCCTTAATTTCAAAGGACTCTACAAATAAATCGTCCAATCTGAGAAGAGCTAGGGCATCATCCACATCAAATCCATATATGAAAGCCTGAAATAAGGTATAAGTTTTAAGTGAATACACCAATCATAATTATAGGTACATAATATATTAGTTTGTGTATAAACTTATATAATACTTATTATAAATTAATTAATGTACTTCAATATATAGGACCCACATATTGTAATACTTAAATATAATCTGAGATCATTTTGCTGCATTTTTGGGTTACAATAATATAATACAGACATAGTTTAATTAAAAAGAATATTTATGAGCCTATTTATGATTCTAAATAAATAAAATCATATATATGCTGGTAGTGCACCAGTAGGATGAAATGTGGTTTGTTTATGCAATTTTAAAAATGTCTAAAAATTAACCATGATTTTTAAATTATCACGAATGGCAAATAATCTCATCTCCCAGTACTCTCTCTCTGGTACTTAGCAAAAACAACACCTATCTGTATGATAACATATTGGAACTCTATATGCTTGTACAAAAAGGTCAAATTATAAAATTTAATTTTCGCTCTAGCTCTATTCTATGCTCCAGTTTTGGTAGTCCACTGACCCTTATGGGCCATTAGATATGACCCTTGAATGTGTGCTCTTTACCCGGGCATACTGCTGGGGTGGACCATCCTAGCACCATTCATTAATGCTGATATAGTGAATTCAGCTATAGTTATGCAGCCACTGAAGGAATAATAATAATAATAATAATCATCATCATCTATTTGTCTCAAACAAAAACTAGTACAATTGCTGCTTATATAATAATAAAATTTAAATATAAGTTATATACAGCTTTGTCTCATTCAGAGACAAAGCTGTATATGTATAACTGAGAGAGGGCAGTGAATCCACTCTTTATGCTATTCTGTTATAGCCTTTGCTATTCTGTTATAGCCTTTATTAAATGGGAAGTATTATAGAATAGGGATATTGGGCTTTACCTTTACAAAATCAGCAGCCTTTTGTAAGTTGGCAATATCCTTAGTTTCTGGACCAACTTTGATCTCAACATTCCTGGTTTTGGTATTGAATCGAACTTGAAGGCACAAATGTTCAACTATTGGTGTAAAGATCTTCAACCAACTCTCTTTTAATGGTGTATATCTGGAATATTTAAAACATAAGTGGACTAAAATGGGTACTTATATATATAGACGTCACTCTGGCCAGTTTGATTTGTGCTTCATGAAATACATGTTTTAGTCGGTATATAATAATAATATTATCTTAAACTCACATAAAAACTCTTAAGGTTGACTCAAAACAATGGGTTATAGCCTGAAGAAATGTATGTCAGACCATGTGAGAAGCACCAACCTTTTCTGATGTTGGGTGCTAATGTAGGAGACCTTACAAAATAATTTATTAACACAACAAGTTTCAATATCCTGAGTACATCATCGTTTTTATGACTATCCCTACTGTTGAGGGTGTTCATGCTAGTGTTGTTATCCAGATCTCGTAGTTTCTATACACAACACCTACCATCTATAGATTAGTAAGTTATTATAGTTCAGAAGTGGTACACATGGCAACCGATATATTTTTGTTATAATAATTTGATTTAATTATATTTAATTATTGATGTAACAAATTGTTTAAAGTAATTATACCACATTAATTACAATAACCCCTGTTTAAATCAATTTAATAATAGTAATTATATTTTATTTACTACTAACTGTCCCCGCAACTATATCCGCATGGAATTTAACTTTGTTTTTCTAAAATAAAAGTAGCTATGTTACTCCTTATTACATCAGCTACCTGCCAAAAAAAGTCCTATCAAAATCGGTCCAGCTATTTCAGAGATTAGCCAGTACAAACAGATAGATAGACAAAAATTGTAAAAAATGTGATTTTGGTGTATGTACTATATTTATATTCATATGCATGTTGTAAAAAACTGTTATTTCAATATTACAGACACTCCAATTTTATTTATATGTATAGATTCAAGCACCATTTTTATTTTTATTGCATGATAATGAAAAGTTCCTCTCATCAGCGTTTACAGTTTACACTGGCGGTGCACCAGTGGAGGATGCCAAGATGAGAATGAAGTCACGTCAGTTAGCCCAATATTGACGGCCTCCGTAGCACTAAACCACTAGAGTGGTTTAGCAGCATATGCCTTACTTCTGATGATTGTGGGTTTGATTCCTCGCATGATAAGAACATTTGTTTTCGTGTGTATGATTGTTTGTGTCAGTCTGGGTGTTGTGTATATATATTCAATTCATAAAATGATACTGGTTGATATAAATCTACTTATTTCTAACCAACTTGCAATATGTTACTACCCTAAATCCTACTCCAATTTTTATCCACAATATCTGGGGTAAAACGAGTCGTTAGTTGTACGTCGCGTCGAGCAACTCAGCATATTTTCCGCGAATCGACTTTAACGGAACCATCAGCCGCGATCTCCGCGCAATCATCTTATTAGTACATCATCCAGTGAAATTCATCGTAGTGTTGTGCGTTTTTTAAAGTGAAACGGCTACGCGTATATAAGACCTGCACGCGGGGACGACACGAACCAAGTTGGTCCTTAGTTTCCCTTTTTTACCCAACAATTTTTGGCATTAAATAAAAATTGGAGGTTAACCTGTGTGCGGGCACGGGAACTTTCCTCATATTGACTTTACTTTCATTTGGCTCGGTATTCCTTTTTTTCTTAGGTCTTGAGCGGTTGTGTTTAGCCTTCCCTTGAATGCCATTATGTTCCTCTACTTCCATACCATCACCAGATTCCGAAATCGCTCTGCGTTTCACATTTTTAACTTTTACAGTCTTTTTAGCTGGCAGAAACTCTTCCACATTAATGTTTTCCACTTCCATTATGTAATATTTATTGTTATTTTAGATCATTTATGAAAAAATGTAATCAAATATGGTTATTTGCGCGAAAAAATTGCAAATTATAAATAAAATATTAAACACATGGTTTACATAAATAATGAAGATTGAGGGAAAGGCAACATTTATCGATATTACCGATTATCGATATTTGAATATCGACATGTCATGTCATTTTGAATATTTCGTATTGTTATTTCTATATTATTACTGAACTGGTTTAAATAAGAAACATAAGGATAAATCAGAAATAAAATAAATAGAGTTCATTTTATATTCGCTGTTGCATTAATTAAAATAGTACTCTAAATATGAAATCCTTTAGAGTTGTGTTGTGTCACGGACAGGATTACTATTTCTGGGATTTGAATGGATAAATCGATAAATTTCATTACCAGCATTTTTTATTATCATTACTATTTACTTAAATTAATTAATTCCTCGTGATATATTATCGTATCATTTAATCTCTTTCAATCTCGGACGTCTCTATAACATTACGTTCATGTAATATAAAAAAATGTAGCAATTAAGAACTCTGTCATATTTTTATTGAACTAACAAGAAATAAATAGTTAATCATTATTATGAAGTTAATTATTTATAGCAGTGTATAAAAGAATTTGAAAATTTTTTTGTTCGATATACGTGACACCTACTTGTCATAAATTTGACATTAAAATTCATGAGTTCATGATCGCATTTTTACAATATTTCGTTTTCGTCTTGTATGGTTATGTCATAGTTTTCGTATAATTTTTGTTATGAATCGATTATAGGTAAGAAATTGTTGTAACTAAAGTTATTATTTATATATTTCATTTGACTTTTGTTCATCCTTATTCTATTCTTTATCCTCAGGTATCATCCACCAGTGATACCTAAAGCCACAATGGCTACTCTCATCAAAACTGCTTTCGTAAAAGTAATAAGTCCTAGCCAAGGAGGTAAGATAGCGGCATGTACCTTCGTACAGAACCGTAACATAGCTGGTAAAGCCTTGAGAGAGTCTCTGCCACCACCGGAGCCGAAACCAGCGCCTTTTGACTATGTCAATAAGGACTATACTTGGTTGCGAAGCTTATTCGATCGCACGACCCATAGATTTGATCAGAACTCCAAAGTGGTGGTAGTGGAGGGGCCGGTAGCTGCCGGTAAGACGCAGTTCGCAGCTGCCTTAGCCGAGGACTTGGGAATGAAGCATTTCCCTGAAGCCAACATGGATATCCACTATATACGTCCGAATGGCTGTGATTTGCGGATGTTCGATAATCAAATTCCCGAAGACACGAGAACTTTCGATCATGTGAACTTCAATTTGACACCGAACCATCGTTTGGCTGGAAATTTCCAGATTATGATGTATATTGCTCGTTACAACCAATATATCGATGCATTAGCTCATTTGTTGAATACTGGCCAGGGGGTCGTGTTGGAAAGGTCTCCATATTCTGATTTTGTTTTCTTGGAGGCGATGCAGTTGCAGAAGTACATCAGTAAGGGTGTGAAATCAGTTTATTATGAGCTTAGAGGAAACACCCTTGAGGAGCTAATGAGACCTCATTTAGTTATCTATCTTGATTTACCTGTGAATAAGGTAATTACTAATAACATAAATATTTAGTACATAAACTATATTTTGTATTTACATACAAAAACAAAAATTCAACTATTTCTATCAGTTGTTTAGTCCCCCATAGAACAACAAACTCTGTACAGATTGGGACTAAATGATGCTGTGTGAATTGTCATGTGTTATTATTATATAACACAATTAAATTAAATACATCTTTGTTAAGAATACAATTGCCCAACATATTATATATATATATACATATTATATACGTATATACATATTATACACAAAAAAAAATTGAATTTTGGATTTGCTCTGTTTGATTAAAAAAGTCTTGTTAAATTCATAACTCAAGTAAAGAAATTACATTATTAAATCCAGCATATCACTCAAATACATAAAAGTGCAAATACCTTATACTATGGAATACTGTATATGTATTTTATTTTTATGGATGATAATGGAATGGTGTACTACATCTGCACTAGTGATTTATGCTAGTGGGCACCAGTGGAGGATGATAAGATGAGCAGGAGGCCAGATCAGTTAGCCTTTTATCAAATTCACCAGGACTTTAGCACAATTTCCAGACAGAACCAAATATTGATCAAACTGACATAGTACCCTGCTAGACCTGGTAGCCAGCAATAAAATAGAAGGGTGAATGTTATTGTTAGTAATGTTTTTATAGTATTACTAAAATAGTAATGACCCCATTTCTAACAATGTACCATGTCAGGTTGACCTCCATGCGGTTCCCTCTAGAAAACCATCATGATAAATTCCTGAAGAATTTACAACAATGGGCGATCTGACCTGACATCATACTCATCATCCTCAAACGGTACACTGCCAGTGTATACCATTAGCACAGTTGAGTGCAACTATCCATTATTGTGCATTATAAAAAAAGCAATAGATTTTTTTTTTTCAGACTACTCTAATGCTGTTCGTTGCAGCTGGCATTTACAGCTTCACCAGACGTTAGGGGGAGAGTGCAGATGGCACTCCAAACCCGCGGAAGGACTTATGGAGCGGCTGAAGGCCAACTCATGCCTAACGGATACGACTTTAGTCTGAGGGCATCACTAAGGGTTCGAACCTCGGCTCAGGCCGTCGTAATATCGATCCCCGTTTGAATTGGACGGGGGATTGATCAGAGGGGAAAATCAATAGAATAGTAATTTTTTTATTCAAATAAAGCTGGAAATAGCATCTTTAGATCACTCACTAACATTTTTCCCTCCACTGTGTATGAGAACATTAAATATTCTTAAACTTCAATTCAAGGTGGTGGAAAACATAAAAGCACGCAAATGTGAGCATGAGGTCAACGGTAAAGCATTGACACCTGAATTCCTCACTGAAGTGGAGAGACAGTATAAAAACAAATACTTGAGAGACATCTCCACTCATGCTGAGCTGCTGGTGTACGACTGGACCGGTGGTGGTGAAGTTGAAGTGGTATGTAATAGATGTTTTTATTGATGATTAAATTATGTAGTTTGATAGCCTCCATGGTTTAGCTGTTTTACTGCACTACTTTACTTCTTTATTTTTATATTATGTAGGCAATAAAGTATATGGCCCATGTGCTGGTAAATAACTACCATAGCCTAGGGATGTCTGAAATACTAGGGGTCCCGCACATGCGTTCTGGACCCTTAATAGTCTTGAAAAATCTCATGCTGTAGTCTCTGATGGTTGCGGGTTTGATTCCTCTCACAATACTTACTTATTCATATTATTTCATATTGATCATTACGGTGTTTTCTATGTATATAATGTGTTTAAGTATTTCTATCATTTGTCTAGCACATATCAATGTATCATACTAAAAGCTCTGCTAAATATGGGACTATATGGCGTTATGTGAACTGTCCATTGTGTATTTTGTCTATAATTCCATTCTACTTAAAGCTTTGAACACACTACTGCTTAAATAAATTAATTGCCATTCCAGCAATCAATATTCTAGTTAGAAACTAAATTAATATTATAGCAGACACAATATATGTCAGGTATATGTCACGATATATGACAGATATTATCTTGCCTCCAAAAGCAGCGCCATATACCGAGTTCAATTGTATTATCAAACGCATCCAGGAACCTATTGAAATACAGTCAACCCTCCTATAACGCGGTGAGTGCGTACCGCGTTGTATGGAAACCGCGCTATAAGAAACTCGGATTTAACAATACAAACCAGGCTAATTCGTAGCGCGTTCTATGGAAACCGTCTACCGCGTTGTATGGAAACCGCGCTATAAGAGACTCAGAATAAGTACAAATCACATCATTCGTACCGCGTTATATGGAGACCAATAAATACAAAAGACAAGATAAAAATAAGGAAATGATGAAAAAAATGAAACAAAAACTAAACTAAAAAACTGTTTTCCAACAAAAACAAAAGAAAGACTTTTGTAAAATGATGTAATCTTTGAACACTCATCCTCACTGTCAGATATGAGTCGCCTAACTCGCCTTCTTTTAATGGGCAAAATGTCTTCCTCACTTGGTTGATCTTCACATTGGTTTTAAGCGGCTAAGACATAAGCAGAACGTAGTTTTTCTATAGTTCACGCGACAATGTAGTCAAAAGATCACATATATATCTTTCATGTTACAGTTTCGTTAGACACACACACTCATGGCACGCTGTCGATGCGAAACTATTTATTTAATAGAAGTGGAAGATAGCGCATGAGGAGCCTGACCCGTAAACCACGCTGATATAAACATATCCAGTTAAAACCATTCATTGGGTGCACGGAAAGAACTGATGGGACGTTGTTGAACGGAAACCACGCTGTAAGAGTACCGCGTTATAGGAGGGCTGTCGCAATTTCAGCTCCGTGTTATATGGAAACCGCGTTCTGAGAGTACCGCGTTATAGGAGGGTTGACTGTATACACAAAATTCTATCCAATCTTCTCCAGTCATTTAAGGAGGAGTTTGGTAATAACAAACACAAGTATATATAAAATAACACACAATGAACACAAATTCTAAGAATGGTAAAGTCGCTTGAAGCCTTTGAAGACACTAGGAATCCTGGATCTACAGCACAACAGCTCAGATCAGAGGCTAAATGCGGAGAGAGTCCATATTACATTACATATATTAATTACAAACACTTAAAGTATTAAATTTACCCTCAGGTGGTGGAAGATATAGAACGGTTGGACTTCGATAAGTACACTGAACGTGAGGATCCCAAAATTAAAGACTGGCGACTCCCGCGCGAAGTAGAGTGGGCCGACAAGCGTATGCTGTACACCAACCAGAAGTACCATCTGATGAATCTGTTCGCACTACCCAGATATGATGTACCAGAGCTGATCACCAGTGCCGATGACGCGTATGCACGTTTCAAGGTAAAGTTTTTTTATTGGAATCGCGAACTGGGTGATGGTAAGCTGTAACCGTCGACTATATACATGAACATCACATTATATTATGTCGTTTCCGTGATACTACTCATGCAGTAATTTCACTGGTGATGCAGATTGCATCCTATAACCGAAAAAATCCTTTTTTTCGGACTACTCTAACGTTGTTGGCTGCAGCTGGCCTTTACAGCTTCACCGGACGATAGAGGGCGAGTGCAGATGGCGCCCCAAACCCGCGGAAGGACATCTGGAGCGGCTGAAGACTAACTCCCGCCTGACGGATACGACTTTAGACTGTGGGCACCGCTAGGGGTTCAATTTCGATCCCCGTTTGAATTGGACGGGGATTGATCGGAGGGGTGAACCACATCTGACAAAGCAAAATGCTTGGCGAAAACTCATGGGGTGCTAGGAGATTGTTAGTAATGTGCACTGTTGACCCTATTGCAAGCAATGTACCATATTAGATTGATTACACACGGTTCCCCCTGGAAACCATCGTAATAAGTTCCTGGTGAATTTGCTACGATGTTCTAACTGACCTGACCTCATACTCATCTTATCAATCTCCACTGGTGCTCCGCAAGGTTAGCGCAGGCGGGAGCACTATTCCGTTTTATTATTATTATTATAGCTTTAAACTTCTACATAACACATATTTTTCAAACATATAATTATTATATTTTTGGTTTATTTGTTTTTAGTTATTTTTGAACTTTCGTGTTTAATAAACATTTAAAAAGGACACCATTCCGTTAACATCGTCTAAAAAAATTATCATCCACAGGTCATCGATGGTCACCCAGCGTTTGAGTACATGGAGGGCTACACGAAGGACGACTCGGGTATTATCACAAAAACCAAGATGCCCAAGTATACAGAGTATATATAATTAGTGTTAACATGTGCGATGTAGATTGAAAATGTATTTAATAAAACTGTTATTTAAGGCATTTGTTTCCATTTTTCAACAAATACGGCCGTTATATTCCCATGTGACAGCCGTTCTGATCGATAGAAAATTTTGTGAATTTAGAAGCTTGAAGTAAAAACTTTTAGAATCCTAAGCTTGAAGTAAAAACTTGACTGTAATTTTGTATAATTTAAAATACTAGTAGTTCGCCCAATAGTCGAAATAAGACCACAATTATTTTAACATTCAGTAAGACTATAGACAAATGATATAAAGACCAACATTATTAATATATTCTAAATTTGCTCATAGACTTTAACAATAAACAAGATTATATATTCGTAGCATTACACACATAGTGTGTGTAATGTTTTTTTTTATTGACTTAATTCAGAATAAATGACATTTCAATTCGCAAACCACCGCAGTCTTGCTTGCGAACCCCAATCACACTAGTAGACAGCGGCGACCTCACCCATTGCGAGTCTCCGGGCATTGAGACCCTCTTGGTTCTATGTGAAAATTATATGATGCTAACGATTATGCGGAAATTTTCCGCTGATTCAAGAACACACATAGTGTTTTTGAATCAGCGGAAAATTTCCGCTTATTTTACACTTTTAAATCTTTTTTATTTTATTTGTATATTTCAGTGTTGGTAATTTTGTTCATTTGCGATTAAATGCCTAAATCGGGAAGTTTTTTGCAAATTGCCACTAGGTAAAATGCTAATCACTGGTTGTTTAAAATTTGATTTGGTTGTTAAGCGAGGGCCCTGCAAGAGCGAGGGTCCGGACGATTGCCCTGTTTACCACCCCCTAAAGCCGCCACTGCTAGTAGATGATGTTCAAACAGTCAATATATATTTTTGACCGATGTTTTATTTGAAAGCTGTTAGGTTATTAAATGACAATACATGTCTTTTTTTTTCTCCGTCTCCTAATCTTGATGTTGTTTTTATTTTAAAACTGACACTTGTATTCCCAAATATCTTTTATCAATATCTGAGCAAGTCATTACATTACATGTGTACATAGATATACATAAACAATTAAGCCGGTAATATTAGCAGTAGCGCTGTAATATGCCTGTTCTCAGTTGTAATTTTTTAGTTAGAAATACTTAATACTACATTTTTTTTTCAGTTTATTCATGGCCTGTACACGTATAACTAAGGCCCTATAGTGTTCACTTATTTGTTATTTAAGTCTTCTTATATCTCCTGGTATGTAAGTTGTTATCGACATAATATTGGCTCGTTAGCCGCACCTTGCGCACCGCGGCCCGTGTACGCTGCGACGCGACAAATAATAAACCGCTAGTGTTTCCACATACACTACAGGCGCTAAATCATTAATATGCGAATTAAGTGCCAAGGTAAAATAAATAAAAAATATACACAAAATTGTTTATCAGTTATTTTATTCGTCTTAATACATAAAATGTATAAAACAATTTCTGTATTGTACACAGCACCAAGTTTAATATTACTAAATAGATATACATTTTAATCTATATAATATCAGCATATATTTATTCATAATTGAGAAATATCGTTATTAAATTTAATTATGAGTAAATGTTAATTTTACAAGTACGTCTCGTTCCTTATAATAAAGAAATGCATATCTCGTGCTTCAGCACTGTACAGTTTAATTCTGAATTGGAAACGAAAGTGACAAAACACTAATGTCTATAATAACACAATTCGTTATTATGAATGAGAGGGATTATATGTTATAATATTATATTTATTGTTAGCAATGCATATTTTTTAAATAGTTTATAGTATATGATTTATAAAGAATAGGTAGTATTATTAATATACAAAACTTTATTCAATAAAATTTAATCTAGAGGTTAAAAGGTTATTTGCTCTCAAATAAGGGGCCATTCAAAGTTACGTCTCATTAATTTCTTAATTTTAACCCCTGACCGCTGTCCCGTCACAATTGTGAGACTCCCCCTAGTGTGACGTCATATAAGATATTGTAAAATTAAACTATTTTCGTTAATAATTCAAATTACATATCTTAATACTTAGATATATCAGATTAACAAATGTGTTGTCATAAAATTTAGGACCTCCCATTGTCACACTTTGTCACACACCATACCCCTAACATGTGACGTAATTTACGGACCCCCATTCGCTGTAGCTATAATTTATTTGTAAAGAAATAATTGCATATACATATAACACTATATATATTGGACTAATAAACTGAAAATATTACATGTAAACTTCTTTTGATTTAAAAATAATATTATGGCACGCAAGACCCGTGTGCTTACGCATTATTAACATAATTAATACATTAGAATACATAAATTATTACATTATACATACATTGGTTTGATTACATTACATTTTTCAGCTATATAAATTTTAAATACATTTCATAAAGTATTTTATAATGGAATGTCAGTGTTGCATTCAAATTAATTGTGAATTTTGTGATGTGAACAAAATTCACTTGTGACATACCCAAAGGGGGAAGGGAAAAATGTGACTTAGCCCCCTTCTGGGGGGTCAGATAAAAATCTAATTTACCTCCTCCATCTGGTCATATCGACATATGACTTGCCCACTCGCCCTGGGTCAAATGCTGGGTACACCTACGTATGTACATATTATTATTTTTTAAACAATAAATAAAAGGTAAATAACATAATATTCGAAAATAATACCGATTAAAAATGCTTTGGCAATATTTCATAGCAATTATTTAATCGAGATGATTATCATTACCTAATTTAATTACTAATATTATAAATTCGAAAAAGTCCAAAGTATTACCTTTTCACGACTAAACGCCTGATTGGATCTTAATTAAAATTGACGTGAAAATAGGTAGTATCTTTCATCTCAAAAAAACAGACGAAGTCGCGGGTTATCACTACTATGTTATTACAATATTGTTTGTACACAGGCTAGTTATACATGTGGAACTTAAATGCAAGATTTCAATTGTGTTTTGAGAAAGAATACTGGTGGCGGTATGTTAGCAACAGACTTACTTCTTATTATTGGGGGTTTGGGCTATTAAGATCTGTAGCATTGCGACCTACAGAGATCTGTTGTTCCCGCCTTGTTTCAGACTTTGCTTAGATCCGTCAGGATATTGAACTGAAGGATATTCGTAGATTTGAATTTAACAACCGAAGCACGGAATCATCCTACTGAAGTTATAAAATCTGACTTAATGTAAAATTCTGTTATGTTTTGTGAAAATATGTGCAAGTTATTTTTGTTTCGAGTGATTGCAGTATTGTATTATGCAATTGCGATTAGCCCTGTATAATGGAGCGAATAGCACAAAAAATTCGTGAGAGTCGCAAGCAAATCAACGATAGTATGTAACTTAGTTATTCATTGAGATACCATGCTCCATTGAACTACAATGTTTGGTAAAATATGTAAATTTATCGTTGTTGTCTTTGGAATAAATTTAAGTGACAATCGACCTTACAAAACATATGTATCTATTACAAATTTTTAAAAATCCTTTCTGTCCCATTTAAACATCGTATAAGTTTGCAAATATTTCAATGTGATAAAACCACACGTGTATAGCCGTCTCCAGCAGGTAATTTAGATTAAATATTAGTAATTAACTGTGACAAGATATCCTAATTTAGGAGAAGCTTATAGAGTATTATATGGTAAGGCGTTGGTCCGTTTTAGGCTGTATTTTCATTGGTCGATAGAGAAACAGCTGTGTCTCCTTGTGTTTTCTAAACAATATTTAACAACGATAAAATATGGCGTTTGCTAAAGAAAATTCACTTATGAACAGTTTGTTTACTCGTGATCATGGCGGTTGAAACACTGCCGAAATATCAGGAACTCGATAAAAATAAATAATGGTAAGATACCGGGATTTTTAATAATTATACGTATAATCCACATATGCGTTCAAAGTATCGACCAATGAAAATACGTATTTTTAAATAACATAACCTACGGTTAAGGGCAATGACTAAAGCAATAGAAATCGTACTGATATGGTAACTAAAATTAATATATTAAAATTCAGTATATAGAATACAATATCATTATTAGTACTGACAACATTCGGAATTTCAAATCTTAATTTGCCATATAGGCTATGTTTTCTCACTCCATAAGGCCATGTATAAATTACGTCAGATGAATTTCAAGATCTGTGACCAATTCCCCGTCATTGTCACATGTGATTAGCTGTGACAACAACTTGTGAGACTCCCCCCAAGTGTGATATGTGTGACGTTACAGGTTTTAAAATTTGAGCTATTTGAGTTAATAATTAAAATATTTCGTGTTTATTCAATAATAAATAAATAACGACTATTAAACAGTATGGGACTACTGTGTAATTGTCGTTATTTATTTATTAAAGTAACCAGAGCTTGTGTTATGGGTACTTGACAACTGATATTTTTTCTGGAAATACATACATAATATACATAGCAAACACCCAGACCGTTACAAACAAAAATAATCAAGAATAGAAATGTTTGTACCGTACAAGGATTCAAATCTGCGACCATCGGAAGTAATCAAATTTATTACCTGAAAGGGTACTAAATTTGTTCCCTTGTCACACATTGTCGACCCGTAATTTATGTATGGCCCCTAAGTATATACGAGACTTTAGTTTTTTTTTTGTTGGATGGCCCTTATGTATGTATGTATGAGACTTATTTTTTATTGCTTTAGTCATTGTCCTGAGGGCTACTATAATAGTGCAACACTATAGTATAGTACGTGGCTAAATATCGATAAGATAGGGCGAGTCTAGTGCCCCGAGACCTGCCGCTACGCCGCCTTCGTCTGCATCAGCCAATTTCGTACGAAGCATGTGCCCTACCTGACGGTTACTGATGATTTTATCCTTCGTGCTGAAATGGTCATACCTCAGTTTTATTCATCATTATTATTTTTTATAGCATAGGGGACAAACGAGTTTTAGTATCAAGTAAAAACGAATGGAAAAATTAGAATAAAATTGTAACGTATGTTATTATATATAACATTCTCGTGTCACAATGTTAGTTACCATACTCCTCCGAAACGGCTTGACCGATTTTTATGAAATTTTAAGGGTAGTTTAATTTTTATATGGTAGAATAAAGGTTGACCGTAACAATTTGTTTTTATTTGTGGTAAATTTTTTGAATAAATTTAGAATGTGACTTTAAAAAATACATAAAACCACAAATTTACACGTTTCTACCATCAACCCCTATTTCTCAATAGCAATTCCAATTTATATGACAAAACAACGTTTGCGTGGTCAGAGCTATAAATATAGCTCAACACATAGACTACATGTGTTACATACCCAATGATGACACCGAATATGCCAAGCTCGGAGACCAGATCCATTATCTGCGGAGGCACTGGTGCACCAGGTCGCACCACGTATCCTGGTACCTGCAGATTACAATTGTAATTATTAACCTACTTCAAAACGACGAGGTTCTTCAGGTCAAACCAAGAAACATCACTAAACGTAGTTGTAGCCAGTATTTACAGTAGAAAGTATACACTCTATCCTGAGGAGATAAAAACCATCGCTCCTAAGAATATCCTTCAATTCTTGTTCCTAGCGGGTATAGGTTACGAACTTTGAAAAAGGGCAAGTACAATAGATCTATGCAGGTCGCAGTGCTACAGTTCTAAAGCACGTGACAATAGTCCAAATTCCCCAATAAAATAAAGAAAAGAATATCCTTCCATTCCTGTCCCTATCAGGTCTAAGTAGTGAACTTTGAGAAAGCGCCAGTACAAAAAATCTATTCAGGTCGCAATGCTTCAAGGTCTAAAACCCTCCGATCGATCCTCCGTCCAATTCAAACGGAGATCGTAATTACGACGGCCTGAGCCGAGGTTCAAACCCCTAGCGGTGCGCTCAGGCTAAAGTCGTATCCGTCAGGCGGGAGTTGGCCTTCAGCCACTCCATAAGTCCTGCCGAGGGTTTGGAGTGCCATCTGCACTCGCCCCCTATCGTCCGGTGAAGCTATAAAGCCCTGCTGCAGCCAATAGCCCAAACCACGACGTGACAATTGTCCAAACCCCAAGAATACACATATATATTATCGACGACCTCGGTGGTCTAGTGGTCTAACACACCGCTTTACGTCCGATGGTCGCGGGTTCGATTCCTCGCACGGCACAAACATTTGTATTCATGAGTATGATTGTTTGTATCGGTCTGGGTGTTTTCTATGTATAATATGTATGTATTTACGAAAAAACAATATCTATGTATTTGTATCAGTTGTCTAGTACCCATAACACAAGCTTTAGCTAGCTTAACTTGGGCATAGATGGCGCTGTGTGAATTGTCCTGAGATTATATTATTATTATTATTCTTATAGAAATAGAAATAATCTTTATTCAAATACAAGCACATTACAAGCACTTTTGAATAGTCATATATATATTATAGTTTAAAAATATACTAACTAGTGGGGGCAGTATCCGTTCCATTAGTATGTACGCAGCTCGCTCGCGACTATGACGCATGCGTAACAATGCGTCTCGCACTTCATCGCCGTACAAATTATTCCCGCCGCCTTCTCGTTGTGGTTTTAATACAAATCTGCATCACAACAAGACATATTGATGACAGTTATTACATCACTAGCTATACTCTCGTGAAATAGTGAGCTTGGATTCATTCATTCATTCATAATTTAAGAGCTACGCTCTTGTCGGTGGAGCTCTTGCCACTTTCCGCGATCTTCCACCATGCTCTTTAATTGATGATGATGATCATGATCTTGGATCGCATTTTTAATTATTTACGCTAATTATAGAAGGCTAAAGTAAAAAGGTTAATCTTCTAGCTTCAAAAATGACGAATTTCCATATAAACTTTCATTCTCTATTTTATTTTACCCTCTAATAACCAATGACATATTTATTACTTTAATTAACAGCCTAAAAATCATTCAAAGTTTCTAGCTTTAAAAGTAACGATACTTGCATACAACATTTCATCTCCGCTTTCAACCCTATTATAGCAATAAAAAGTGGCCTAACTCCTTTCTCAGGGTCTAGACCAGTGTTCCCAGCCTTTTTAGTACCTTGCCCCATCTAATCTTTTCAGTAGGAAGTACAGTCGGTTCGGAGTTAAGTCCGGCGAATAGAATAGAATAGAAAATCAATTATTCAAATAAACTTAATTTAAGCAATTTTGAATAGTCATAACAAAATTATTTTTTTAATCTACCGCTCATTCGGAAAGCTGTCTCATCACAAGAAGAACGAGTAAGAAACTTGTGTGTTGCTCTTTTAAATAATCCTAGTAAGTTCACATTTTACAAGTCGAAACGTGTGAATAGAAACTACTAGCCAGCACTAATTTATTAGGATCGAATCTTAAATAAAATATACTATAATAGTCCCAAGTTAAGCACAGATCCTTTGCCACTTATCCAGACGTTAGAATGTTTACCTTTCAGCATCAGCGATGGCCATATCCACCGCTCTCTCGCCACTCTCGTCGAAGTCCAGCGAGTACAGTCCGGTGAATATATCTCTGACGCGTGCTGTGGCCGCGCTCGAGCCCATGAATCGTTCGAGGGCGCCGTCAGCCGCCAGCGCCTGTTGTACCTTCTTCGTACCAGCCAGTTGGTATTGAATCGATGGGCACTTTATCGCACTGCGGAAGTTATTGTATTTTTTATTAACTGGAATTCCAGACAAACCTGATGGGAAATGGCTTTTGTCCCTTACTGTCACCATTAGGGTACAAGGGCAGGACACAAGGAACCTGATGGAAATGGTCTTTGTCCCCTATAGTGAGAAGGGGAGTGTTAGTAATGAGGACATAGACCTGACCTCATTCTGATCCTATTATCTTTCACTGGAGCCACACCAGTGTAAACCGTTTGCACTGTACCATTATCATCATTAAAAATATAGTAAACCGGAATCAACCTGAATAAAAATTAATAATTAATCTGGATTACTGGCTCAGATAACTAATACTATTATATATACTCTTATAAATATTCAGAGCCCAATAGTAAGAGAGTTTATTTATTTACCTCTCTCGACATTTCTTCTAGGTTTCAGCTGTGATCACGAGCTGACTGTCTAGTGTGGGCAACCCTTATGTATTTATTTATTTACTCTTTACTGCACCAGAAGTAAATTACAAAGAACATAAACAGAAGTACCAATGTATAACAGGCGGTCTTATTAATTACTTATTCGTGATTTGTTAGTTAGAAAATAAAATCTAAAACACTAACGTGGATCGTTCAACTCGCAGTCTCGCGTCCCATTCGCGGGAGCTCGGATACTGCGCCGGCTCGTAACCGGAGCGGTAGTAGACCACAGCCACCGGACGACCTTCACTGCAAATATTGATACGGTGAAAATAAGTACTATGTGTATTTATATCTTATTAGCTGTGCCCTGAATTTACTGGTAAAATAAAGTAAGAAATGAAAAAGAACTATACAGGGTAAAAGAAAAAAGATATTGAATACAATGGAAAATAGACGAGGAAAAATGTTAGGACTTTTGATACGGCACGATGAATTTATGAAAATTATTATTGAGGGAAAAATTGGAGGGAAGAGGGGGAGGGGAAGACCAAGGCACAGCTACATCAAGCAAATTAAAAATAAAAGAGGAGTCGTGTCGAATTAACATTTAAAGAGCATGAACGTGGAAAGTGGCAGAGCTCCATCGACATGAACATAGCTCTTAAATAATGAATGAATGAGCTGAATTAAATTTATAGCCTACATATATATTATTCTGATGTATAAGCTGTATTACTTGTAAAGTTTCATTGAAATCCTCGAATAGTTTTTGCGTGAAAGAGTAACAAATATCCATAAATACTCACAAACTTTCGCGTTTATAATATTAGTAAGCTTTGCTTTTTTTTTTCGGATTACTATAAAGTTTAGATCAGAAGCCAATAGATAGTTTTTTTTCGGAATACTCTAATGCTGTTGATCGCAGCTGGCCTTTACAGCTTCACCGGACGTTAGGGGGCGAGTGCAGATGGCACTCCAAGCCCGCGGAAGGACTTATGGAGCGGCTGAAGGCCAGCTGAGGGCACCACTACGGGTTCGAACCTCGGCTCAGGCCGTCGTAATTTCGATCCCTGTTTGAATTGTGGAAATGCATTTGTAAAATATACAAAGTTAAAATACTTACAAGATCAGTTGTTTCTTATCATTTAACTCAGTCTCTTCATATATTTCATTCAGTGTTTTTCTGTATATCTGTTGAAATAATATTATAAGTTTATGTAACATATGTTTAATAATACATATAAAATACACACTTATACTTAAGGAGAAGTCCTTAAGTCGTACACCGTGGACAGAGTGGGTTGCCTGTGCATTTAATAGAAAATCTCCATCAATAAACATTTTTATATACCGACAACCTTTTTTAATCGGCCGCGTATCATTGATTCTTTTGGTACTTTGTTTGGTTCGTTTTTAGATTGTTTCTTCTACATTTTAGAAGGTAAGGATATGTTTTTTTAGACTAACTTGGACAGCACCTTCACAAATTTCTCCCACCTCCATTTTTGAGGAGGAAACCACAATCTGTCATCACTGTATATGGTTCAAATTGTAATTTTCTAACTCTGTTGTATCTAATACATATATATTTTTAACTAGCTGACCCGCAAACTTTGTTTTGGCATATAAATTTAGCATTTAACAGGAGATTTAGCAAAAATCATGAAATATGACATGTATTGAATTTTTCTTCAAACGAGCGATTTTTATATCGAAAACTGGTAGGCCTTGACTTTTCTAGAATAAAATTAGATTATACTATATACCTGTATTTGACATATAATTAAAAATATATATATTAATTGTAAGTAGGTATTAAAAATACACGTGATTATGTTTTAGTCTCAAATTTCACCACAATCACTAAGAGAAATTAAAAAATGCTAAAAAAACATCATGTGATTAATAGACCCCTTTACACATTTATAAATTCCGAACCTACATTCTAAATTAATAATTACTTATAAAATTCTTACGAATTATAAAAACTACTAGAGCTGTGAACAGAAATAAGTTTATCCAACATTATGGTGAGTTGTGGCCCACATTGACTCCGTTTTTTAATGTGTAAATTATTCTTGTATTTCTTATGTTATTACTGTAAAAACGAGTTAATAAAAATTCTATTCTATTCTATTCTATTGTATAAAAATATAGTTATGAATCGTTCTCACCATAATTTCGGGCCGTGTTTCTGATATTTCGAACTCGTGGAACCTCTGGTCGCAGATGTTGTATGATACCTCCTCAACCACGAACAGCACCACAGCGGTCGGCACTCCGAACAAGTCATAAGCTTCTACGATGCCCGAACAGAGACCGGACAGCGCCCGGTTTTCCGGCATCTATAATTTTATAAGAATACTAAGTGACCTGGCAAACGTTAAAATAATGAGTTATCAGCCGCCGAGAGTAGTAAATTATTACAATTCAAAAGTCATTTATTACGTAGGATACGTTTCCATTCTAGGGAACTAAAATTTCATGCCTCGGATTCAGTTACTGACATATCTCAACCGTATCATCGCAGCAAACCTTACACACAACAACAATAACAACCTTACATATAAAGCAAACCGTATGACAGGAAATATATGAGAAAAAAATGTATGCTTACATTTTTTATCAAATCACCATGTCCTAACTGCCGTAGAATGTAGCTGGAAATGAAAATTATTATTATTATTTTTTTCAATATACGTATAATAATATAAAATTCAAAACAATACAAATAACAATAACTAGAGATTTGTAAATACTAAATCATTCCAAACATTGCAGACCTCAAGACAAATTGGCAGAAAATTTTATGAATAATGAAAAAAAATACTAAATAATTAACTAATGACTAATAATACATGCACGCTATCGTACACATGAAACAGAGCAGGACAAAGAACGCGCTTTGTCCTGCTCATTTCTCGAAACGTCATAAATCGTTTAAAACTTCTCTTGAAGGCCTATCGGCCTATAAACAATTGAGAAATACTAAGAAAAAAATGTATATAAAGTAATTTTTTAATCTCTCCAAATTTTCACACTGTGATCTTACATGAAAATAAAGAATAAGTAATTTATTATTGAACTTTACTACTCAAATATTGTCATTATTAACAAGAAAGTGTAACATAACACAACAATTTAATTTTATCTTTCAGGTACTCTATAAGTAATATAAATCTACAAAAATTTAGACATTGAAAAAAAAATTAAATAAATGTTGCCATATGTGCAATTGTAATATGTATTGTAGTTTGTAGACACGCGTCTTATATTTTTCATTGTTTATAGGCACCTATATACTCTCCAATTATAAATTATCCAATACAATTATAACTATATACATTGTACAACTAAAAGTAAAGCTTAACCCCTTATATATACAAACTAAAATCAACAAACCCATTTTACTCATTAATTTTGTATCACTTTCTTTTAAATAAACAATATAGCATTAAAGAAAGAGACAGAAATACAATAACTAAAATTGGTTTGTTAGAATGCATATTTCTAAATAAAGTACTAAAAAAAAACAAACACAATCATGCTATTCAAATTCATCAAGTCAGCAACATTTTATTGGCACATATTATTACATTATGAAGAAAAGGCTTATTTACTTTATAAATCACATTTTGTTTATGGAATTATTAAATATCAAAATCACTGACTTGATTCGACTATAATTAAAACATAAGCTTTACAAATAAAAAAACGATAAAGTTTCTAAGGAATAATAATAGAAATACAATGAATAGGCAATAATAGAGAAGATTATTTAAAATAAACTCATAATTATACATTAAAATTGCAATAATTTTTAATCTCTGATATACTTTTTCAATATTATCTTTATCTATAAATATAAATAAAATTGGAGTGTTTGTTTGTAATATTGAAATAACCGTTTTTTACTACATGCATATGAATATACCTAAATACGGTACATACACCAAACTAACATTTTTTACAATTTTTGTCTGTCTGTCTGTCTGTTCCGGCTAATCTCTGAAATAGTATCTGAATCTCTGGACCCATTTTGACGGGACTTATTGGCAGCAGTATGCAGCAGCAGCAGCGGGCAGCTGATGTAGTAAGGAATAACTTAGGCTACTTTTATTTTAGAAAATAAAGTTAAATTCTACGCGGACGAAGTCGCGGGTATGGAAATCATGACGAGGCGAAAACTGTATGTTTATCGGTGTGTATGTAAATGATTCACGTACAAATGACTGGAGCAATTACGATGAAATTTTTACAGAATAAAGTTCAATATTGTTGGGAAATGAAAATTTCAATCAAGTTGGGAAAAATAAAAAACTAAAATGAATTCTGCGCAGCGTTTTACAATTGAAGAAAAATGAACATTACACAGATTCGAAGCCGGTGTAACAAATGCAAAATCGCAAAGAACTATTAGAATAAAACATCTCATCATAATTACTGTAAGTTGTTTTATTAACCTAACCAGTGGGCTAATTATCAACACGATATGAAATTGTTTCTGTTGAAGTTGTGATGCAATATATATATATATATCAATTTAAAAAATGCGATCAAGTAAGGTCGAATGACCGCAACATAAATCATTTCTATCGATAAAATACTACTATGAAGTTGCAGCGGAATATTGTTAATCCGACCAATTTAAAAAGTCAGTACATTAGATAGCTTATACCTTTAGAGGGATACATTTTAAATTATTGGGTTAATACACTAGTTGGTTGTTTTGAAACAATTTTTATTGCGTTCAAAAATTACAAAATATACTGCAGCGTTCACTTGTTCTTTTATTTTAATTTTATTAATAGACATTTAATAAAATAAAATAAAGAAAGTCTATTCTATTCTAATGAAAAAATAAGGTTAATAATTTTGAATATAAAAGCATATTTTATACAAACTATTTATAATCATTAATAATATTAATCTATCCGTTACATATTAAATTTTCTTTTCTGCTATAGATACCTAGGTAAGACAGTAGGTATCCATATTTGAATGATTATATCTTTTTAAATTTGTACATAATTGTAAAAACTTTAAACAAATAACTTTATTTACTTTAAACAAATCACAGAGCATCATAAACGTTTATTCCGTTCACAGAACACCGTATTCATTGAAATAGTTTTTTAATTATATTAATATCATAATCAACCCTAATTTTATATTAAACATTTACTCTAGTTAATACAACATTCTATGTGATTTGGGACGAAAATAAAATATTGAATTGGCAACACTGATGTCATGTTGTGAAGTCGTGACAATTTTCCCATTTTAATAAATTTAAAACCTTTTCGACTTTCTACGTAATATTTAATATAATAAAAATATATGTAATTAAAATTACCAAAACAAGATAAATAATGCTGCTAATGCTGATATTTTAAAGTATGTCACAAAAGAAACACCTTCTAAATTGTTTCTCAAATGTAAACGTTTACAATTCTACGCTGTCATTTAAATAGATTACGTGACACACAAGGTTACTAAATCGACATTCGATAGAAATAATTTTTATCGATACGTAAAGTTGCGTTTACGTTGCAATGCTAGTTGACAGCGTCAAATGGCGTCAATATGATCGCATTATTGACAGATGACTATTCAAAAGTTACATACGAAAATCGTTGCGAACGAAGTTTATTTGAATAAATGATTTTCATTTATGATAATATATATATACTGTCACCCCGGCTTCGCACGTACATGTATTATACGTATAAACCTCCTCTTGAATATATATCTTTAAAAACCGTTTCAAAATCCGTTGCGTAGTTTTAAAACATACATAGGGATTAATATTAGAATTCAAAACTTTCTGAGCATGGATGGATATTTGCTACTCTTTCACGCAGAAACCAAACGGATTTTGTTGAAACTTTACAGTGATATAGCTTATACATCAGAATAACACATAGGCCCGGCGTGATGAACCGGGTTATCGGGCTCCCTAAAATATGGTCGAGCGCAGTGATGGCTGGCTCATCCGTCATACTCGTAAACGAGTGCTGCTTGTGGGGACTGGTCTGCTCTTATCACTACGACTGAATTAATCTTATTGTATATCTACATTTGACCCTAATAAATTAGTGCTGGTTGGTGGTTTGTATTCACACGTTTCGACTTGTAAATGTAAACATACAAGGATTATTTAAAAGAGCAACACACAAGTTTCTTACTCGTTCTTCTTGTGATGAGACAGCTTTCCGAACGAGCGGTAGATAAAAAAATGTTATGACTAATCAAAAGTGCTTAAATTAAGTTTATTTGAATAAATGATTTTCTATTCTATTCTGCTATTAACTTCATGCGAATGAAACCGCGAGCACAGCTAGTACTAAATTAAATGTATTATCAGTACACAATCACAATCATCTGACCAGCTGGCATTGAAGTTTCAGTTTGATTCTCGATAACCTTATTTCGATAATTATCTAACGTAAACAATACGAAAACTCGATTATTTAGTGGCTATTTCCAATGTCAGTTTATGGTAAAGTGAGTTGATTTTTTAAGTAATATTAAAAAAAGGTAAACTTTAAATCTAAATGTGCGTGCTAATCTCCGATACATCTGATCCTTTGATCCGATTTTCGAATTGGAATTGTAAATTTACAATGATTCTTTAAATGAGCAAATGTAAAAATGTTACCTTAAAGGGGGTAAAAAATCGGGACATATTTGAAGCTAAAACGACAAAATTTTTACTTTAGCTTTTTTGAGTTAGATTATTGAATATTTCTTGTTTATTTGGTCAAGATCACTATAACACGCGGACACAGTCGCGGGCACAGCTAGTTTAAAATATAACATTGTTATAATAACAATGTGAGCAAGGGTGGACTGGAATTGTATCTGATCTATTTCAGCCAGCCTAACGCTATGACAGTAAAGATAATTAGGGGGCAATGGTCGGATGAGGGTAGGTCAATCCCCCCTATTGTTACTATTGGGGAATAGTCCTATATACTAGCCCCATTAATAGCAGTATCGGTCAGGTCGTCCTCCACGGATTTTCCCTCTTGAAACCATCGTTAATTCCCAGTAAAGCCACGATGAGCTGACTGACCTGACTTTTGCTCATCCTATCATGATCCACTGGTGCCACGCCAGCGTATAGCGCAGGCATTTTTCCATATTCATTAAAAAAAAAACATCCCCCGGGCAAACGTGGTATAATAAGTTAATAATATAAACTGACGTCCATTTATTTATATTATTGACTGGGTCTTAACTCGAATGTATTTATGGCAAATAAAGGTATTTACCTCTCTCGACGTGTTGACTAGGTTGCACTAGCCGAGCTGTCGGCTCGTGATCTTATTTGCCTTAAATTATTCGTGTTAAGACCCAGTTAATAATATAAACAATATATATATAAAACACGAAAGTTTAAAAATAGAAATAACTTTTTTGGTGTTGGCCACATTTGAACTGACGACCACTTGACATAAATCGGAGTAGCAACTGCTAGGTCAATGCTGAGGTATATACCTACGTATTATTGATAGAACTATTGAAACCGTATTGGCATATGTCAATTTAGTTGTCCATGGGTACCAACATTTAATACTGCGACTGATTAAGTTGTAATTTTTGCTTCTCCCAATTTTAGATCCATACTAATAACCAGGTACGGCCAACAGGGCCATACCTGGCCTTTACACGTTCACCAAACGATAAAGGTACTAAATACCTGGTGAAGCTCTGGGACAACTCAGAGTTGGGGAACCAACCCATAAGTTTTTTATTATTATTTGAATGAACAACTTGCAAGTTCTATAAAAGTATTTTTAGTTTCTTATTTTTATTCTAAGAGTTTAGTTTTTTAGACGTATACCACATGTGTTGATTTCATTGACGTACAATATCAATTGTAATGAATCCACCATAACAGAAGCACCACAGCCCAAAATTGCAAGACAAGTATTGTTTGTTCAATTATGTTCTTTATCGCATAGATATTATGGTTTGTGCATTCGTGCATGATATGTAAGCGAAAAGAATTGAAAGATGTAACCCTAAGCCAAATCCAGCAATGATTGGACAGAATCACAACAAATCAACAATTTCACGAACACAAGAACGGCATTATTATTTCTGGGACCGACAGTGCAGGCATTGACAGGTAACATCTCTCAAGTGATCACTGTACTACAAGCCTCAAAAAGCCCTACATATTTAAAAATAATACATGCTTCCAAATTCAAATGTATAAATACTTTTTAATTGACTATGTGACGTATGACTAAAAGCCCAAAATACCATATTCCAGTGCTTAAAAGAAATAATCACAGTCTAAATGACAACAATACAACGCTAAAGCGTACTATGATAGAACAAAGAGACAACACAGAAAAAGAAAAAAAAGCATTTGCAATTAATTGGAAAATGGATGTAGCGTGCAAAATAGAAGTAGCAGACACATGAGAGATGTCGACTGATTTATCGCTGCTATGGAGTGTGAGGCCATAAAACCTGGATAATATGTAATCCGAAAAATATATCAGTTCATGCAATATTCCTTTGACATATGTGTGATTACATGTTTAAAAAGTTATCCAGGTCATTGCCCTCCACATCCAGCAACAAACATGTCGGTACCGAGACATGGCGGGAAGGTTGGATGTGATGGCGCCAAAACTCGCTGCAACCGTGTTAAACTCCACTTGCTTGATACGATTCTGGTCCGCGTTGTGCATCAGGTAGTCAGATCGGAAGAGCCCGAGGCTGACGGACTGGAAAATTGAATTCTGTGAAACTCTGTCCAATCATTGCCTATGTTCTACATCTAAAATATGCAACTTTATTATTTTTTTAAATTACAACTTAGATAAAAAAATTATATTCTGTAGTCTGAAAAAATAAACCAAATTATTTTTACTTCTTTTTAAGTAATGATATTGAAATAATGTTCTGGTAATATACGCTAATTAAGCACCATTGAAACTTGATGGCATGAGTAACCAGCAAATCGTGGTAAATTCTCTAGGAACTAACCATGTTGGTTTTCAAGAGAGATCGTGTGGAAATTACAATGTCAGTTATAGTAAGTACATTGTTAGTTCCAATTACTAACACTCCCCTCGTTTCTCCCCCATTTTAATGTTGTCACGATTAGTACATTGTTATAGTATTATTACTATTTCATAAATATTTAATTTGTACAATCTGTTCATGCAGACTTGCGTCACTATGTACAAAATATTCTGTGATGCCAATTTATTTCTGCGCTGTGTATTAGCAATCCCGCCTTAATAAAATCAAAATTTTTAGTCTGTGGAGCTATGCAAACTTTTTTTTAAACTATTTAGGTTGATAGCATAGATTCAGTTATTATACGTTGCCAAATCTTATAAAGCCTATTTTAAATACTTTCTCTATTAGTTTTATTTGCGATCTTTTGAATACAAGCCCGCCTCAATAAAAACACTATACCTTGCTGTGGAACAGTGCAAACTTTGTTTTTAAAACATTTTTTTTTCACAGATTCAATTAGGTTGCTAACTCTTTTAAAAACTATTTTAGATACTTGCTTATTTTTTTTTACTTACATATGGATTGCAAAATAATCGTACTACATGTATTTCAATAATTATTTTTCTTTACATTTCAGGAAGTATATGACACATAATTTTGTCAACGCTTTATCTTGAACTAATTAATTTAAGTGATTATCTACTTAAAATTCATAAATAAAAGGTTTAGGTAATAATGTATATGCGTTTGTGCAAATCATCGTTGGCGGTAAAATGTAGTATTTATTTGTTCCATTTCATGACGTTCGTATGTGGTGACGTCATTGACGTCATTCAGTTATTGTAATAATCATGAGCAATAATGTGCAACACTTTAGCGTATTGTCACAGTGACATAGACAATAATTTACATATTTTGTATCATAAATATAAATAGAATAGACATAGACAAGGGAACGTAAATTGTTCCGTTTTAAATAGCTGTTTCACTGCCTGTACATAGGCATTATAGGCTATAATAATATAAAATATAGTGAAAATATACTGTTTCAAATTTCACGTGGTAATTGTTTATAAAATTAGGAAAAAGCACGGGATCTCACCACATAAACTTATCAGTTTACTCGTGATCATGACGGTTGAGACACTACCGAAATATCGGGAACTCAAAATAACTCAAAAATAAATAAAACGTGGTAAGATCATGTGATTTTTCTTAATAGTGAAAGTATTCATAAAAATGATCAAGTTTATAGAAAAAGTATACTCTCTATTTGCTTCACCGTTGTCGGGATATTTTTTAAAATAATTCTTAAACATAAACTGCGCCGTTACGTGACCATTACATTATCAAAGTTTATTCCTTTTTTGATTTCCAATTTCATTATTCGAGTAGTTGGTTTGGGTTTTTATAGAACTATTCTAGTTTGAAAATAAAAACCTCTACTATCACAATTCGTTCAATAAATAGAATTCGTCATTCTCCTTCCATCGATTCTTTTCATACTGATTAATACAAAAATATACAAAATTCTTACTTGTATATTAATAAACAAAAAACAAGATTTATTTTAAAGTACAATGTTAATAATTAGTAATTTTATAAACGTTTGTATTATGTAAACACATATCTAAATTTAATCCGTTTATAAAATAGTTAAATAAATTATTCTTACAATTATGGTTATTTTAATTGGAATTAATAAGTTATTTCATTATTTATTAACCCATTATGTGTATAACCCCACATAGTCAGATATTAATAACTTATTATGAAATACAAAAAAATATTTTTAATATTTTTACAATTATCGTTATTAAGAATTAATAGTATGTTATTTTATTATTATTTATATTTATAATGACAGTTAAATTAATTGATTCAACCAATTATCAGACACCTAATACGGCATTTTATCGCCTAATACTTACGTCTACATATATATGTATGTACTAGCTATACTCGCGATTTCGTCCGCGTGGAATTTAACCTTATTTTTCAATAATAAAATATTTTTTCTAAAATAAAAGTAGCTGTTTGTATATTCCGGTTACTTACTCCTTATTGACACTTCTATTGGCCCTGCATAAGAAGTAATAAACTGAATAAAGTTAAATTCCACGCGGACCAAGTCGCAGGTACAGCAAAAAGTCCCGTCAAAATCGGTCTAGCCATTTCAGAGATTAGCCGGAACAAACGGATAGACAGAGTTACTTTCGCATTTATAATTTTAGTAAGGATTACTATACATAATCTATACATATAAATAAAATTGGAGTGTCTGTTTGTAATATTGAAATAACCGTTTTTTACTACAGACATATGAATATAAATACGGCACATACAAAAAATAACATTTTATTACAATTTTTGTCTGCCTGTCTGTTTGTTCCGGCTAATCTCTGAAATGGCTGGACCGATTTTGACGGGACTTTTATGGGCAGGTAGCTAATGCAATAAGGAGTAACTTAGGCTACTTTTATTTTAGAAAAATAAAGGTAAATTCCACGCGGACAAAGCGGGGACAGCAACAGAACTCAAGAAGATTTACAGATTTATATCCTGCCAACAAGTTTTGTGATAATTAATTATTATTTGATTGAAGTTTCGGCACTGTTTGGTCTTTTTTTAATAACAATTGTTAAACTTGATTACTTGTTTATTTATTTACTGTTTTATGCCAAAATAAAGTAATAAAAAAAAATAGACTTGTGCAATTAGTGAACTAGTTCGCAGATCTTTTGCTCTTTAGTTCATTAACTTGATAAAACGCAAAGTCTTGAGATTTAAAAACTGTTGTTTTTTCAGTCAATATGTATTTGCGGGATAAAATATATACTAGATCCTACAGTCTTTCTCTGCCTAGAGTCGGGATCAAACGTACTAGTTCGCACGAGAGGGTAAAATAAATTGGGCGATCTGATTCAAATTATTCAAACAAAATGTAATTCTGAACAACAATTATTTAAAGGAGCAACACGCAAGTATATTGTGCATTCTTTTTATGACGAGTCCGCGCTCCAAATGAGTGGTATAATAAAAAAATATAACTATTCAAAAGTGCTTATATTAAGTTTATTTGAATAAAGATTATTTCTATTTCTAGTAATTGTTCCGAACAAGATTATTCTCATGTAGCGGCCTTGTACAAACATAAGGGGAAATCCACATCTAAATGAATCGGCCATATATACGACTGTCATTTAGTTCAAGGTGATTTGATGGGCATTACATGCAAGTGTAGCTTCCAACCCACTGTATGTTAATTTTTTTTTATATACCACGATGGTAGCAATCAAGCATACGGCCCATCTGATTGTAAATGGTTACCGTAGGTATAGAGGCCTGAAACACCAGCTGAGATTTGCGCATCGCCGACTCTACCAGTGGATCGTAGTTGATGTTGATGAATATTTCAAAATGATCTTGAACCAAAATACTTTTTAAGTGGTCAAATTAAAATTCAAAATATCTTTATTCATGTAGGTCTATTAGAGACTATGATATGTCAAATCTACCGGCAGTAAGGAGTGCTTTCGAACTGAGAAGAAACTCAGCTCTTATTCTTTTCAAATTATACATGTTGTATGTATGTAGGTACATATGGATGCCTTTATGCATTATATTGTAACGTGACTTACTAATTGTATTCACCCTTTCCTATTCTTTATCTTTGTCTCTGACCTGTCTCTGAAATGTTTAAGTGTATTGTTTTTAAATAACCAATTTAATTATAACTTTAATATTAAAGATAAATTCATGAGGTATCTATTATTGGCTTTACTAACTATATAATACTATATATTGTCTATAAATTGTACAAGATGTTGATTATCTAAAATAAATATAAAAAAATGTTTACAAAAGTATAGATTATTTTATAAATTCAAATTAGAGACAATAGAGTGACCACCAACATATGCTATTGCATTAATTCATGGCACTGAACCGTATATTACTAATAAGTGTTGAGTGGCTTAAATTGATATTTTCAATTATTCGTCAACGTAGTATGGACGTATAGGTAATTTCCAAAAATATATTTCATAGACTACCATAATCATATTTTACAACAGATATAAATATATACACATATGTACAATACGTATAAATATGAAAATATATGTACAAATTAAAATATAACCCTTACTCAAATAGCACATACGCGATAATACCCCTATATACATAAGATACCATTTTGCATAACAGTTCATTCGCTGAAACTAATAAGAAAATCGAACTACCCACACTAAAAAACTCTATAAAGCGTTATCTAACAGCACGGTTAGTATTCAGGTTGGTTTCCACCAGCTATGATTGATGATGCAAGGCAAGACAAGATTCGAGCGAAATATAGAAAAACATGGAGTAGTTCAGTTATAAAAAATATTTACCGTTGGTAAATAAAGTTTGAAATGAGATATCTAATCAATTGTAGTAATTGTTACTATTTACATATTCTATTTCGTAATTATTATCTTAATGAGTGCATAACTACTATATGCCGACATTTTTTTCAAGGCAACTTGTTCTTCGATAAATGCTACTTTTTTCAGATATTAACTCTTCCTAGTCTTCCACGGATTCACTGTGCTTGTGCCGGGTCTATCGTGTGGCAGAGAGGGAAACTCCGACCAGTTCCAGGCACTTGTGACTCGGGTGTAGGTTTTTGCCGACATACGTCAACTTACCTTCACCACTCGTATTTCTCCCCCTGTCCAGTCAAATCTACTAGGAGCCTGCAAATGCTGCTATCTAAATGCGTGTATCTATACACGTTCTAGTATAGAACTTACTTAATCTTACTTAATTTTGTTAATAACAATTATATTTAAATAATTATTAGGTATATTATATTATAATTATACTTCAGATCTTATCTAGCCTTTTTATCATAACTGGTGAAAACGTACCTTTAAGAGAATAGATTTGAGACCAAATCGATGTATGTACACTTAATCAAATAAACGTGTTTACGTCACATTTATTATTAGATCTAAAACTCAGTCGAAAGTATCTAATTATTATAGTACAAACAATACTGCGATAGATTCTATGTCCAAACTTCAGAAGCATACGGAAATATATTTTATTTATTTAAACGAACAACACAATTCGTAATGCTCAAATCTAAACTCAAAATCATGGTAATTTATATACAATACAAAGAACTATCGTATTCGTGTCCTGAACAATTTCTACCTCTGTATACTTCTCGATACTGGGCCAAGATGGCCGAAGCCGGACGCTATGCTGTTGATTTCAACCTGCTTCCATGAACAATACGGTGTGTGTTTCGCACACTGGTTCTCTGTGTGTGGACACCTCGACTCCAACATGATGTCCGAACGCAGCATGCCTAGCGATATCGGCTAAGCCGAGAGAAGCACGTTGGGTATACTGCGTTTTACAATTTTTTTTTTCTTAATTTTAAGGCTTGGAGCCCTGTGAATTTAGTCCACAGGAATTACAACGCATGAACCACGACTGTCGTGTTACGGGGACGTCCATTAATTACGTGAGGCGATTTTGATTATTTTTCGAATTAATTTTCTGCCTTCTTCCTTTAATCTCACATGAGATTTTTCGCCTTTATACATCGGGTGGCGGGTCTATAATGTTCTTCTTTTTAATGAGTAATTCCTGAAAACTAGCCCTATATAGATGCACCTCACTTAGGTTCTGGTTATATCAGTAACAGCTGAGGTAGCTCCTATTGCCAACTTTGTATGTTTTTAATCTATTCATGTTGGCATAAAAGAGGTATTGGCATTTTCATAACCGCGATAAATTTTATAAATAAATAGACAGAAAATATGTAATATTTGCGCGTGATATTGGTTGAGTATCGGGTCTATTGCCATCCCATCCACCTCACGTAATTAATTAATGTTTCCCAACGTGATATTAATAAATATATACGTTCATATTTATAAATTTATATTCGTGGTATTGATGTAATAAATAAAAAATCCAATAAATTTAAATTAAGCGTTGTTTTTTTTGTGGAATGATTAACAAGCTGTCTGCCTAATATAAAATTAAAATTCATATAGTCATCCATAAAACAAAAACATAACTTTGGACAGCCCTGAAGTAGAATACCTTTAGAGATGTAAATTTATCTTCCACACAAACCACAAGGCAACTCTGTGGTCACACATGCGCAGAATCTGATATTGTCAATTTCCGCGGGAATACCCTAAATTTAGAAGACCGTATGTACACAGTCGTAAGCAATCAACTTTTTTGTGCTAACATAAACTGGTTCCCGAATATTTTTGTGCATATACATTATAGATTATATATACGGACGTTGGCCAGACAAGTCTCTTTATTTTGTTTATTCTCAGTACATAAGCTTTAAGGGAATGTTTTTTTCATCCTCATTACATTACTATTACTAATTACCTACCAATGTTTAGAAATAGTAAAAACAAAGAATAATTTCTTTTAAAGTTTCAATTATTTATTATATAAACTTTGCATTATCATGACATTATTTGGTTGTACAGTTTTAAATTTTACTTTATCTACTGGGTGCCATTCCTTTTTTTTCTGTTCGAAAACAATTTGGCAATATAAATACATGACAGCGATTCGACTGATATTCAAATAAAAAAAATATTCTTCATTAATTCAGTAGAGATTATTACATTACTTATTTATTAAAAAAAAAAAGAAAATATAAAGTACTTAACTTATTTTTTCAATTGATTTATAATTGATTCGACTGATACTCAAATAAAGAAAATATACTTCATTAATTCAGTAGAGATTATTACATTACTTATTTATTTAAAAAAAAAATAAGTATAAAGTACTTAATTTATTTTTTCAATTGATTTATAATTGATTCGACTGATATTCGAATAAAAAAAATATACTTTATTAATTCATTAGAGATTATTATATTACTTTTTATTTTTAAAAAAAGAAAATATAAAGTACTTAATTTATTGCCAACTAGAAAAAATTGATACAGTCTTGTATGTATTTACGTTATATACGTAACAAGAAAAATACTTTGTAGGTAATATATACATAACGTGCTGTATGCGGAGACGATATTACGCTATACACAAAGTGGAAGGAAGAATTTGTACTTTATTCTCGTAAAAAAATCAAATAGTTCAGGACTCATTGTAACTGGCTAACTACTTTAATATTTATATAGCGTATATGCCAGAATATTCACAGGCGCAGGAACGCACTTCTATAGGGATACTAAACTGTTAAATAACTTATTTATTTAATTTAATTAATAATTTATTAATATTTAGAAGATCCACGTCTAATGTTGTAACTCTTAAAATTAATTTAACTTTAGTATCATTTATTGATGTCCTAGAAATATTAACTTATTTATATATCGACCATTTGCAATTTATTTTGAATTTACGGAGAATAATGCTATAAATATGTGTTTATAAATAATTATATATTAATAATATAAATGTATTTACCTGTGTGATACCTTCATTTCTTATTTTAACCCATATATCGTATAGGTTTGCTGTGAACTCGTCCACTTGGAGTGCATTTTGCAGTGTGTGTTCTAGAAATTCATCATTATGCGCAACCTGTATAAAGTGAATTATATAATATTAATAATAACAATAATAATTATAAATAAATAAATAAACTGTTTGCGCTGAAGGGGCATCAGTGGACGATGATAAAATGAGCAGGAAGTCAGGTCAGTTAGCACATCTTGGCTAATGGCAATTAACCACGATGATTTCCAGGTGGTGCCGCATGAAGGTCAACCTGACATGTGACAATGAAATTATTCCTTTACACTACATACTCATGCTGGATTTAGCGCAGGAAAATCCTCGTGCAAATGTGATTGATTCTAGTACAATACTGGATTAACTCAACAATTTAAAATTTCTGAAATTAGACTTTAATGCTAAAACTTTAGAGTAACTTTTCTAAAGTTTTTAGAGTTCATTCACTATTGTACTAGATGTGCCATATGTTAATTCTATTGTGAATATTACCTTATGCATCAGTTCATTCAGCACAGGCTGCAGTTCTATTGCTTTGGTGAACTCCGTTCGTGGAAAAGGTGAAGGCAACAGTACAAATGGTGCAATCTATTGACAAACAATTTTTATTTATAGTACACACTATTTTATAAGTATATTTACAGTACGTTTTTTTATAATATGCACTAGATATGAAATTTTCTAACTTCCCTATTCAACAATCAACAGAGTAGAGTTTATTTATAATGTAATTAATTTGTTTTGCTTGCAATTTGCACATAATATTTTTCACTAATAACTTAACAATTATTAAAAGAAAAAAGTGGAAATATGTGCAATTAAAACCATTAATATGGGACTTTCTGATAATTTTTAAGATAATATGTTGTTTAACTTTTCCGTAAATTGTATTGGAACAGAGTATAATAATGGATATAAGTTTGTCAATTTATTATACAAAAACTATTGAATGGATTCAAATAAAAATTGTTACACAGATAAATCATACTCTAAATTAACACATAAGTCACTTTTGACTGGAATTTAAGCAGACAATTCAGCGAAATTAGAGTTAGTAGGCAACAAAATGTTTAACATTATTTATACTATATCATGAAGACAATTAAGAAAAAAAAACATTATAAGTCTAGAATTACACAGACAAAAGTTGTCCAAGAGTCCCAATTCTTCAGCCATCCGTTGATCAGTATTACAAAGTCCGTAATCATCAGAAAGTGAGCCGAAAGTAACGATATTAAATAAATATAATTTATAAACGTTGGATTAAATAACTTCTGTAATATGACTTGAATCAGCATCAACATTACAGAATATTTGTAAATGAAAATACCTGTATGGAATCTTTTGTAAAATGTTTCTTGTCTCTCATCCCAACGCCGTGCATGAGGGCCCAATCTTTAGCTTTTTCAATCACATTTACTAGCACTTTGTTTTCTAACGGCAATGGAATACAACTTGCAAAACGTGCTTGCGTCATTTTTAAATTAACGTGATAATAATTTATAAGTGTTTACAGGCGTAGTAACTATTCAATTATGTTCGTGGGAATTAAACTGTTTGAATTTATAGAAAATGAAAACAGCGAAAATGAGTAGGGGATTTTTTTTACTTTTCTGTCACTGCTGTCAAATTGACAAATACCAATAACAGCTGTCAAGTTGACATCTGATTGCTTTTTAATTTATAGGCCGTATGGCTTTGGTTCCGCGACCGTTATAAGTGAGTGGAAGACTTTTTCAACAATCTTCGGATTGGTTTTTTTCTGTTCCTTTTAAAAAAGCTTCTTATTATTTTCGAAACATCAATCTGGATATTAAATATCACAATAGTCGTCTAATAGGACCATAGCAGATACCATAGCAATGTTAATAAAAAAATATTCCTTACTTTCTATTTCGTTTTTTCCAAGACTGTGGAAGGTAAAAAAGCATTTTTCTTCTAGATAAGCGCATTTATACATTTTAGCATTTAGGTTTGTTTAATTCCCTAGTCATGCATATTATTACGCGCCTGCGTGAAATCATAGATCGATTAACTATGTAGATAGCGTACCGTACGTATTTTTAGTCATTACAGTCTATTCACATTATCATATTGTGCTAAACGATTGGTAGCATTGAAATATTTAATTTTCTTTGTTAAAATACAAATAGTATCACGTCATCTATGGTAAACTATGTTTATATAAAACCATATGTAGAAGGTCTCCAAATAGCTACCAATTTTATCCACCATCGATATTTAAAGAAGTAATCAGAATAATACAAAAATATTGTCAAAGCAAAGTGTCGATTGAGGATATCATGCTTTCGTGACAATGATAATGTGAATGAGCAGTAACTACGTATTGGATTTTCTTTCCTATTCTATGCACTATATCTGTCTCTTTCCTTCTAAAGTTCCCTTTGTGACATTTTTGTGGAACGACCATTCTTTTTCCTCGTGAAAATTATCCAAAAAATCACATTAGGGCATGGTCGGTAAAGTTTTTCGCACGAAAAACCGTGAAATAAAGTCTGTAATTGTGGTTAAGTTTTTTTGTGCCAAGTGCAACTAAACAATCAAGATTCCGCCGATAATTCAAAGCCTACCCAGTGGGTGGCTTAACTTGGTAAGAAAATTAGTATTCTATAAATTAGACCTATCATTCATCATTATATTTTTCATATTTCATTCATTATATGAGAAACATCGTGACAGCTGTTGGGTTTAGTTATGAAATCTGATCCATACGCCCATATATTTCCACGCGATTGTCATGTAGGTGATATAGTTAACTAAAATGTAAAGTCTTATAATAAGTAGCTGAAATACAATTCAATACAGCAGATTCGGTATTTTCCAACGAATCTATACAATCTGAGTCATCGCTTCATAATTAGGACCTGCTTACCGTGTAACTAAAACTTAACCTTAATGTTCATCGATACCTATTAACTTAGAGTATTTATATTTAATATTAAAGATAATAAATATTTTCCTTCTCCATTTAATTATTATTTATTATTTACAAACCTTAGGACATCAAATTTCAGGATCAAACGATCATGAAATTTATTATCTTAAGGTTGGTAATAGGTTATTGAATTTGTCTGATTATTGAGTACTACCAGAATCCCTAGTCTCTTTTTTATTTTAATTAATAAATTTTTAACATAGCTAAAAAATTTATAAAACTTTGCTGATATATAAAATTAATATTTTTTAATTTATTCGTTTATTCCAAAATTTCATTTTCATCATGATGAATGATGCCTCTGTGAGTCAGAGGGAACTGTGTGGTTTAGCATACCACTTTAGTTTCAATAGTCATGGGCTTCATGCCTCACACAATGTAAACATTTGTATTCATGAGTTCGAGTGTTTATATTAGGGTGATTCCTATATTTATTATGTATGTATTTAAAAAAGTATTTCCATAAATTCTCTAGTCCCCATAAAACAATCTTTGCTTACCTTGAAACTAGATGGCACATGTGAATTGGACAGTCATTATTATTATTATTCCAGTTTAGGTTTTAGAAGCGACATTGCCTTTTTAGTACTTACAAATATGTTTTTAACTGTACTAAATGCTCATGGACAAAATTAATATAGAATCTTTGTGATAATTAGGTTAGATACAATGGGGTTGACATGTTCAATAATGAAAATGCCAAAAACAATGTATATAATAATAAAATAAAACATACAATCTCTATAATTATATTGGAACATAAGACAAAATACATAAACTCATTGACAAACTGCTATAACTTAAAAAGAGGGAAATACAAGTTGTATTTAAAGTTTTGCCTTTAAAGTTGATATTCCAAAATATTTATTTAAATAACCTCTACAAGGGCTTTACCAATGAAATTTTGTATGCATATTGGATAGGTCTGAAAATCAACCAACATGTGTTTTTCATATCCCTTAATGATAATGGTGACCCACTCCATGTTTTTTATTGGCAATTTTTTTTGTATTTTAATTATTTTATGGATCGGCAAATTCAGCAAAAAAAAAAATTATACAACTCTAACTTTTCACCCTTCTACCATCAACTCATATTTTTTAATTAATATAGCAAAACAACAAATTCAGTCAGCTAGTACATATATAATTTCCTATATAGATACCATATATTACAGTAGTGTTGCCAAATATTAATTGAGGAATAGAAATGAAAAAGCGTGTTAGCAGTAATAAATATATTTAAATTATTTTATATTTTATAATAATAATATAATTTAATACATAAGTCATGAAAGTCATGACTTTGCTGTTCACTATATTGTGGTGGTTGTAACTATACATATGAATGGTATAGTCAGTCAAGACTGTGCTTCTTTTAACTTAAAAAGCAATGGCCCCAAGTTATTAAGTGCAGTTTATATTATTTGCAGAGTCAGAATATTTTGTAAATAATGTCTATAGATTATATCATTGGTCTATTGATATAATCCAAAGACAGGGATCAAGGAAGCACTTACTGACACTGATATTGTATTGGTTCCCAATACTGAAGCCACCTCCAGTATTAGACTAGACCAATCCAGTATCAGGATCATGTTGTCAGTATCACTTTGACAGTCATATAAGCAATCTCTTTTGTATATCACAGGAAACTGATATGCAATATAATACATAATAAAACAATTGACAATTGACTGATATAATGAATACCTATATACCTTATAAAATGCAAGTTTTTTTATTTCAAAGACATTTTTAACAATCCTGACCGACCATTAGAGCATACAAATTGATGGTAAAGCACGCTTTTTCATTTCTTTATAGGTCTCATAAACAGAGCAATGGAAAGAAGGGACACATTTTTCTTGCCCGGAAAGAATAAAAAGCAAGAAAAGAATACAAAACAAGAATATAAAAAGAAAAGACATGAAGAGTTCAATAAAAATCGATTCAATAAAGAAAAGCAAAAGGAAGATAAGAAACCATTTGACAAAAAGAATTATAGATTAAAAAAATATAGTAAAAAATATAAGTTAGACCAATGGGAAGAACAAAGGAAGAAAAAATTGTTGAGGAATTACTATAAGGATGTAAAAAATGATGAAGTGAATGGTTCATACAAACCTATAAGTTTTGATGATGATAATGATGCAGTTGATTCTAACCAAAATGTAGGCAAATATGTAAGGCATCCAGATGTGTTAGAAAAAGAAAAAGAAGTGCCAATAAAAAAGAAGGACCCATTTCAAAAGGCGAAAGAGCAGTATAATAAAATAAAACAAGAGAAATTACAAAAGAAACAAGAAGTAGAGAAAGCTAAAGAGGAAAGGAACCAAAAGAGTCTTGAGTATAAAAAGAAGAAGCAAGATAAATTTAAGAAGTTGAGTAAAAAGAATAAGAAAGGACAGCCTGTTATGTCAGGGAGATTGGAATTGCTCTTGGACAAGATACAGAAGTCTAAATAAATTTTAAAATGCAGTTTTTCTTCCCTATTCTTAATGCTTGCAAAGAAAGAGAATTTCTTACAGTATATAGGTTAGATGTTGTGTATCACAGAAGAGGTTTCAATAATCTATTAAATATGTATTACCTAAAAACCTAGAATGGCAATGCTTGAGTGGTGACAGTTGTCACATGCTAATGTGATGTCTGTAGTTCTGTTCACATTTATAGTTGACGGTTACTGCTTACCAGCAGGTTGGCCGTCAGCTTGTTATCTACTCCAATTACATAAAAATAAATCATTAATTAAGATAGATTTCTCTTTTAAATATTAACTAAATTGCTCAGTATAAGTTTATTCTAATTTTTAAGGTTTGTTTCCAAATTGCTGGTAAACTGTTTAAAAGATAGTGTGTTTGGTATTTATGTATGTAATTGTCTTAGTTTAATTTTAATGAATAATGTTCAAAATTTTAACTTTCTTAGAAAGTTCACATTGTAGAAAAGAGGATTCAAATCTTTAAATCGTGTGATGCCCCAATTGCAATAAGCTAATGATGATCATAGCTAACTGTCATTAGGCTATGGTGATTTACTAAGTTCATATTGCAAATTGTATGCTTTGTTTTAAATTACCTATACCTTTGTACCAAGTACATAATTTTTAATTTAATTTGTTGTTTTAAGTAATAATGAGAAAGACTTTTGGGACTCAGATTCAAACCTTTGAATCATGCATTACCCCTAATGCAGTTAAGTTGTTCTAATGGAGCTGTCATTGCTTTTATATTTATTTGGCCATGGTAATTTTTAAGTAAATGTTGCAAAATGAATGCTTTGTTTTTAATTACTTACATCCTTGTACCAAGTACATAAGGATTAATTTAATTTGACATTTTTAAGTAAAAAGAGTCAGGCTTTTGGGACTAGGATTCAAAGCTGGAATCATGCTATATCCCAACAGCAGTTATGTCGCATAATGGAGCTGTCATTGCTTTTACATTCTTTTGGCCATGGTAATTTACTAAGTAAATATGTTTTAAATTACCAAATCAGAGTGACCATAAGTATTAGTTCATTACTTAAATACATTTACATTGTTATAGCTAATGCAAGATCCTTTTGAGTAATATGCACACATTGTCAGTTGCTCTCAATATTATACTGAACTTGGTTTATGTATGACTTTTTTTGTGTTCCAAGAATTAGTGAATAAATATTTTTTTTTCTAACGTGAGTAAATTTTTTTGCTACTGTCTCGCCATAAACTAATTGTAAGTATTTTTATTTAATGCCTATATTTTATTTAGAATCCGCGACCATCGGAAGTAAATCGGTGTTCTAAACCGCTCGACCACCGACGCCGTCGTTTGTTTTTTATATTTAATTAGACATATATATCTACATTAACAAAAAATAAAATGGATATTTAGTTGTAATTGGGCATATCCCAATTACAACTAAATATCAATTAAAACCATAAATTTAACTGTTTTCTTGGAATTAATAAAACTTATTTTAGTGTTGGAAAAGGTATAAGATTTAAATCTCTTAAAAAATTAGATCTTACTACTGCCCCCTTTTTCCCTCTTTATTTTGGCAACAAAAAGTCATTATATAAAATACTAGCTGACCCCGCAAACGTTGACTTGCCATATAAATTAAAATCGCTATTAAAAAATAGGGATTGGTTATAGAAGGGTCAAAAAACGAAAATATTTGAAAAAAATTTAGGGGTGGACAAACCCTTTATCATTTAAGGGTATGAAAACTAGATAGTAGCCCATTCTCAGACCTACTATGCATATAAAATTTCATGAAAGTCGGTGAAGCCGTTTGAGAGGATGTTAACTAACATTGCTACACGAAAATTTTAAAATAAAATTTATAAATTTTAAAAGAATAATTAATGGATTTTTATAGGACACCCCTATAATATCGGGGATAAACAGATGGACGCACCTTTTATATTATTATTAATATAGAAACGTTCAGTATTCGTTCGAACTATACACTTGAAGGTATGGATACGTTTAGTTTTATTTCCAACTAGGTACTAAAGACTTGTTAGAGCGATGCGGTTTTAAATAGTCCTCACTTATATTAGTGTTTTATTAATAATAATAATTTATTGCTCCCCCGCGTAAAATTATAATAAGAGGGCAATAAACAGTAATATACTTAACACCTTGAGACAGGCAACTCGACACAGATATTAATCAAATGACAATAATTATAACAAGTTAATAACCGTCATAATTTTATTAGTCTAAATAAAAGATTAGAATATAACTCATAATAATTGCTTAATCCACAACTAAGAGTAAATATCTTTGTTTATACTTACTTAAATGACAATGGCTGGAAAATGCCAGGCGTTCTTGTGAATCAGTTCTATTCCATAATTTAAAGCTTTGAGTCTGCTTCTTACTAAGAATAATAACTAAATTGTTCTTAGACTCGATAGTTTTAGATTAGTTCTTAGATGAGATGATATGGTATTTTTTTTGTATGGATGATAATGGAATGGTGCCTGCCTACGCTGACGGTTTACGCTGGCGGTGCACCAGTGGAGGATGATAAGATGAGCATGTGGTCAGGTCAGTTAGCCCATCGTGACAAATTCAACAAGAATTTATCACGATGGTTTCGAGGGGGAACTGCGTGGAGGTCAACCTGACATGGTACATTGCTAGCAATAGGATCGTCAGTCCACATTACTTATTAGTCTCCTGAGATGATATGGTAAGAAAGGGAGTAAATAACGGGATGACTGCGAACAAGGATGAATGGATAAAACATATTACGCCGACCTCAAATAAATGGGAAAAAGGAAGAAGCAGATGATGATATTTTTAGTCTCATTACTAATTTATCACAGGTAGAGTTTGCGTGGTGCCTCACCATTTCAGTAAAACGGAAAGCAGCTTTGTAAGCTGTTTCGGCTGGATGGAATGAGTGTTTGGAGACATGAAACGTCTGGGAATTGGACCAGCTCTCGGTAGCACTGTAGTAATATACATAAAAAACACCCGGACTGTTTTTGTTTCTTTACAAAAAAGTATCTCTGTATTTATATCAGTAGTCGAGTACCCATAACACAGGCTCTGCTTAGTTTATAGACTTCGTCACACTTAATTAACATTTATCATTATATTTAAATAAATTTTTTTTTAATTATTGCCTATATGTTATTCTGATTATAACCTGTATTACTGTAAAGTTGCATTAAAATCCGTTCGGTAGTTTTTGCTTGATAGAGTAACAAACATCCATTCATACTCACAAACTTTCACGTTTTATGATAAGAAGATTATAGTAAAAGTTTTTGTATGGAGTGCGGGCGCAATCAGCCTTAACGCGTTAGTGTGCCTTCTCCAAATGGGATATATTTTCTCTTATCTCTCTCCGCAGCCTCATTTTGCCGCATTACAGATTTGCAAAAGACGAAATTAACTAACCTAAAAACTTCTGTACCGACAGACACAATTACTATATTCATATTACCTTGACATGAGCTCGGCTTATCAGTAGGTACGTAATTAAAATTATACATTTAGTAATGATTGTGGAGTTCTCTGAAGATATAACAAGCTTAATTTTACGATAGTTTGTATAATGATAGCCCCACGTACATTGTATATAAGCGTTTTTATTGTTCCACATTTTTTATTATGTATAAAGTAAAAACTACAAAATTATCTAACTACGTAACAGAATAGAAATTGTATCAGTTGAATGTTATGTCAAATTGGCCGGAGGGATAGTTATAAAAAAAATAATGCCCAAAATATCGTATTTGATATGAATGAATATTTCAGCGAGTTAGACTTTATTTATTTATTTTAGGCTACTACTAACCTATGTTATAAATACCATATAGACTAACATATGATGTAATAGTATAAATATAGATTGTCTCTCTGGTCATAGCACTGACGACGGCAATCTGTAACGGTAGCGTTATAGCATACACTATTCCCTTCTTCAGTAGTCCTCCTTCATGAAGGTAGGGACCCAGGCCACAAACGCTTTGAAACACGCGTTGTTAGTCGATTCCACTTGCGTCACCCTCAATGTCAGGTTATTCCTGGTCCTTACGTATTCGACAAAGTCTAGCTCTTTGGGGCGTAGATTCGTGTCACAATCGCCTTGAGACTCGCGTTGTGAGTCGACTCCAACTGCGTTACTCTCAATGCCAATTAATCCTGATCAGAATGTAGTTGACAATGTCCTGCTCCTTGGTGGTGTAGTGTAGGCGAGACAGGTACATTGCCGTTGTCGGTGTAGCTGGTTATACATAGTCGTCTTCGTGGGTACCTCAGTCTTCTATTTCAACTGATTAGTAGTCAAAATACGGCAATTATTAATTTAACATTCAGCTAGACTATAAACAAATAATATTAAAGACAAGAGACTTCAACATTAAACAAAAGAGCATATATTCTATATAAACTATAAGTGTTCGTAAAAAGGTGTACAAAGTTTTTGCTTCACGTAATAATATATAGTAGAGTCCTGTCTTAATACCGTCCTGGTAAAGGAGCGTGAAGGTTAGTCTGGTATGATATTGCTCGCTGTGGGTTTATTAGCCCCCATTATAAAAAATCCTTATCTTTATATCTAAGAAGACATTTACCTACTGATTTTTAATACATTGTAACAATAGGTAGGTTTTTAAAACTAATAATAACTAACCTCATTGCACCTTGTCCGGCGCCAAATAAAAAAAATCACCACAAACTTGCTGGCTGATAGATAAAACTAATCGTGGAACACCAATGACCCTAGATGATAAAGAGTTGAGTGAGGTCCATATCGCACACACTTGGTCCGTGGTTGTTGTCAGCCACAATTAATAGTATATATCTACGCGTAGTATTTAGTACGCGTGTGCATTTGGCACACGAGTACTAAGTGCCACCACTGCTTGTATTTCCGCGTATTATTTAGCACGCATGTACATTTGGCACACGAGTACTAAATTCGACCACCGCTAGTATTTATGCGTAGTATTTAGTACGCATGTGCATATGGCAAACGCGTACCACCGCTTGTATTTACGCGTACTAAGTCCCATCATCCCTAGTATTTACATGTAGTATTTGATATTTACATGTAGTATTTGATAGTGCGTGTGCATTTGACACGCGCGCACTAAATCCGACCACCGCTTGTATTTACGCGTATTATATTTGACCATCTCTAGTCCGACCAGTATTTGATATTTACATGTAATATTTGATAGTGCGTGTGCATTTGACACGCGCGTACTAAGCACCACTCCCGCTAGGAGGTATTTACGCGTAATATTTAGTACGCGTGTGCATTTGGAATACGAGTACTAAGTGCCACTACCGCTAGTATTTACGCGTAATATTTGACACGCGTACAAGTCCGACCACCGCCAGTATTTATACGTAGTATTTAGTAGGCGTGTGCATATGGCACACGCGTACTAAGTCCGACCACCGCTAGTATTTACGCGTAGTATTTAGTAGGCGTGTGCATATGGCACGCGCGTACTAACTCCAACCACCGCTTTTATTTACGCGTACTAATTCCCATCATTTCTAGTATTTACGTGTAGTATTTGATACGCCTGTGCATTTGGCACACACGTACTAGTCCGACCACCGGCTAGCCTTTAAGCGTAGTATTTAGTACACTTCAGCATTTGGCAAACGAGTACTAAATGCTACGCGCAATTTCTCGCATGTTACAAAAGTTTGTATTCATAAATATGATTGTTTGCATTTATCTGGGTGTTTTTTATGTATATATTTACAAAAATCTAAGTATTATATCTGTTAAAATTTTATCCTAATTCCTCCCTACGTTTTTACGTGAAGCCAATACACACTAACAAATGATTAGTTTTGTCCTTGTCAAGATTTTATTATATGTAAGAATATTTATTTAGATTTATTGTAAAATAATTGTCAAGAGTCAAAAGTCAAAATGAAAATATCTGTCAAATCATGTAGGTCTATTACCAACTAATGATAAATCAAATGTACCTAGTCAAGCAAACTTTTCGGTATTTGGAAAGTCACACGATAAGTAACTTTTCACGAGCATCTCAAAAAAATATTGCATTCTGATGCCAATGAAAACAAATTGTGATCAGTAGGTATTTTCAAGCTAGAGTTCACATCTCAGGTTCACGCAGATATTGCTGGCAATCTTTGACTCACAACATTGAGTTGTATCAACCATCCTGTACACTTGCATTAATTAAAAAGATAATAAACAATAAATCTCGCAGTTGGTCTTAATTAATGTAATAAGGGAACATCCATACGTATGTCACACTTGAGTCGGAGCGAGGGAGTCGACTAAGTGTGACATAGTGTGACAAGAAGTACGATGAATCCAAAATTTCATGAAGTCACCAATTAAAGTCTAATGTACCTAACTATTAAAACACGAAATTTGAACTATTAATGAAAACCTTTAAAATATTTTCTACTTCATCTGTTGTTTTACTGCGTGAAATTTATAACCTATTTGTTATTATAATACTAGTTGTGCTCGCGGTTACACATATGTGTTTATAGCCTGTGTTATTCTAATGTATAAGCTATATTACTGTAAAGTTTCATTAAAATCAGTTTAGTAGTATTTATGTGAAAGAATAACAAACATCCATCCATCCATAATCACAAACTTTCACATTTATAATATTAGTAATCTTACTACACACACATCTGTGAAGTCACACTACAGATGGAGAATCCCACAATTCAATCGCTGTGACAATGACCGGGGGAAGGGTAAAAAACATGAACTTCATGTACCGTAATTTGTGGATAGCCCCTAATGTATTCCTATTATATAACACCCCTGTTAACAAGCGCCGTGATAACGTAAATTACATTTCTTTTCCTTCAGTTAGGAGCCTGCTAAAGTAGCTTTAGATACACATTCTAGTATAGAACCCACTGGAGTTCTAGACAGGCCAAGATCTTTTAGAAGAAACCATGAAAAAGTCATGTTCGCTATAAGTTCAAACTTGTGGTGACGTGGTGGGCCGGGTCAATGTGCTCCCTCTAATATGGTTGAGTGCAATGATGGCTGGCTCATACGTCATACTGGGGACTGGTCTGTTCGGGTTCCGAACACTGTTTAGACTATTTGCTTTTGCAACAGAATATGCTGATGGTCACTCTATTCTCTCAAATTTGAATTTAAAAATGAATCTGTATTATTGTAAACATGTACAACATTTATTTGAAAGATAGAATACGATATGAGTTTCTTGTCAGTTCTTCTCATCTCTAAATCATTCCAAACAGACGGTAGATTTGACATATCATAAGATTCATTAATAGATCTACATGAATAAAGATATTTTGAATTTGATTTGAAGATTGTAGAGAGTTTTCGCTGGTATACCTCTCGCTCACACTTCGACTGCATATAAATTAGCCACATAGCTATTTTTCGATGTTTTTTTTTATTTTTGTTTATCTTCTGTTACGTTTAATTTCTCATTGGATGATGTATATTAACTACTTCACCCTCGACTTGATACGGCAAGTTTTAATTGTTTAATGTGTTTCTCTCGAAGTGATGCTCAGTTACAACTATATAAATATACATATATGTATTATATTATATTTTATATATATTAGTTACTTAAATATATATTGACGACCTCGGTGGTCTAGCGGTCTAGTACCCTGCGTTACGTCCGATGGTCGCGGGTTCGATTCCTCGCACAGCACAAACATTTGTATTCATGAGTATGATTGTTTGTATCGGTCTGGGTGTTTTCTACGTATATTATGTATGTATTTACAAAAAAAAAAAATCGATGTACTTGTATCAGTTATCTAGTACCCGTAACACAAGCTTTAGATAGCTTAACTTGGGACTAGATGGCGCTGTGTGAATTGTCCTGAGATTATATTATTGTTGTATATTATTATTATATACATACTTAAATATACGAATATATATATATTCCTTTTTAATTATAATAAATTGGATGGTCTTTAGGTTCTATTTATTTTGATGTTAGTATAATTCTTTGAACTGCGTATTAAAACAACGGTCCATCTTGACACTTTAACCTTTAACATTAAAATGTCTATCAGCTGAGTGACCCTAATCTGTTGGAGCATTAATTAGGGCACTCCTTCGCCCCGTCATCGTTCCATCCCCCTGTGTTTATATAGATAGGGTTTATCGATCTAGGAAACGAGCTAAGTTCACAGTTCAGACAATGCATTATTGCTGATATGGGTCGTAAATGGAAAGTAACAATATTTGTTTAATTTCCTTTATTATTTATTATAACTTTTTGTAGAGAAAAAGCCAAGCCAATTTTTTTTTGTAGTCATGATAATCTATAGGGGGAAGTCTTCTAGTGGCGGACACCTATGGTTTTTTAAATATAAAACAAATATTTTAAGGAATGTTTATTTATTTATGACTAATAGTACATAACAAAGTTAGAAATCAAATTAAATTAAAAAAAACGCAACCTCTGCTTAAAAATAATTAATATTATCAATCAAATTTGGATAATAAAAAGTAATTTATAAAAGTGGCACCTAGTACCGGACAGTTCAAAATAGCCTGCATCGATATGTAGCCATCTACACACTGGAACGTCTGTACATGCTTCATGTACCCTCCCACGGCAGGATGAGCACTTGATCCAGTCTTCGTCAGTGTCTTCTAAACAAATTAATTTTTTGGGTCAAATATAAATATACAATTAGATTAAATCAGTCGTAGCGATAAGAGCAGATCAGTCCCTACAAGCAGCACTCGTTCACGAGTATAACGGATGAGCCAGCCATCACTGCACTCGACCATATTTTAGGGATCCCAATGACCCGGCCCACCACGTCGCCACATGTCTGGACATTTTAGTGAGCATAACTACTCATTCCACTCGACCACGTCACAGCTACATCATGCATCATCATGCGTTGCTATTCCAGAGGACTGTCATGCCTCTTATCCTGTAGTTTCACTGCCAAATTTGAGCTCTATACAACCGAAACACAGTTTACAAAACAAGTTGCTTGATGCCTGAAATACATACGTGAGTTTGAGATGCACACGCAAACGACTTTAGTCCTCTACTCTAGAATGTTAATCCTTGTAATATAAATTGGACTCTATTTTCCGCAATTGACCTCTCATCTGGGCCGTTGTGTGTGTAGAGCCGAGTCTACTAGAGTTACCAGCCAAGCTTCTCCCAAAAGCGCAGAAGTCTCCTGGTGTCTTCACAGACTTTGCGGAGCTAAAAATATTAATAAAGTTAATCCTTACTTAACGTTAATGTTAATACTTACTTAACTTAATTTGTATTATTTTATTTATTTCTGCAACTATTATATATTAGCATATGCGAGATCACACTAACAGTCAGTGTCTTCACCAAACAAGAAGATTTTTGGACTTCTCTATGATGACGTCAGACGATAACTGTATCGCTCTCGCCCTTAATTTGTCGACTAATAGGTCAGATAATATTTGTAAATATTATGAAAGTTATCTGTTTCTGGGAAATCTAAATAAACATGATTCCGATAGTACGGTGTTTCTTCTCGTAGTTCCATACTACAGAATATCTCCTAGTTTTTTTAGCATAGCGTTTAGCTGTCAACTATACTTCACTGCTACAGGCTTTCTTTTTTTTTTATGATAGTGGAATGGTGCACCAGTCTTCGCTGACGGTTTACGCTGGCAGGGCACCAATGGAGGATGATAATATGAGCATAAAGTCGGGTCATAACTGACCTGACTGGGCTAACGCCCATCGTAACAAATTCACCAAGAATTTATCATGATGGTTTCCAGGGCAAATCGCGTGGAGGTCAAGCTGACATGGTACATTGCTAGCAGTGGGGTCAACAGTCCACATTATTACCAATCCCCTTGCCCCTATAGGCTTTGGTTGCCATATGATATCAGGTCAGATAGCCCATTGTGTCAAATTCACCACGAATTTATTACGATGTGTTTCTGGGGGAACCACGTGGAAATCAACCTGACCAAAATTATTATTATTGGTATAATACGGTAGGCCCACATTACTAACGATTCCATTCCCTCCCATTCACAATAATTATACTACCTCTACTAATTAACATTGTTATACATGTACACTACATATATTATTCCTTCGGAATGCCAACGAAAGAGCTGTATCACGGGCGTCATCTAATAACATGTCCACGCAGTTCCTCCTGGAAATTATCGTGATAAATTAGTGAATTTGTCACTAGAGGCTAACTGACCTGACCTCATGCTCATCCTATCATCCTCCACTGGTGCTCCGCCTTAAACCGTTAGCGCGGCGAGTGTTCCATTGCGTAATCATCCAATTAAAAATAATGGCACTTATGATCAGATGATCAGTTTGTTTGCCATTCAAATTACTCTCGAGTAGATCTGCTAGTTGGCTGACGACCCATGTTTTGTTTGCTATTCCAAATTCATAAAAAGTAGGTAGTTAACTTGTAGTTACACTAACTATTCTAACACGACTGCAATCACGTAAAAACAAACTGAGGGCTTAGACTAATTAGGCAATATAAAGTAATTAGTGAAACACGTTCTCACAATCGCAACTTAAATAATTTAAATAAATAAGTAATAATGATAACTTGCTCTTTTATCTTTGCAAAGTAAACAAACAAGACACACGCTCGCCTCATGGTGACGTCACGCGAAGCGGATAACTCTAGTCTGTATTCAACTCGTTACATCAACTTCTTATTATCTCAAGTGATAACTAGGTCTGAATCTGACTTCTTGATAGCGCCGTGCATATATACTTAAGACGTCGACCATTGAATATCAGTTCACCGCTACCATTTCACGGGTGACTCTGCCTACAGTATTGTTTTGTTTCAATTAATATATTCCATAAATTCTTTGGATCGGCTTGTCTGATCGGCTTTCGCGTTGACGTCCTAAATAATATTTTTATTTAGCAACAACCGTACGGTTGTTGCTTTGAAGTTAATAAAAGCTTTGAGAATTACGCTATTAAGGGTAAGTTTTTTTTATATATTTTTATTACTTGTTTTTGTATATTTGTTATAATTTTATTGAGTGTTTGTTTTGTGTTGCTAGGTGTCACATCAACTTCTTGACTTAATTGAGCCCATTTTATTTAAATTAGTTGAAACGTACTGTATATATATCTATATATAATTAAACATGTAGAAATATTTTAACTAAATGTCGTAAGATATCAGCTATAATATATTCACGACTTAAAAACTTTTTTTTTAGTATATAAAACCATTTAATGAAATGTTACAATATCTTAAAATGCTACATAGATAATTTCTTGATACTAGCAAGCTTCTTACTTGCTCCTCTTGTGATTGAGACAGCTTTCCTAATTAGCGGTAGTTTAAAAAAAATAAGTGAAGACTATTCAAAAGTGCTTCAATATAAGTTTATTTGTATAAATAATTTTCTGTTCTATTTTTAATTGAATAAATATTTTTTCTTTAATGTCCAAGAACTGATATTTTGAGTTTATCCAATTTTTTCTTATTATTATTTTACTTTTTGTTTCATAGCTCAATCTAGAATATTTTATGTACATTTTTAAGATCTTTTATTTGGTGTACTGCAATATTTAAATTTTCATGAATGACCCAATCCAACGCCGTTAGTGACGACCGAAATTATAAGAGAAGAAGCTGTACACGCGACTTCGTCCGCGTGGAATTTAACTTAATATTTTTCTAAAATAAAAGTAGCCTAAGTTACTCCTTATTACATCAGCTACCTACTAAAAATGTCCCGTCAAAATCGATCTAGCCATTTCGGTGATAAGCCGGAACAAAGAGACAGACAGACAGACACAATTTGTAAAAAATGTTATTTTGGTGTATACACTGTATTTATATTCATATGCATGTAGTAAAAAATGGTTATTCCAATATTACAAACAGACACTTCTATTTTATTTATATAGGTATAGATTATTTTGCACTGAGTGATTTAAAAAAATGTATTTTCTTATTGATTCACGGGGTATGACATATTATTTGTTCAATAATTGGTAATATGGTAATAACACATTTGTGTAAATAGTTTATTTAATTCGTACAGTTACAGTGGATGACGTATTGTCTTTGACATTCAAATTATATTGCTAGGGAACATTATTTATACTAGTATAATGTACTGAGAACAATTATACTTATACATATTAACTGAATATTACTATATTCTCATATCAGTCAGGCGGGTTTTCATTTTTAAATTAAAATTTGGGAGAATAGAGTGACCACCAGCATTTGGCATTGCAAAAGCAAATAGTCTAATCAGTGTTCGTAACCCGAACAGACCACCTCACATGCATTATCTATGTCTTATATATAAAATTCTCGTGTCACAGTTTTCGTTCCCATACTCCTCCGAAACGGCTTGACCGATTCTCATGATATTTGTGAGCGTATTGAGTAGGTCTGAGAATCGGCCAACATCTATTTTTCATCCCCCTAAATGTTAGGGGTAGTCCACCCCTAATTTTTATTTTTATTTTAAGGCAAAACAATGTTTGCCTGGACTGCTAGTATGTTTATAACACTTACTTAATATAGTTTTTTTTTTATCTCAGTACAATTCACACAGCGCCCACTAGACCCAAGTTAAGCTAACTACAGCTTTTGTTATGTGTACTAGATAACTGATATAAATACATAGATATTTTTTTCGTAAATACATACATATTATATATAGAAAACACCCAGACCGATACAAACAATCACACTCGTGAATACAAATGTTTGTGCTGTGCGAGGAATCGAATCCGCGACCATCGGACGTAAAGCGGTGTGCTAGACCGCTAGACCACCGAGGTCGTCAAATAGTTATTCATTATCCTTGCATAATTTCCTCTAATATGGTTGAGTGCAATAATGGCTGGCTCATCCGCCATATTCGTGAACGGGTGCTGCTTGTGGGGACTGGACTGTTCGAGTTACGAACACTGATTAGACTATTTGCTTTTGACAAAATTGCAATAGCATTCTATTGCCACAAATATGAATTTAAAAGTGAATCTGTATTGTATTGTATTATACAAACTCATTTGAAAAAAATACGAGCTGAATTTCTCGTCAATTCTTCTTAGCTCAAAAGCACTCCGAACTGACGGTAGATTTGACATATCATAAGAATCTGTAATAGACCTACATGAATAATGTTTGATTTGATTTCAGTATCATCGAATTTTCCTCGTTATATCATACACAGGGATTCCCTGTGTGTATGTAACTAAGTAGGTAACTATTATTAAAGGCTAAACGGATTTTCTTACTTTTTTTAGATAACTTACATAAATTAATGACTAAATGGATTTTCGTCTTTTTTTAGATAACTTACATAAATTAATGACTAAACGGATTTTCTTACTTTTTTTAGATAACTTACATAAATTAATGACTAAACGGATTTTTTGTCTGTCTGTTTCTTTGTTTGTTCCGTCTAATCTCTGAAATGGCTGGACCGATTTTGACGGGACATTTATTGGCATTTAACTGATGGAATAAGGAGTAACTTAGGCTACTTTACTAAGTAAAATTCCATGCGGACGAAGTCGCGGGCATAGCTAGTGTAAATATAAAACATATTCGATGGGACGACCGATCTTACTACAATTTACACCATGACCTTGCTCGCCAATCTGCTTACGTACTTACGTGTATTGTATGAGTCAACATGGCGCCCGCACGATCCGCTTATGTAACATAACTTGATTGATGTAGTTGTCACGATTATATTATAACGATATCCTATTCGCTATTTTGGTTAGTAGTGAAAATCTTCCTTGCAACAGATGGAGGAAAACGTTAAATTTAACGATGCTAGCAATATTTATTTTGTGTTTAAAAAATAAGTTATATGCAGGGCAACACTACAATATAGACATACATTGCATTCCAAATTATGCAATATTTGCTGCACTCGCGAATTCATTCGAAAGACCTTGACATAATAGAAATAATGAAAAATATCCAAAATACTAACACTAGATTATTAAAATTACAGATTAGAATTATTAAATTATAGATAGATTAAAAAAAATATGGTAACTATTCATTGTAATTGAATTGAAATGGCTGGACCAATTTTGACGAGACTTTTATTGGCAGGTAACTGATGTAAAAAGGAGTAACTGAGGCTACTCTTAGTTAAAAAAATAAAGTTAAATTTCACGCGAACGAAGTCGCGGGTGCATCTAGTTAGACACCATAAATTTAAATAGCACATCAATAAATGTTAAATTACGTCCCATTATAATGATATTGACGGTCAAAGTCTTATAATAGTCAACAATTGATAGGACCTTTAAATTGATAATACAAAACAAATGTACTCTCGAAATGATTCGTTAGCGAGCATTGTTAGGAGGCCAGCTTTAGTAGCAATTGCGTCGCGACTTGCGTTTATGGCGTATGGTGATCATCATCATCATCATCATCATAATCATTATCATCATCCATCATCTGCTTCTTCCTTAACCCATTTATCTGTATCCGGCGTAATATGTTTTTCTCTTCTATTCGGGATGAATGGAAGAGAAAAAGATATTACGATGATGTTCGCAGTCATCGCGTTATTTACTTCCTTTCTTACCATATCATCTTTCACACAGTCCATACATATTTTTTACGGTCTTCCTCTGCCCTTATAATCATCCACATTCATATGTAACACCTTCCTTAAGATGTGATCTTCATTCCTACGCATTACATGAATCCTTCGCTGTGGGAGCAGCAGGCTGCCAGACGGCCAGAGTGGAGAGCGCTTGTTAAATCTAGCGTCAAATCCTTTGAAAACCGGCGGCTTCAAGGAGCTGGATGCCAGACGCGACGAGCTGAAAGCCCGACCACCTGCGGCTATCAGCTATAATTATGTGAATGGTGTGCTCTCGTGCCCGCAATGTGCGAGGATTTTTATAAACAAAATTGGCTACATCAGCCACATCCACGGCAAAAACGGAGTTGAAGACAGTCGCCGTGGCCGAAATCGGCCGGGATTACATCATCATCTTTCACACAATCCAACCATCTCTTTTTCGGTCTTCCTCTGCCCTTATAATCATCCACATATGTAACACCTTCCTTATGATATGATCTTCATTCCTACGCGTTACATGCCCATACCATGTGTAAGATCTTATCAATTGGCAGTAAATTCTTATCTATCTATCTATTTAACTATCTCTATAATGATTTTTATAATGAAAAATTTACGTTATATTACGCAATTGGTATCGAATTCGTATCATCATCATCATCATTTCAGCCCGGGAGAGGTCCTTCTGAACAAAGACCTCCTAGTATGCGTCCTGCCAATTAAATAAGATTGTAGATGTATGTCTCAAGATATATTAATGAATTGAAACCAATAATTATACATTAAAGTATAGATTATTTCTATTTCTAATTGATTTAACAAATTTTTAGTATGGCTAATAACTCTGTTATTAAATTTCGTGCGAGTGTAGCTATTGAGGTAAAATAAACTATAAACCGTAACACTCGCTAATAACGCAGTTTTCTATAGCTGTAACTATTTTTATAATTGCTCTAATGTATCACTTTTTAAATAATATAATAGAATTAATAATAGGTTATAACAGAACTTTATTAATTTTATTAATACTCTCAGTTACAAAACACGCATAAACAATACAAAAATAATGAAATAAAAAATAAATAAATATTGTAATGTAATTTTCACCATAACATTAATACAAATAAACATACGTGTATAATATAAATATATAAATACATATAAATGATAACTTTTTTAAAAAAACAGGACTCCAATCGCTCAATAAAAGTTGGGACAATTTATCTAGAGATAGATTTATCTTAGATAAATTATAGAACCAAAGAACCACGAAGTTATAGTCTTTCAAAATGACGGGAGTTATAAAGTAAAATAATATTTAAATAAGGGGCAATGAGAATTGAGAACCTCCTGAGTCTATCTCCTTGAATCCTTTAAACAAAGAATTAAAAAAAGTTGATGTGGACTATAAGTCAGCATAATGTTTTAAATGCTAGAAATACGAATTCAAGCGCTGATTTCGTAATCTTTTAATTTTTTTGCAACCGTTATTTAACCATAAAAGTATATCAATATTGATATTATCTCATTTCCTTTATCGCTTACGATCACTTGTATTTGTTTTATCGCTTATTGAAGGGCCTTACAGGTTAGTTGTGTTTCTAAGTCGTAACAAATATCATGTTTATATAATATATAATTTTCAATACATTTCATTTATATGCCAGTGATGTGATTTTGTTACATGTTTATATTATTTTCACTGTGTTAAGATATTGTTATGTGAGATATATTAGTCAGCTTCCCAAAGACCACCAATAATCCCAGTTGCGGTGCTCTCCTGTACATCTACATTACAGCACGCTTAAAACAATACAGTATGAACTCGAAAATTATATTTTTTTGTAACTAAACGTTAAATTTAGAACTTTAGAGTCGTTTATCAAAATTTTGTATTTTTTAGTTAATGTATTATTTTATTGCGTCCAATATATATTTAAATTATAATAAATTAAATATAAACTCTGAACAACGCCGAATTACAGATATGAATACTAAACTGATAGTCATTATTAAATACATTTTTTGTAAATTAGAGACCAGTTGCATCTTCGCAAGGATGCATTATAAATGTTTGAATTTCTCGGCTTGTTCTGTTCTATAACAGCAAGTATTATACATATAAACCTTCCTCTTGAATCACTCTATCTATTGCTAAAAACTGCATTAAAATATGTTGTGTAGTTTAAAAGATATAAGCGAACAGACAACTGAAGCGACTTCATTTTATACTATGTTAAGATATTAAAATATAAACATTACCCTTAAAGAAATCTATACATACAATTAAAATTGGAGTGTCTGTTTGTAATATTGAAATAACCGTTTTTTACTACATACATATGAATATGAATAGGGCACATACACCAAAATAACATTTTTTACAATTTTTGTCTGTCTGTTTGTTCTGGCTAATCTCTGAAATGGCTGGACCGATTTTGACGGAACTTTTATTTGCAGTTAGCTGATGTAATAAGGAGTAACTTATGCTACTTTTATTTTAGGAAAATTTGACGCGGAAAAGTCGCGTATACAGCTAGTAGACAATAAAGTTCAGTATAAATAATTATATTGCAATTTCATGTTTTTATGAATAATAAAATGTGTTATAGCTGATCTAGCATGTATAGATGATCAAATAGTTTAAAAATAATATTTTTAGACTAATCTATTGTCATTTTTCCAATTCGGAGTAATTCAAACATTATCAATACCTATTTTGAGAATTTACGTTATTTATTTTTGAGTCATTTCTTGTCTCAAGGTTGTGACTGAAGATTGTTTTGTTAAACCTTCATGTATTACTAATGTAATGATTCATGATTATCTTAAACATCTTACTACATTAACTTTACTATCATTAGGACGTGACAGAGCTACTGTTTGAGATAGTACTTGGCTAAAGGAAAAAAAATAGAATCTCTAAAAAGTATATTTGTTATGTATTAATGTACTAAATTCCATTCAAATCGGATAGGATATTATGTATATTAGATAGAAATAGAAACGGTTACTTCCCATATTGGTTATTTTTTATCGCAATTTATGACCTTAAGGTTACAGAAGAAATAAAAACAATTTCTACACATTCTAAGAATATACATATAATTTTCATTACAATTAGATTTTCATAATAATAGAGGCAGAATAATATTACAAATGAATGTCAGAAATTATCACACATTATACTATATATATAAATGATTATGTATACACAAAGGAACAAAACAAGTAACAGTAAGGAATCTACCATGATGGTTTTCAGGTAGAACTGCGTGGAGATCAACCTGACATGATTCAAGCTAGTCCCTTCCCCCAATCCCTAGGAGTTTTTTTTATTGGATGATAATGGAATGGTACTTCCGCCTTCGCTAATGGTTTATGCTGGCGGGGCACCAGTGAAGGATGATAAGATGAGCATGAAGTCAAGTCAGGTAGCCCATCATGACAAATTCACCAAGAATTTATCACGATGGTTTCCAGGGGGAACCACATGGAGGTTAACCTGACATGGTACATTGCTAACAATAAGATCATCAGTCCACATTATTAATAATCCTCTTTACCCCAATACCCAGGAGTTACTGATTAAGCAATTGATTGACGTTGGATATTGTTTGTCCTCAGGGAGCACCGGGTGAGTCCGGCGCGAGTGCCAGTGCCGGGCGAGACGGGCGAGAGATCCGTCCGCAGCTTCCGCGCCCACGGCCTTCCACGCGCTGCTGGCGCCGCGCGCTCAACGTAGACCCGCCCTGGCTGCGGCACGCGCCCACCCGCTGACGCCACACCACGCCTGACACGTACGTTCTTTTTTCTATATATTACGACTTTGGCAAACGAGCATATTGGCCTTTTTGATGGTAAATGGTTACCGTAGACTATGGACAGCTGAAACACCAGCGGTGTCATGTGCGTGTTGCCGACCCTGCATTCTAATTAGGACTTTATAATAGCTGTACTATTTCCTTTGGTCCCGGAGAAAAAGTTTGTTGTTAAACAAGCATACGGCCCGATGGTAAACGGTTAACGTAGCTTATGCATGCCTGAGTGAATCCCCTGGTGTACCAGCGGTTACTCGTGCGCGTTACCAACCTCGCTTTCTCTCTATAGTAACCCGTCTAATCCTAACCCTTCTAAATTTGACATTACGTATGTTTCCACCGTTGGCAATTTTTTAATAAATTAACAAATACAAGTTTCTTGTATCAATTTATACATTTTTTTAATTTACATTTATTTTTAGGAAAAAACATGTTAATAAAAAGGTAGTTATCCTTATAACTACCTCTTTTATAAACCATACGATGTTTATATGGTGTTGTATTTAATAAAGTATATATTTAACTATTTAAAATATGTCTTTTGCATATTTCTATGTAGATATTTAGAATTGATTAAAAAAAAAAGATTCTTAAAGTGTATTATTGTTTGTATGCAGCTGACACTTGTTGACGAACGCTTGTGGACCCCCACCACCGGGCCCGACCACCTGACACCGTCCGCAGCCCCGCCCTCGGCCACCCGGGGCCGGCCCGGCTCTCAGGGGCACCGACCCACTGAAGTGACAAGTGTTTGTGAACTGTGTTGATCATCATGAAGGTTCTGCAAGAAGAGCAGCGCGTTACCGTGATGGAGGGGCCGTGGACGCCAGTCGACGTCATCAAGCAGATAGTGGACGAGGGCAACCAGGAGGATCCGTTCTACGTGATGGATCTGGGGGAAGTGGTCAATAGGTACCATCGTTGGAAGGAGCTGATGCCGCGCGTTGAGCCGTTCTATGGTAAGATTTGATATTTACTTTCCTTTGCTGCAGGGTTGCCAACCTAAACAGTGTGTAACTATTATATTCAGTTACACACTCACAGGTTGGCAACCCTGCTCATCTTACACAAGAGGTAATAGATAACAATTTTGTAATTGGAAGTGATCATGCCTGTAATTTTTTTTTCCTATTTTTTATTATAATTACCCAATATTTTTTTATCTGTTAATTATTATGCATTATTTGCAGCGGTGAAGTGCAACGATGACAAGCTGCTGGTGTCGACGTTGGCAGCGCTGGGTGCCGGGTTCGACTGCGCCTCCAAGGCCGAGATAGAACTCATCACCTCTCTGGGAGTGAAGCCTGAGTTAGTATATTGAGGACAACAATAATAGTAACCCTAGAGAATATAACTAATGGCAACACATCGCCGGAGCCAGAAAAAACCCCTGTACAATTTATACCGCTTAATCTAGTCCCAAGCTGAGCAAAGCTTAGAAAATAGGGACTTAAATGAGAAAACTATAATATAATTAGGAGAATTTGTTGACTAATATGACCCGAAACAATGTTAGAATTTTTGTCTTTGTGTTTGTGGGCGGCTAATCTCAGAAAGGGGTCTCCGATTATGGTGTGGTTTACACTAATGTATTGTGGTTCATTATTCCAAACTGTTTACTTACATAATTAGGAGAATTTGTTGACTAATATAACCTGAAACAATGTAAGAATTTTTTTCTTTGTGTTTGTGGGCGGCTAATCTCAGAAAGGGGTCTCCGATTATGGTGTGGTTTACACTAATGTATTGTGGTTCATTATTCCAAACTGTTTACTTAATAATAAAATTATGCGGTACTTCATACAGCATAGAATACTCAGATAGTATGTAAAGTTTTTTATCATGTTGATAAATCTTCAATAATACGTCTCCTCTCAGGATGAGTAACGAAGGGGTGTGTGGTACTAAAAACCACACGGATAGAAATTACGACGGCCTGAGTCGAGGTTCGAACCCTAGAGGTTAGACTAGTTGTATCCGTCAGGACAAAGTTGGACTTTAGTTGCTCCATAAGCCCTTCCGCGGGTTTGGAGTGCCATCTGCATTCGCCCCCTATCGTCCAGTGAAGCTGTAAAGGCCAGCTGCGGCCAACAGCATTAGAGTAGGCCGAGAAAAAGGAATACATTATTATTACAATCCCAATACTACAAAAATAGTTTGTCTTTAATTAATCCCTATAGTTTTATTAAAAGACTAGCTGTCCCGCGGAACTTCGTCTGAGTTTCGTTTCCCAATCTTTTGCAATATTTTTCATTGCAGCTCCGCTCCTATTGGTCGTAGCGTAATGTTATATATCTTAAAGCCTTCCTCGACGAACGTACTATCCAACACAAAAATAATTTTTCAATTTGAACCAGTAGTTCCTGAGATTAGCGCGTTCAAACAAACAAACTCACCAGCTTTATAATTTGTTATTTATTGTTAAAGAAGTGTTAAGAAAAAAGTATTGTTTGTTCTCAGTCGCATAATATTCGCGAACCCAGCCAAGATGGCGTCGCATATACGCTACTCGGCGGCTGCGGGCGTGGACTTGATGACCTTCGACTCCGAGATTGAGCTGCTGAAGATCAAGCAGCACATGCCGCATGCGCAGTGAGTACCTAACTTTATTATTACTTGTTGACATCCCACGGTTGGGCATAAGCTTCATCATCATCATTATCATCGCAGCCCGGAAGACGTCCACTGCTGGACATAGGCCTCCCCCAAAGATCTCCACGACGATCGGTCCTGCGCTGCTCGCTCGCTTCTTACGTAGAGCGGAATATCTTATTCATAATATTGTAAACGCGGAAGTTTGTTACTGTGGATGTTTGTTTATCTTTCACGCAAATACATGGTTCTGTATGTAAAACAAGTTTCGTAAAAAGTGGTACATAGTTTTTGCTTCACCTACTTATACATAGATAAATAGCTGTACCCGCGGTATCATGCGTAAAATATATATATAGCAATACAAAATAAACTTTATTTTGCCATATAAAATAATGTCGCTAGCAAACGTTGTTCTGCTATATAAATTAAAATCGCTATTAAAAATAGTTGTTGGTGATAGAAAGGTGAAAAGGATTGTATGTATTTTTTAATGCCAGGTTATTAAAAAAAATGTTCACAATATAAAAATAAATGTTAGGAGCGGACAAGTTTCTTGTCACTTAGGGGTATAAAAAATAGATAGTAGCCGATTCTCAGACCTACAGAATATACATATAAAATATCATCAAAATCGGTGAAGCCGTTTCGGAGGAGTATGGTAATTAACATTGTAACACGAGAATTTTATATATTAAAACTAGCTGTCCCGGCAAACGTTGTTTTGCCTTAAAATAAAAATAAAAAATTTGGGGTGGACTACCCCTAACATTTAGGGGGATGAAAAATAGATGTTGGCCGATTCTCAGACCTACTCAATACGCTTACAAAATTTCATGAGAATCGGTCAAGCCGTTTCGGAGGAGTATGGGAACGAAGACTGTGACACGAGAATTTTACATATAAGATGTATGTATACGTTACAGCCTATGTGTTATTCTGATGTATAAGCTATATTATAGTAAAGTTTCATTAAAATCCATTACTTTTTCAAGTAGTTCAATAATCCAGTAGTTTTTGTGTGAAAGAGTAACAAAAATCCATCTATCCATTCATACTCTGAAGCCTGGAAGGTATACATATATTATACATGGACTATAAAATTGATCGATTAAAAAAAATTGTGACATTACATTCAATTAGTGGCATTACAAAGATATAAAATATAAATTATAGTGTAGGACCACTCTTTGCTACAAAGGACATGAGCCCGTTGCCCTATTGAGCAATATGAAGCTGTATCAATACGGTTGCAGTAAAATAAACAAATGTATTCGTTTGTAGGCTGGTGATCCGCATCCGTTGCGACGCGGCGGTGGCGCAGTGTCCGCTGGGTATCAAGTTCGGTTGCGATCCCGTCGCTGAAGCGCCGCGTCTGCTCAAGTTGGCTGCGGTCTTAGGGCTCGAGGTAAATATGCCATTTTCTTTTATTTTTTTATACTTGATATAACCTTTTAGTCGATTTCCTGTCCCATTGAAACGGGGATCGAAATTCCCAAAGTAAAGTCGTATCGTCAAGTAGCAGATGGCCTTCAGCTGCTCCAGGGGCTGGGGATCAGTAGAGGACGATGGGATGACTGAGGTTAGGTCCGTTAGCCCATGGTGAGGTAATTATCATGATGAATTCCTTTGACATGACTACTATGCAATAATGACCCCATTGTGAACAATGTATGGTACATTGTTATTTGTTAATTATGGGGTCATCGTTCTACATTAGCAACAGTTTCCTTACCCCGACATAGTACATTGTTAGCTAGGTTAGGTCATCATTTCCTTTCCCCAGAATGTTGCTCTTGCTCTAGGTATTAGGAAATAGAACGACACCATCGTTCAATTTCATTCTACTGTCTGAAAGTATGAACATTTTTATGTATGTTAAGTATCGTAGTTAGTACCTCACAGGTCATAGCCGGGGTGGGGCTATCTACCTTGCCTCTCCGTGGCTATTATCCGGATTAATTTTGGACTAATTTCCTTCCCCCGACATGGTACGTTGTTAGGTCATTCCCTGCCCCCAGAATGTCATTGTAAGTATCGTGTGTAACAGGTGGTGGGCGTGTCGTTCCACGTGGGCTCGGGTGCGGCCGACACGGAGGTGTACGCGCGCGGTGTACAGTGGGCGCGGGCTCTGTTCACGGCCGCCACGCGCGCCGGACACCACATGCGGCTACTGGACGTCGGCGGGGGGTTCGCCGGCGGCTCGCACTCCTGTCTCGCGCAGGTACCCGCCCCCGACCACGTGAATAGTGTTCGCAGCCACCTCCCGCGCCGGACACCACATGCGGCTACTGGACGTCGGCGGGGGGTTCGCCGGCGGCTCGCACTCCTGTCTCGCGCAGGTACTCGCCCCCGACCACGTGAATAGTGTTCGCAGCCACCTCCCGCGCCGGATAAAATATTGTCTAATATATATAAATATCAACCTATTTAGTAAATAGATAAGACAGGTGATTTGCTGGACAATATTGTAAATAATGCAAAAATATTAATATAAAAACTTTATTTATCTATCTAGCTATCAATAGTTATAACTAACCGCGCTCTTCCCTAGGGAGGTACCCTAAGCAGGTGACGGTTGGGGCCTAGGGGTGAACTCCTTTTTTTTTTATGGATGATAATGTAATGGTGCACCCACCTGCGCTAACGGTTTACTCTGGCGGGGCACCAGTAGGGGATGACAAGATGAGCATGAGGTCAGGTTAGTTAGCCCATCGCGACAAATTCACCGGGAATTTATCACGATGGTTTCCAGGAGGAACCGCGTGGATAGGGGTGAACTCCTTTGCCCCGCCATCAACAATCCTCGGGTAACGGGGTTGACAGCCTTTTGGGGCATTAGAGCGGGACTAAGGACCCGTCACCAGGTCACAGCTATACACGCTACAATATATTATTCTACATACAGGTGGCGCAGGTGATCAACAACGCACTTGAAACTCACTTCCCGGAACGTTCGGTGCGCATAATCGCTGAGCCGGGACGGTATTTCGCGGCGGCTGCGTACACGCTCGCTACAATGGTGCACGCTAAACGGGAGGTCGGTATATTTTTGTCTTATATAATTTAAACGAGATGAGAGATGGCTGATTGGTTTGTTGAGCGAACCGCGAAAAGCAGAGCGATCTTAGAAATCAGATTTGCACTCTTTGTAACAACAATAAACGGCTTTATTAATCGAGACCAAAATTTCATCGAAGTTTTTTTTTTATTCTATTATGATTTAGCATTCAATAATAATAATAAAACAACATACAACCCTAAATTTTCGCCCTTCTAGCATCAACTCTAATTTTTTAATAGCGCTTTTAATTTATATGACAAAACAACGTCAGCTAGTTAATAAATAGTGTATTATTCGCAGGTCACGTCGAAGGACAACGCGAATGAAGACGAGACGCACACTATGTATTTCGTGAACGACGGCGTGTACGGCTCGTTCAACTGCGTGCTGTACGACCACCAGCAAGTCGTAGCCGAGCCACTCATTGTAAGTACTTTAAATATAATAATAATAGGGACTGTTAACCACCATTAGAACTATTAGCCGTCATTCTCAACACATTCTTAAAGAAAATTATTATCGTCAACTCTTTTATCACCCTCGGAAAAAAATAAAGGATATTTAATAAGTCTGAGAATCGTCTACTATCTATTTTTCATACCCATAAGTGATAAGAGTCGTCCATCCCAAACAATTTATTTTTATTTTTTCGAGAAGTTTTTTATCAAGTGACACAGATTCATTTTTAAAATTTGTGAGAACAGAGTCAGCATGTTAATATATATGTGTAATGCAGCCGAGCCGGGCCGCGCCGCGACCGTGCTCGGTGTGGGGCCCGAGCTGCGACGCGCTGGACTGCGTGCTGCCGAGCGCGTTCCTGCCGCCGCAGCCGGCCGGCGCGTGGCTGGTGTGGCGCGACATGGGCGCCTACACGCTGCCCGTCGCCTCGCCCTTCAACGGGTTCCCCGTGCCGCGCGTCGTGCCCGTCGTGCGCGCCGCGCTCTGGTACGTGCCCGGACCTCACGCCAGGCGTTAGACGCCGCCCGGACCTCACGCCAGGCGTTAGACGCCGCCCGGACCTCACGCCAGGCGTTAGACGCCGCCCGGACCTCACGCCAGGCGTTAGACGCCGCCCGGACCTCACGCCAGGCGTTAGACGCCGCCCGGACCTCACGCCAGGCGTTAGACGCCGCCCGGACCTCACGCCAGGCGTTAGACGCCGCCCGGACCTCACGCCAGGCGTTAGACGCCGCCCGGACCTCACGCCAGGCGTTAGACGCCGCCCGGACCTCACCCCAGGCGTTAAACGCCGCCCGGACCTCACGCCAGGCGTTAGACGCCGCCCGGACCTCACGCCAGGCGTTAGACGCCGCCCGGACCTCACGCCAGGCGTTAGACGCCGCCCGGACCTCACGTCAGGGGTTAGACGCAGCCGGGACCTGAGGGCCCCGCGGACGTCATGTGATGGGTTATATGCCGCCGGGACCTGAGGGCCCCGCGGACGTGACAGTAGGGGTTAGACGCCGCCGGGACCTGAGGGCCCCGCGAAGATGACGTTCGGCGTTATACGCCGCTCGGGACCCGACGGCCCCCATCATCGGCGTTTTATCCTGACAAATTCTCTGCGATTTGTAGTTTGTAGTTATGTTTGACTAATGTATCCACAAGTACATTCTCATGAAAACCACTCCCTCTGTCAACCCCATAAAAAGAATCGGCGTGAAGTTAAGTATATTTAATTCCAAATCGTGATTATCGTCGTTCCAGTCAATGTAGTTAAAAGTTACATTCAATTCAAGTCTACTTTGTTTTTTACATTCCTTAGTTCAGCCTAAATAATTTCGTGTCGACTTCTGAACTATGTGAAATGAAATGTCTACACTTGTCGTCATCTAATGAATGACTGTCTCTTTCTAGGGCTGTGCTGAAGGATCTGTGGCCGTTGACGGAGGCGCACTTCGTGCAGAGCGTGCCGGCCGCAGGGCCGCAGTCGCCGCCCCCGTCGCCGTCGTCCCCCTCGCCCCCCTCCCCCACCCCCTCACACTCCTCGGAGCCGTCCCCTTCTTCGTCCCCGCCCCCGATCGCTGCCCTCGATGACCACCACTCTCGTCTCGTATTCGTGGAATGCGCCCTCAAGTGACCGCACTGTCACGCCGACGACCAACGCGCGCGGTGATACTCGATAATACGACTAATTCGCCTAAAAATACAGTCCATATTGCATTATTCACTCCTCATATCAAATATGTTTTTGTTGAATATTTATAGGCGTTTTAGTTACGTTTCGTGTATCACAAAACCGATAAAAAAAGCCCATATAACATGCGACATGATAGTCAATTACTGGCTCATCAAGGTTGCTGATATGAATTTTAAATACATAGAAAATCTTCATTTAAATGTTTCTCAGAATCGAATATCCTGTTTCACGTTATATGGGCGATGGCTCTGCTATATTGACTTGTTACCTTTTATAACCGATTTAATATGTCATTTATATTCAAACTATGGTTTTAATATTTGAAAAATCATAATTAACTTTTGTTCATGCATTTGATTAATATCTAGAAAGTAGTTCTTAGGAATGGCAATACTTGACGGTACCACAGGCGTCACAGTGTAGTGTGATATCTGTGGTCCTGCCTATACATGACGGTCGTTTCCTAACTGTTGACCTGTCAGTTCATTCGCCATTCTATGTCGTAAAAAGTGTATTTTCTAATTATATTTGATTATTTTACTATTGTTGTGACCATTGAAATACATTTTAACTGTTTTATATAAATGTGGTGGTAGATGCGTTTTTATATCACTAAATATTATTTTTACATTCATATAACTGTATGGTAGTTGTATCATTGCTTACTACTAACATTAAAAAAAAAGTAACTGTTTGGAAATTGTTATGAATCGTCAAATTGATTGTACGTGTGTAGAGCAATAGGAACATTCCTTTATTATCGTAGATTGTACGATGTTGTCAAATGTAATGGATTTTTCAATGTTTATGAATTTTTCATAGTTTCGCAAAAATGTTTGTAGCAAGTGGCTTTTTCCAATAAATTTCTGACATCATAACTGTGTTTTTTTGTTTTCTTTATGACCCCGAATACAGTCATTGTACACCAGTACATAGACACTATGTCACATTGGTACAAATAAAATGTTTATTATTTATTTGCAATTTCGTAGTATTTATAAAAAATAATAATTGTACAAAAATGCTTATAATAAATTTATTTTAATACAGTTTTATATTCTGTATTATTAATAATTAAATAGTTAATAGTCGCCTAGTGAGAGGTCCAATGTATAATCAAATTTATAGTATTTTATATGTCTTATTTTATTTCATATATGTAAATAAATAAAATGAATATTATAACAAATTTAAACAATTAATATGCCAGAATTAATGAATTAATTCTCAAAACATAATAATTACTTATATCTGCTTACGTGAATCTAAGTCAAATATTAAAATGTCATAAAATAAATTAACTGGACTTAGTTCAGTATTTTTCTAATTTTCTCAATTTTATACAAGATCTCCTAAAAATGGTTAGAAACGCTAAGCGTTATGAACAATATAATAATATCGCATAGATATGTTATTCAACTATTTTAGTTGTCTTAATAACCGTTTCTTATTCTTATAAGGTATGAAAAGAATGGACCTCACTAACTTTTTTACTGTTAACCTTTTATTATTCCACAATAGAAGAAAATAAAATGGCTTAGTTTATTGACCACTTTTTCACTCCCTAATTACCTCGGGAGGTAACCACGTGTTATGTAGATGCGGTTAGGTTCTGGAAACTATACCTTGGAGTTTTTAGTGAGTAGAAGTGTCGCAGTGTCTGCGTGCTTCCGCAGGGGTGGGATTCCACGAGGGATTTTCTCCAATAAAAAAAATGGTTCTGGAAACCTTTGTGGGTTTGTTACTGGTAAATTGTCACGATGTACTAACTGATATCATTCTCCACTGATATCCCGCCAGCGTATACCGTTAAGACAGGACGGTTATTATTTAAAAAACACATGTACATATTTAGAATCTGTCTTAATTCCACTTCACCTAATTATATCAAATGCCTGCTGAATTTGTCACGATGGGCTAACTGACCTGACTTTACATTCATCTTAACATCCTCTACTGGTGCCCCGCCATCGTAAACTGTTAGCGCTGACGAGTGCACCATTCCATTATCATACGTTGACGGCCTCGGTAGTCTAACGGCTTAACGTCCAATGGTCGCAAGTTCGAGTCCTCGCACTTTACAAATATTTGTATTCATAAGTACGATTGTTTGTATCGGTCTGGGTGTTTTATATGTATATTAGGTATGTATTTACAAAAAAAAAGTATTTATATCAGTTGTCTAGTACCTATAACACAAGCTCTACTTACTTTGGAATTAGGTGGTGTGTACATTGTCCAGAGGCACTATTATATATATATATGCAAAGGTATTTATTAATATTCAACAATGTTAATTTACAGGTTTTATTTATGTAAATTGAATATGACATATTATAATGAATTTATAAAGTTACGACTTATGTTCTTTTTCATAAAAAGAAAACAAATTGTACAGTCATTTCAACTATTACTTTATTACTTACTTTCAATTAAGAAAAACTGACAAATAACAATACCAAGATTCTGTTACATGTTTATGAATAAGAGGACAGACAACGTAAATTCATTGGGAGCTTACATTCAACCTATCATACTTTATTTACAAAAAATAGAAGAACAATTCAATTTAACATACATGTCATGACTGTATTTTTTTTATATATTTGGAACGGTAAGCTGACCTCCCGCCTGATGGTAAGTGGTATCCGACGCCTATATACATGAACAGAACTACTATCATCATTATTCACGCGTTGTCTTTACGAACAACGTTCTCCATATCCTGTAATTTCACTGCCATATATACATTCTTTTATTGAAACAGGTTACAAAGCAATCTGCTTGGCGGCTGAAATAGGTGAGACTGAGGTACGCAGCGACTTCTTAAAATTTACCTTGGTGAATTATTAAAAACAAACATTATACAATATCATTATTAATAATGAGATAAATTCGAGATTTTCAACCAAGCAGCGTTTATATTTAACTAACTTTCACAAGGTGGATTACTTGAAGTGATACCTTTATGGTAAAAAATAAAATACATATTCGAATTACAAATATTTTACGTTTTTCTCATGAAAAATATTAAATTAATCACATTTAAACAGAACAACACGACATCGAAAATTATATTTAAATATACAAGTACAAACTTATTACATTTCCTATTAGTTTGACAGAGAGAAAAGAACTAGAATGTCGTACAATTATCTTTATATACTCAGCACAGTTAATAAACAATGTTGATATTTCTCTTTATCGAAATAATGAGATAAAAAGGAAAAGATATCTATCTGTAGTATTTTAAATGATGGATTAATTTCGATAAAAACTCTGTATAGCGCGCAACACTAGCGACTACATCGGCAGTAGTAAAAGTTGGGCTCAAAAGGACTTGTGTCCAGAGCCGTAAAAAACAATAAAAAAAAAAATCAGCAGACGTACGTTTAACTCGGTTGAGTTCGGGTTTGCTCGGATTTCTTTGCACCTTGTGTGAGAAAATACGCACCACGTTTCTATAATTATTACAAAGTTGATAATAATCTATTTTATCTTGTAGAATTATTTTATTGAAGTAAAGCGGTTAAACAAATTTCTTTCATCTCCATTTTGGAACAAACAGTCAAAATTGTTCATTAATTACTACTTAATGCCGACGATTTCTTCATCATTTTTAGTATGTGTAGCAATATTTCGTCTTCATACTTTCATCATATTCATACTAATTATATAACAAAAAAACTTATCAGTCAGTTGCGAAATAATTGATTTCCCATACATACATACATCCTCCATTAACATACAACTTGAAGGATATTTTTCACCCAAGTATTCATCCTATTTCATACCAATTAAATAACAAAACAAAACTAATCACTCATTTTAGAAATGATTAATTCTTCATACAAACTTTCATTTCATCTCCCATTAAAATAAATCTTGGAAGGAACTACCTTTCAAGTTTTATTTTGCGACAAAACCAAAAGTCTATGTTCTTCGGCAATACAAAAATTCATTAAAATTTATTAAGAGTGGATCGAGCTACAGTAGCATTTATGACATTAGTAAATATAGAAGCTAAGTATAAAAAAGTATAACTATAGTCTATTCTTTCATTTCAGAGACAAATTTGACATTGGCGGTGTTGCCAGCTATTTGCGATTCTTAAATTATTTTGTGGCAGTATCAGAAATAAATAATAATTATAGATTTTTAAAGGTTACACAGAAATAACGCGTGGGTGTTTATTTAAAAAGAAATTAACAACAAAATAATTAAACTATAGATATTAATAAATGTACGGTTGTTGAATCTAAATGTAGGTTATTATTAATTATAATATATTTCACTAAAACAAGACTAAGTGCATTTTTAAAAAACATACACCTTTACAAAATATTTAGCTAATTGGAAGAAGAAAATAGTTGGATTTGTAGTGTAATACCGTAAGAAATATTGTATGTATGGAAATAGCAAGAATGTATTTTTGTGTTGTTTACTAAAAAAACAGTAATGTTTCACTAGTCTACATACGTAAACTTAAATAATACGTCGTGGAAACTTCGTTGAAAACTGACACTAATCGCCTAGAATGAAAAATTACGATTCCACAAATCGGTATCGCAGGTACAGCACTACCCCGCTACAGCTGGTAACATTATTTGAAAGTTTGACATTTACACCTGTCAATTGAGTCTTTGAGATTAAAAAACAAGACTATAGTTCGGAAATCCGTCTCTATACTAACATTTATTATTTATTCAGTGGATAGAGTTACATTAACATTTATGGTATTAGTAAATACGGAAGTTGAGTAAAAAAGGTATATCTAGTTGGAGCTGGTGCGTACTGAGTTCGGTCAACATATCTGCACGCTGTAGACTGTTAGGTAGGTGTATAGGGCGACGCGGTGAGGTTCGTCGATGGCGGCTATTCTGGGCGGGAGTACGCCGGCGGCAGCACGTGCCATGGTCCCGAGACTTTCCGCTAGGTATCGTTTAGGGTCCTCGATACCTACAATTATAACAGTATTACAGACTTGAAACAGAAATAATCTTTATTCAATTAAACTTAATATAGCACTTTTGAAGGGTCATATTTTTTATTCTACCACTCCTTTGGAACGCTGACTCATCGCAAGAAAATTGTGTGCCCTGTAGAAAAATTATCAAGAGAACCATGGTTATATTTTGAGTTTTTAAAAAATAATGACAATCTTTTTACACGGCTTAGACCATGTACAAACTAAAGAAAAATTCTTTAAAAAAAAATCATATTTATGATTTTTTGTTGCTAACATTCCACGTGCTCTATGGTTTAGCGGTTAGACATACTGCCCTACTTTCGATGGACGCGGATCCGATTCTTCACACGGTATAAACATTTCTATTCATAGGTACGATTGTTTGTATCGGTCTGGGTGTTTCTTATGTACATGATGTACGTATATAAAAATGTATCTAAGTATTTACAGTTGTCTAGTTACCCATAACACAAGTTCTGCTTAACTTGGGACTAGATGGCGTTGAGTGAATTGTCCTAAGGCATTATATATATTTTTTATATCACTTTTATGTTCTTGTACGATAGAAGTGAGGGCGCGTAGCAATTCTTACTAGGTTAATACGTCACTGTGTAAATTATATAGAGAAAAGTATTGGTATACTGAACTTACTGGCTAGTGGGTCATTGGAGGCGCCGCGCGCGCATGCCAGCTGCGAATACTGCGCTTGATACCCGGGAGTGTCATCCACCTCGATGAAGTGGTCATCCGGCAGCGACGACTCGTCCGGCGGCAGCTCGAACAGGGATATCAGCGCCTACAATACACATGCACTTCTCATGTAATAACACACGACACCGTCCTCGCCGGCAAAGGCATCGACTCCAAACACACCAGATACGATCAAATCTCCTGTTAAATTCAAACTGGAAGGTAACAACGGCTTGAGGCGAGTATCGAACTTCTAGCAGTGGACTTAGACTACAGTCGTCATCGATCATCTTCTGACCTCTGCACTGGCCTCAATTCTGTTTGATGAAACTTTAAAGGCCACCTATAGTCACTAAGAAAAATATTTTGTAGCTTTATTATCCAATATTTCTTTACTCAAGCTAAAATAAAGTCACCCAGAATATATGTACTATATATAATTACTAATAATATTAATAATAATACGACCTCGGTGATCTAGCGGTATAGCACACCGTTTTACGTCCGATGGTCGCGAGTTCAATTCCTCGCACGGTACAAAAATATGATTGTTTATATCGGCCTGGGTGTTTTCTATGTATAATGTGTATGTATTTACAAAAAAAGACTGTGTGTATTTGTGTCATCTATCTAGTACCCATAACACAAGCTTTAGCTAGCTTAACTTGGGTCTAGATGGCGCTGTGTGAATTGTCCTGAGATTATTATTATTATTATTGTTTTTTATTATTTTTCTTCTCGGTTTCTGCCGGTATTTGGTATGTACGAGCCTAAGCCAAGTACATCTTATTATTATAATAATTATTTATTACATATTTCATTTATTAACTAATGTAAAAAAAAAAACTACATATTCGGCATACCATGATCCACAGTATTAATATAAAGTACAATTTACATAGTCACTATAACAAATAAAATGACCATAAATTATTAAATACACAATATTTTACAATAGAACAGTAATTTGTTTAAAATCATAGTCGAAACATAATTATTATAATGAGAGGTTACGAAGCGAAGCGGCGCTTCCCTGAATGAGTTTGACCTGTCAGCCGCTGCAGCGCTGCATCCATCCGTAACTGTACAGGTACTGACCTGCATGAGCGGTGGCCACAGCGCGTCAAGCGGCGGCTCCCTCAGTCGCTGCGACGTGAGCAGCTTCACGCAGCCGACGGCGGCCGCCTTGCGTTCCAGGGTGCCACTGACTTTCTGCAGGTCAGCGATCAGCACTCGTTCCATGTACATCGCGAACATGCTGGCAAACAAACATAAAATCAATTCTCTATATGTATAAAACTTATAGATGAGTTTTATTAATATTATAAATGCAAAAGTTTGTGAGTATGGATGGATGTTTGTTACTCTTCACGCAAAATTTACTGAATGGATTTCGATGAAACTTTACAGTAATATAACTTACTAGCCGTGCCCGCGACTTCGTTAATATGAAAAAGGGTTGTAAAAGGGGTTGAAAGGAGAGATGAAAGGTTGTAGTCAAAGTTACTATTTTACGCAGACGAAGTCACGAGTACAGCTAGTAGTATATATAAAACATTCGATTAAATAAATAAAGTTAACTATTACCTAGACTACCTAGATTACCTAGACTAGACTATTAACTTACTTGGTTTGTACAGACTCAATCACGTCTATAAGTGATTCAGCGCCAAAATGTGCCGCATAGAAGCCAAGGAAAGCAATCAGTCCCCGCACGTACTTGGTGGTCTTTGAAGACGAGAGCCGTTGGAACAGCAACGTTATTATCTGTTTTGTATACGGCTGCATCACTTGCCTGCAATATTTAAGTCATTATAAACAACATTGTTATGGTAATCTTATTTATATATTTCACTAACTACACGCCCCATCTTCACACGGATGTACATGTATTATATATATATAAACCTTCCTCTAGAATCACTAAAACACATTAAAAAACCGCTCTCTCAAACCATTGACAAGACAGCGACAGCGACTTTATTTTATACTACGTAATGATGAAGGAAGGTGTTACATATGAATGTGGATGGTTATAAGGGCAGAGGAAGACCGAAAAAGAGATGGATGGACTGTGTGAAATATGATATGGTAAAGGGAGTAAATAGCAAGATGACTGCGAACAGGGATGAAAGGAAGAGAAAAACATTACGCCGACCTCAAATAAATGGGATAAGGAAGAAGCAGATTGTAATCTTATTTATCCATTTCATTTCAATGCACACAATAGTAAAGGTAGTACAGTACATTTGGCGGACTTAACATCATGTCGCATTTTCTACATCTTTCTTCACCAGTCAACCATAGTTGGTGCAGAGAATAATTATTGGCTGTGCAAATATAATTAATCATAAAGCCATATCTTATATATAAAATTCTCGTGTCAGTTTTCGTTCCCATACTCCTCCGAAACGGCTTGACCGATTTGCATGAAATTTTGTGAGTGTATTGAGTAGATCTGAGAATCGGCCTGCATCTATTTTTCATCCCCCTAAATGTTAGGGATAGTCCACCCCTAATTTTTTTTTAATTTAAGGCAAAACAACGTTTGCAGGGAAAGCTAGTATATATATATATATATATATAAATCGCAGGTCCACTGTATAATATAATCCGGCCTCTGTCTTATCTTCATAATGAAGTATGATTTATACTCCAGAGTGCATATACATACATACATATATAACAGAATCTTATCATGGGATCTGTCATTTGTCGGATTACAAGATACTCTTTTATAAAAAATTCCGGACTATAGGAGACCCTAAGTCAGAACAAATTACATCAGCTACCTGCAAAAAAACTCCCGTCAAAATCGGTCCAGCCATTTCAGAGATTGCCGGAACAAACAGACAGACAGGCAAAAAATGTAAAAAAAGTTATTTTGGTGTACCATAATAATATATTAACTATAATATATATACTAACTATATAACTATAATATATACAATATATAATATATACAAATATATTGCCCTGCAAATCTTTGTATAACCGGGGGACTGTAAATTTAGCTTTCAGGACATTTCGCCATCTATGGTATTATATGAACTAGACAACTAATATAACTACATAGATATATTCTCTTTTGCAAATACATACATAATATATATACATAGAAATCACCCAGATAGATACAATCATACTTATGAATGCAAATATTTGTATTGAGGAATCAAACCCACGACCATCGAAAGTAAAGTGGTTGTTAAACCGCTACACCACCGAGGCCGTCGTGAAATATAAGTGAAAATACTTACTCTCCAAACTTGAAAAACATCGTCTGTATGAGATAGAAGCCTTCATGATCATTCGTCTTCGAAGCTATTAGTTTTTGGAACACTCCTAGTATTGCATTCTGAAAAAAAAAAACGATAATTTAGAGAAATTTAAATAGTTCATACAAGGGGAGAGAAAGGGATTATTAGTAATGTTATTTATACATCTATACATATAAATAAAATTGGAATGTCTGTTTGTAATAATGACATAACCGTTTTTTACTACATGCATATCAATATAAATATGGTACATACACCAAAATAAGACTTTTTACAATTTTTGTCTGTCTGTCTGTTTGTTCCGGCTAATCTCTGAAATGGCTGGACCGATTTTTTTTTGAGCTGACTCATCCTTAAAACTTAGGGTTATAAAATTAGTTATAAACCTATTCTCAGACCTACTGAATATACATATAAAATTTGATCAAAATAGGTAAAGCTGTTTGGAAGGAGTATGTACTTTTTCCTTTATATATAGTGTACCATAAGCGCAAAAACAGTTTTATCTATCAATCTGGAATAAATGATTTGATATCTACCAGTCTGCCCGACTGCAGTACTGCGTCGGGCCGCGCGGCTATGAAGGCGCACAGGAGTCGAACCAGCGGTCGCACGTTGGCAGGTCGCTGCCACAGCGCCGGCGCCACCAGGCACGGCAGCAGCACGCAGTACGGATCGTTGGCATCCGCCCCGCCGCCTCCACGCAGCTCCAGCAGCAGCGACAGCATTTGGAACACGTACGGCATGAACTCTGTCGGGAAAAAGCTTCTTTAGCACTACCACACTTAACTACAGATGCCCTAATGTTGGAGACGATTAAGAGAGCGCGGGAAGACCTGCAAGCACAATCGTGTGTGAGTGTGATATCATCTTGCTATTATTTTTATCACCCTTTCGCACATGATAAAGTATGTTTCAAGTCATTGTTTTATTTTCTTATTCACAGATTATATTTTCCAAAGACACATATCATAAAGGGCGAAATCTACTTAGGGGTCTACCGAATTATATTACTCAACTAAAAAAATACACCGACCAAAAACAAGCGACCAGAAATTCCACGTTCCTTGCGATACCGCAACGCGCACTTGGGTGGGTTGATTGATCTCAGGGTTGCCAACCTTATGATAGATTTTTTAACATTCTATATATTTTTTTATATTCTAAATATCGTTTCAGTGGGGACTGGGGGCCCTTTGTATCCTCGGGGCCCTGGGCTGCAGCCCAAAAAGCCCTTAGGTTTAGTAGATATGCTCCTGATCATACCCATACCCTGCTCCTGATCATACCCCTCAACACCATGTAATTCTACTTAAATATACTGTGTACCTCAAACTGAAATAATTTACAAGCTATGTAGCTTGATGGCAGTATTATAGAGATAAGAGTATATAAACACATACATAGTTTACTTCAGTCAAATTAAAAAAATACAACATTTCTAAGCAATGTTCGTTCAACCTGAGTGAAACATACTTATTTTTATTTTTTTTATAACACAGAGGACAAACGAGCATTCGGCTCACCTGATGGTAAGTGATTACAGTCGCCCATGAGCACCCGCAACACCAGAGGAATTGCAAGTACGTTGTCGGCTTTTTAAAAATAAATAAGCTTTTTCTTGAAGGTTTCAACATCGTTTCAATATATAACTAGTATAGTAAATTAAATTCCTACCTTGCACGTCATTCTGTAATATCTCCTGGAATATCGGGAACAACGCGTCTTCAAACGCCGATATAGCACTCGGATTTGCTTTTGTTACCAACCTGAAAATAATTTAGTACGTATATTAAGTTAATACATTAAATTTGACAAAATATGTAATGTTTGATATTTGTATGCACATAACTCAATATTATGAATAACAGTCAGGTGTTGAGTTGTGTGTTCCAGACAATTATGTATGGTTTCGCCGTCGACAACGTCGCAACTGCTGGCTGTACCGCGCGGGGCCACACGTACGTAATGTAATTTAATGTAATGTAGATTGGACTCCATTTTCCGCAATTGGCCTCTCATTTGGGCCATTGTGCGTTGAGCCACACGTACGTACATTAAACCATATAACGGAGCAAATAGATCTATTTTCTAATTCTCAGAATAAGTTCACGAAGATCGCTTTATCTATTATAAACAACAATTAATTTAAAAAAATAATGTTTGCTGCACTACTGTATCAGGCTAAGACCTGTAAAAATAGATGTAAGTGTGGAAATAAAGTAAACAGATACAATAGGTACACATTTATACAATAGGTACACATTCCAGACAATATCAATCCTTTCAGTATTTATGTGTAGTCCTGGCTTCTGAACTAGCATTAGCCGTATGACAGAAGCCAGTTCCTTCCCAATACATGTACTTTTATTATAGAAGGATGAAAATTATTATAACATGATATATATAAACAATATTTTATCAATAGATACATATTTAAAAATCTAAATTATAAGAAAAACAAAGGTGTTGAAATAAACATAACATTTTGCACTATATTGTGTGTGTCTTATGTCCAAGTATGATGTAAGTGTGTTTATATGTATGTATGATGGATATGTAGGTGAGCGTGCATGTACGCATTTGATGCGTGTGTTTAAGTAAAAAAAAAAATATATATTAATCTTTGTGATGTTAACAAAGAATATTACTGTACATTTAATAAATTTTCCGTATCATCGTATTGTAGCTGATTTAACCATTGTTTAATTTTATTTTTAATTTGATATTGAGTCATACTTTTTGGGTTTACAACCTGACTAAACACATTGTATAGTTTTGGCGCAAGATACTGGTATTGTTGACGTGCAAATTTACTTTTGACCCTAGGTACAGGATAACGATTAAGTCTTTTATTGTTGTTGGATATAGATGATGCACTTCCATGGTATCTACGAATACATTGGTATATATATAGTTTGCGAACAGAGAGGACATTGGCTAGTTCATATACTTTGTATGTTGGATGCCTAAACGGTAGGCATAGCAGTACCTTTAGTACAGCTCTTTGTACACGTTCAAGTTCTAATAAATACGTCTTAGCAGCTGCTCCACGAACAAATACAGTAGGTAAGTAGACAACTAACGCTTTGTACAGCTGAATAATAGTTTACGAAAGTATTCGGAGTTCTTTAAATAGATATATAAAAAACTCTTTTGGAAAGTGTGGATATATGTTCTTTCCAATTTAATCTATCATCAATGACTAACCCTAAATACTTTACATTGAATGCTCTTTCAAGTATAGAACAATCACAAGATTTGTTTTCGTTCTGACTAGAGCGATTACACGGAAAAGAATGTAGTTTTAATCGTAAATCTCCTGGTGAGCCCCTGTTTGTTTTGCTAAAGCAGAGATATTTCGTTAAATAAATAAAATCAGGAAAACTTTTAATTAAAAACTCTATATACCAGATATCATTTTGACGCCTCTTTCAAGAGCTTCACTCTTTAAAAATACCTTAGAAAACCTTAGGCAAAACTTAAGCCTATAGTTTTTCTTAAGGTCCGTAATGTTTCCTAAAGTGGCATAGGTGGTACTGAGTGAGTAATAACTGGTGTAAAAAAAAAGGTCAAATACTACTAAATAAAAATAAATGATTAGCTGTTTCAAAATATTATTTTGCGCCATTTGTTTTATGCTTCTGTTGGAATTTTCAAACAGTTTTTAATTTTTCGTACCGTCCATAATCATACCATAATTTGACGTGTTCACATACTGACTAGAATGAGAGCATAAAATACAATATCAGCAAAAACTACGTCACTTACGTTACTGATAATGACAGAGTCTCGAAGAGGTAGTGGTTGAAGTGCGGTTTGCTTGGATTCTTGGCGACGATAGATAACATCTGGGCCAGTTTGGGCAACGCATCGCCTAAATACTCGAGTGCTGCATCTTGCAGACACGATAACGTGCGTAGAATTGCTGTAAATAACATTGAGTTGTTGATTGATTGAAATTGAATGATTTTATAGATACCTTTGGTGAAAGAGATTTCATTTATTTTATATAAAAACCCAGGGCTATATTAAAACTAAAGTAGAAACAATTTATAAAACTATACCAAATAGTAGAAAATGTACGTACATTTAGATGAGACTGTATAAAATATGTAAAGCTAAACAGAGCGTATGTTATGGGTACTAGACAACTGATATAAATACTTAAATACATATTTTGTAAATATATACACACCATACATATATAATATGTACAGAAAACAACCAGTGCAATATAAACAATCATACTCATACACATATTTGTAAAATTAATGAAAAATACAAATGTACAAAAATGTTTGTACAATGCGAGGAAATGAACAGAAAACACCCAATCAAATCAACAATCAAATTTATAAATAATAAAACAAACATATCTACTCATACAAATATTTGTAAAATTAATGACAAAATGCAAATTTATATAAATGTTTGTACAATTTTAGAAAATGTACAGAAAACACCAATATCAACAATCATACTCATGAATATAAATAGAATAGAATAGAAAATAATTTATTTAAATAAACTTAATTTAAGCACTTTTGAATAGTCATAATATTTTGTTTATCTACCGCTCGTTCGTGTTGCTCTTTTAAATAATCCTTATAAGTTTACATTTACAAGTTGAAACATGTGAATACAAACTACCAACCAGCACTAACTTTTTTTGGGTCAAATATAAATATATTAAATATTATAAATATAAAATGTTTGTACCATCGGAATTAAAATTAAAATTCAATAATCATTTATTCATGTAGGACATTTTAGCCGCTTATGAACGTAAAATTTTTTATATTATAAATTTTTCCTTACCATCCAGTTCAGTATCTAGATCCAATTAAGAAAGAAACTTAAATGTTTTTTTTAAAACCAGTTTGTTTACAATGTATATTTATATAGGTGTCTATGTCTAACATTAAATGAAAATCCCGTGCATGAACAACAATTGCCATGCACGCTCATCATTCAAGTGATCGTTTAGTGAATTAGGCTTTAACAACTAAACCGCTAGACCAGCGAGTCCGTCGACCTCACCTTTCATGACGTACTCGTTGTGCGCGGCGGGGTCGCTGCCGTCTCTCAGCGACGTGAACAGCGCCGCCAGCAGCGACCGGGCGTGCGGCTGCAGCGCGGCGGCCGGCACCATGCCGCCTGCGATCAGCTTCTCAGCGCAGCACGCCGCGTACGTGCCCACCACGCCGCCCACACCCACGTGTCGCACCTGCGCATATCACATCACTATACTCGTACTATTACTGCTCGTCTACTCTCCTATAGCCCTATAACATTGTACTATGCTAGCCGGCGGCCGGGACCATGCAGCAGCATCTCTTCTACGAATAAGTCCACGTTTGCTCACGTTGTCTCTAAATTATATTATCAATGTATAGGTAATAAATGCACGAAAGAATATATATCAATCAAATAAAAATATCATCTCTAAATATATATAACTCAAAGGTGACTGACGTGGTGATCTATCAACGCACAGCCCAAACCACTGGACGGATCGGGCTGAAATATGGCATGCAGCTAGATGTTATGATGTATGATGTAGGCATCCGCCAAAAAAGGAGTTTGATAAAATTCTGATTGAACTACCCCATGGATTTTGATAAAATAAGGGATGATGCGGGATATACATGTATTAGTTTGACCCTATCACCTACCTAATGGAATGAATAAATTAAGACGAACAAAATAAATTTTAGTTCTTTAGGCTACTTTTGTTTTAGAAAAATAAAGTTAAATTCCACGCGGACGAAGTCGCGGGAACAGCTAGTTATTCATGTAGGTCTATTACAGACTTATGATATGTCAAATCTACCGTCCGTTCGGAGTGCTTCCAAGCTGAGAAGAATGGACAAGAATATTAGTTTTTACTCTTTTCAAATGAGATCATACATGTTTACAAATTCATTTTTAAATTTCAATTTAGGAGAATGTAATGACCACCCGCATGCTATTGCAATTAGACTAATCAGTGTCTGTAACCCGAACAGATCTGTCTCCACAAGCAGCACCTATTCCCAAGTATGACAGATGAACCAGCCGTCATTGCACGATATTAGAAGGAGCACATTCAGTATCTGTAATTCCTTAAAATGCGAAGTTAGCAAATACCTACGATTTTCGGCTAACATTTACGACGCGGCAAGAAATTTAAAGGACTACAGTTCACTTGCATTTAAATTATTATTGAATGCCAGAACAGTAGCAACTCACCAATAATGGTACCGTACTGATGATTAGGTCTTTCGGCAGCAGCGTACGGAACGTCATTATGTATTTAATTGCGTCCGCTTTCAGCACCGGTAGTTCGTTGACTGTAAACAAAAAAATATATGTCAAAATTACTTTTTTTACTTTTTTATTACTTTTATTTTAGGTTCTACATAGATTACCTATTAGACCAAGTTTTAAGCGTACCTGTACCACCTATTTTCGATCGTCACGACTTATTATTAGAAGGAAATAACAAACAATCAATTGAGTTAGGGGTAAAAGTATTGGTAATAATGTGGACAAATAACTCCATTGCTAACAATGTACTGTCAGGTCGACTTCCACGCGGTTCTCCTGTAAACCATCGTGGTATATTGCCAATTATCAAGATGACTTAATGACCTGACTTCATGTTCATTTTATCATCGTCCACTGGTCCCCGGCAGAGAAACCGTTAGAGAAGGTGTGTGCAGCATTCCATTATAATTAAAAAAACTAGTTGATCATCCCCAAACTATAATCTTCGGTATTATTGCATAAAACGGTTCTAGTCAATCACTTGATAATGAGTAACATCGTTCACAATGCAGCTGTTACGTAATTATATATTTCCGTTTAAGTTAATAATTCCAATTCCTAGGCTAGGCTGCGGATGATTGCGTAAGCGGACCCACGAGGATGTCGCCCAATCGCGGTGAGTGGAACATTGCGCGGTTTTAGTGGGTAAAAATCCCAAAATACCCGTACACACTCTCATACAAATGCGGGAGGTTCTGTTTCGAACATTTCCCCTCCAAAAAATAAAGGCTAGAGAGGCCGCCTGGTCGTGTGACGTCACCGGTGACGTCACACAGTTCACAGTACACGTACCGTCTGGCCGCTGCAGCTCGGGCAGCGCGTGGTGCGCGGCGAACTGCGCCAGGTCCACCAGCGGCGAGGCGCGCGTCACCCCGGCCGCCTGCGTGGAGCCCCGTGCGGCCAGTGACGTCACCAGGTACATGGCCGCGTCCTTGCCTCGCCACGCCTCCGCGCCGCTCTCCCCGTACCGCGTCAGCATCACCTGCGCACGCGCACGTTTATTACTTTATCCCCCGTCCAAATCAAACGGAAATCTTACGACGGCCTGAGCCTAGGTTTGAGCTCCTAGCGGTGCCCTCAGACTAAAGTCGTATCCGTCAGGCGGGAGCTGGCCTTCAACCGCGGCATAAGTCCTTCATATGATATAAATAATCTATGTAAGATTTTCTTTGATTTGATTTTAAATGATGCATTGAAATGTTCTTAGATACAAGATATTAGTAGACTAAAATGGTATATAAAATGCAAGGCAAGCGCGGTAACTGCCGCGCCGTACCAACTCGAAAGGAGACTTCTGGATGAATTCAAAGAAATTGTTGCGAAAGACGTAAATATAATAAGTTCATTAAATTCCCGTAAAACGTCAAATCATCTAATACATGGATGGAGTCTATTCTAAACCTGACACTGGCACAAAGTCATCACAGTGTAAACCATAACATAAAAAATAAGAATAATATATGTATAGTGTAACGCGGCTAACATAATAAAAAAGAAGAATATACACTTAGCGTGGCTCACCTGCACGTATTGTCCGAAGATGTTCATAATCTTCTCCTCGTAGTGGACGGCAAGTGTGCGCACCAGGTCGCAGGTAGACCGTCGGCGGGTGTCCACGTCTGAACCTTCGATATCTCGTCGTACGTACTCTTCAGGGTTGTCTTCGAACAGCTCCATGTCCGACTCTGGAGACAATTTCGTTTTATAGAACCTTTTTTTTTAATTTTGTACTATTGTTAGGTGCGAACTACATACATATATTGTGTCCTTATTCAGAGTTTGCTACCTGTCGTGCACAAGAATTGAAGGATATTCTTCGAAGCGTTGGTTTTTATCTCTTCAGGATAGAGAGTAAACTTTCCAAATGAGATATTTCGTTTAAGCATAAGTGGACGACAACCACATAGTATGTGTACTGGTAATGTAGTGTCAAAAAAAATTGCAAGTGTGGCGGGATTATCCAACACTGTAAAACCGGGCCAGTTATATAATAAGTTATAAAAATTATACATACCTCTAAATTCCAAGTTGGGTATGACAACCTTCTCGCATATACTACTCAATGTGGCAGGATCCTCAAATAAGCTTTTATAACTATTTTTCTCTGCAATCTTCGCCAAGAATGTGAGTGCATTGGACACTAACTGCGGTAATAAAAAAAAAAAAATTATGAAACAAAAGTGCAACCAGAAAGACTTTACATTCCAAATAACTATTGTAGCAATATTTTTTTCACACAATTCCATATAGTTTAAACCCTAAGTAGATCTAGTGTTATTGGTACTAGACCACTAATTGAAATACAATAGACACATTTTTTAACAACCTCATTGCTAACAATGCACCATGTCAGGTTGACCTACACATGGTTCCCCTGGAAACCATCGTGATAAGTTCATGGTGTATATACCACGATGGGCTAACTGACCTGAGTACCTGACCTCATACTCATCTTATCATCCTCCACTGGTGTCTCGCCAATATAAACTGTTACCGCAAGCGGGTGTACCATTCCATTATCAACTAAAAGACTGTAGAGCTATTCTGTGAAACTCGATAGCGACTGTATTTCCACATGCTCGAGAGGGGGGTGGGGTAAAATAGGTACTAATGCTTTTTTTAGAAATATATTATATTATATTTATATTTGCGATGAGTGAAATTAGTTGATAAAACTCTTATAGAATAAGACTACTGTACTTAATCTATATGGGAGCATCACTAAGTGGTAAACTTACAGCATCATATTTAGGTTGAGGGCCAGTAGACAGTAGTACAGTCCAGACCGCAGTGACGAAGGATTGTGCGTGTGGGCCGAACTCTTCTTCATATTTGAGGGCATACAGCGCTGCGCACTCACAGACCTCTGTACGAAGTTGTTCCAGAACGCCAGGGTTCTCGTCCTCATCCTGTTCATTTAGAACACCAATTTTGAAGTATAATATAATACCATCATCTGCTTCTTCCTTATCCTATTTATTTGGGGTCGACATAATAGGTTTTTCTCTTCCATTCAACCTTTTCGCAGTCATCTCATTATTTACTCCCTTTCTTACCATATCACCTTTCACACAGTCCATCTATCTCTTTTTCGGTCTTCCTCTGCCCTTATAACCATCCACATTCATAAGTATAATACAATACCAATACATATAATAACACGTCCATTAACGTGAATGTCTCCTAATTTTTTTTTTTTTTTGTTGTCTGAACTCAGTGTGTATCTAAAATACAGGTCTTTTTATCGAGTACATCTGTGTCCGATATAGTGGAGACAGAGTTGCGTCAGGTATGCTTTGCAATATACAGTTGTGAATATATGATTGCTTTATTACAATACAGGTATATATATTTTAGAAACCAACCAACTGGAACCAACCAAGCAACCAGCTGGACAATTTACACAGCGCCATCTAGTCCGAAAAAAGGTAGAGCTTGTTGCTGACAGAGTTTATCGTTCTGTTTTTAAAACTTTTTTGATGGTCTTTTTATATGTCAATTTGCTCATTGTATTGTTTTTTGTAAAAGGCAGACAGAGCTTCTACAGGTCCTAAACAACTAATAGATATACTTAAATACATTTTGTTTATAAATACAAACATAATATCTGTAGAAAATACCAGAACAATACCAACAAATGTTAATATAATACAAATGTTTATGTAGGTGCGAGGAATCAAACCCAAGCCATCAGAATGAAGGCAGTAAACATCTTAGCTTATACATTTATAATATTAGTATAATTTCTTACACTAGTCTCCAAGCAAGGTACTTTGACTTGCAAAAGGTTTAACAGATTTGGCATCCATATAGGCATGCTGTCTTCGAAGAACTCTGGCAAATCTTGATAGTTCAGTGAGTAGAACACCTTACAGATCAGGACCAGGGAACCATAGATGACCCGTAGCGCTTGCTGGTTGTCTGCGTGTTTAGTTGCTAAGTCTAGTGTAGCCTGTAACAAAACAATTAAAAATATTACTGCATTTAAACTAGTTACTTTGTAAAAAGTAAAGAATGGTAACACAGTTTTGACTATTTCAGCAGCCAATCAACTTGCTTTGTTTTGGTTGAGATAAGTTAGTAAAATTACAGTACATTGTAAGGTTTAGACCGGACTGTCTGTGCCAACGACATATTTTTTTTTTTTTTACCGATTCCTTTTCCTCTTTTTAAGAGTTTGGGTTATTACTTAGTGCTAAGGATTCTTCCTTAAAAAACTTTTTTTTTCCAACAACTCTAATGCTGTTGGCTGCATCTGGCCTTTACAGCTAAACCGGACGATATCGCCGCCTCCGCCTCCTATCTCTCGCGGAAGGACTTATGAAGCGGCTGAAGGCCAACTCCCGCCTGACGGATACAACTTTAATCTGAGGGCACCGGTAGGGGGTTCGAACTTCGGCTCAGGCCGTCGTAATTTCGATCCCCGTTCGAATTGGGCGGGGGATCGATCGGGGATATGAGAACTATATGAATAAAAATTGTATCAAAATTGTCTAATAAAAATTCTGCGATATAGTTGGTATAACTTACCATAAACAAATCTGTTAACGGTTTGGCGAAATTATCAAGAACATGTTTTATTTCTTCCCATAGCTTTTGTGATTTGAATTCAAATCTGTATCTCTTGAACAAAGAATGAGCTGTTCTCAGTACACCATTGATGACGTGGAAATCACCTGAAAACAGTTTGTAGATTAAAATATTGTTATGTGTATCTTATGTAAAGTATTAACAAAAAAAATAATTAAGTATTTATATCAGTTGTCTATTACCCATAACACAAGCTCTACTTAATTTGGGACTAGACGGCGCTAAGTACAAATGGGCTCGATCGTATAGTTCTAAACACTAGACTATCGAGGAACACCGATTTACTTCCGATGGTCGCGGAGTCGATTCTTCGCACGGTACTAATATTTGTATTAATGAGTATGATTGTTTGAATCGGTCTGTGTGTTGTCTACTGCAAACACGCAGACCGATTCAAACTGCTGCTGATATTGCGTGTTTTTTACAGCTTCACCGGACGATAGGGGGCAAGTGCAGATGGCACTCCAAACCCACGGAAGGACTTATGCAGTGGCTGAAGGCCAACTCCCGACATGACTTTAGTCTGAGGGCACCGCTAAATCAAATCCTCGGAACGGTGAGGTCGCTCCGAGAAGCCTGCGAAGACACCAGGAGACTTCTGCGCTTCTGGGAGGTACTTGGCTGGCTACGCTAGTAGCCTGGCTCTACACGCACAACGGCCCGAATGAGAGGCTAATTGCGGAAAATGGAGTCCAACCGACATTGACATTGACATTGAGGGCACCGCTAGGAGTTCGAACTTCGGCTCAGGCCGTCGTAATATCGATCCCCGTGTGAGTTGGACGGGGGATCGATCGAAGGGACTGTTCATGTATGTATGTAAGTTACCGTTTACCATCAGGTAATTGATTGCCATTACTATTACAAAAAAAAAATGAATGCTCCAACAGTCTTTCATTTATACTATTTATAGCTTAACCACAGACTCACCTGTAGCAAATTTCTCAACCATTTCTGGTATGAGAGTCGGCCATTTTTCCGGGAAGTCATATTTGCCGATAATTGAGACAGCATCACTGAACTGTCTCTGTATAGCTTCCGGTGACTTCAACATCAGTGATACTATGAGATTTTTTATTGCTGTACGATCTGATTCATGTATTCTATCTCCTTCATACTCCTAATTGAAATAAATAAGATTTAGAAATAAACGTTTAACAAACTTCTTAAAATATATACACAGATAGAGTTAAGGATAGTGGGATGCAATTCTTCATTGAACCTACCTATTGAATCCCATATCAACAAGTTAATTATCAATGTTTGTATGATAAACAAAGAACATTTAATAATGCACAGGCTATATTTTTTATTGAAATTTAACGCGCGCAACCGCAGGCATAGTTAGTAACAAATAATACTGATATATACTCATACATATTGTTTACATTTCATTGGGTAAATTGGAATACAAGATTACAAGTCAGGCCTTACAACCATTTTTTGAATTAATTCAGTTTGTTATTCGTGTTTCCATCATTGGAGTCAGTAATATTAATGTCGTAAATGTTCGAATATGACTGAATAAAACTTACATACTATCAAGTTTTATTCAGTCACATTCAAAATTTTTTTTTAAGTAGTAGTGTAGTACTAGGTAAGTACGTAAGTAAAGGGGAGGGGGGGGGGGGGGAAGTTGGGGGAAGTTCTGAGCGGGTAGGGTGATCATTACAGTCTAACCTAACCTAACCTACATTTAGTTTTCGACTATTTATTTTCTATTGCGGGGATACCCCTTGGGCTGTATTCGAAATATATAATAAACTTTAAAGTAATTCAGTTAATAACATATTCGAACTTATACAGGAGACCTTTGACCTTTGATGTCTAAATCCGGTAGTCAACGACTGGGCGACAAGATCTAGTTATCTATACATGTAAATAAAATTGGAGTGTCTCTTTGTAATGTTGAAATAACTGTCTTTTAAAACGTGCATATGAATATAAATACGGTACATATACCAAAATATTTTTTTTTAATATTTGTCTGTCTGTTTGTTCCAGTTAATCTCTAAAATGGTAGGACCAATTTTGACGGGATTTTTATTGGCAGATAGCTGATGTAATAAGGAGTAACTTGAGCTACTTTTATTTTAGAAAAATAAGTTAAATTCCATGTGGACAAAGTCACGGGGACAGCTAGTTAGTAATATAGACTTACCACAGGCCAGTTCCTTTTTATATAGTTCTTGAAGGCTATAGCAGCGGCCACTCGGATGGTCATGTCTGCAGCTTCCTTCTCTATAAGATGCAGCAACAGTACAGCATAGTTCTGGTTCACCTCGACACCCTCAAGGAATTTCTCAGCTGTAATTATATTTTTTTTATTACACATGTTATTTATTTATTTATTTATAACCTTTGTGCTGATGATAAGTTGGAGTTGGTTTTGTTTATTAATTACTGGCTACTCACCCTGGCTTCGCCCAGGTGTACATGTATTATATATAGAAACCTTCCTCTAGAATCACTCTATCTATTAAAAAACCGCTTCAAAATCCATTATGTAGTTTTAAAGATTTAAGCATACATAGGGACGGACAGACAGCAACAGTGACTTTATTTTATATTATGTAATGATTTCTCTACCTAGGCTCATCAGCTTGTCCAGACATAGGCCTCCTCCAAAAGAGTAAGATATGTTTCTTTAAATCAATTTAAAACATCTATTGAATTATATTACTTCTAAATATATATAACTCAAAGGTGACTGACAGTGATCTATCAATGCACAGCCCAAGCCACTGGATAGATCAAGGCTGAAATTTGGCATGCAGGTAGATGTTATGATTTTGATTAATTCTACCCCCAAGGGGATAAATTTTTGTATGAGACTTTGTCAATTTTAAACCGATCGGGCTGAGAGTTTGCATGCATAAAGCTACTATGACATAGGCATCCCCTAAGAAAGGTTTTTGATAAATTCCACCCCTAAGGGTATAAATAAACGCGAGCGAAGCCGCGAGCAAAAGCTAGTTAAATATAAAACATCAGTCATCATAGTCGTAGAATACTGACGGATCTGACAAATATTTTAATAGTCAGATCCATCTGTATTCTACAACTATGATGATCTGTTAAATCATATTGTATTTTTCATTCAATGTTAGACATAAGTAGATACCTATATAAGTGTAGAATGTAATATACTGGCTTTAAAAAAAAATTCACTTGTTTCTTGCTAGTTCTTGTTTATTCAATCTGTATATCTATACATATAAATAAAATTGGAGTGTCTGTTTGTAATATTGAAATAACAGTTTTTTACTACATGCATATGAACACAAATATGGTCCATACACCAAAATAACATGTTGTACAAATTTTGTCTGTCTGTCTGTTTCTTCTGGCTAATCTCTGAAATGGCTGGACCGATTTTGATGGTATTTTTTTGGCAGGTAGCTGATGTAATAAAGTGTAACTTAGGCTACTTATAGAAAAAAAAAATTCCAAAAATAAAGTTAAATTCCATGCGGATGAAGTTGTGGGAACAGGTAGTACTGAATATGAACGGTAGAAAGGAAATTAATTTAAAAAAATGTATTTTTATGAATGCTTAAATATGTTATGTGACTAAATGATTTTATATTTGAGCTTACAACCTTTTGGTATCACCGCAGATCACACATAATGATATAATTTGGCACATTAATCTGAATTCAAACTAAATATTGCCCATATTTGTATAAGTGTAATTGTGTGTGATATTAGAAAGATTACTAGCGTACTGTGGCAAAGACCATAAGACAGGAACCCATGAAAAACACTGGAGGAGGTCTTTGTGTCTAAAGAGCATGTCGATTCCGATGAGTAGAATTACTAATAACATACTTATAACTAATATTTACTACCTTATTTATTACTACTTGTACTAAACATATATTTTGAGAAATACAAAATTTTCATACTTATATTGTACGGGAATTGAGTCATAAACATGTAGTATGACAAGTTCATATAGACATGTAGTATCAACTATGATATTTCGCAATATTATAATATATAACAGTTAATTTAATAGTAATTAATACATACAACATATAAGAACAGAAAACAATATTTAATTTTAATACATACCGGGTCTTCTGACATTTGGATCGGGGTTTAATGTTTGCTGTAAATAATTGGCCAAAGTTGCTAAATTATCTTCTGTCACCTCCATTTTCTTGTGTAAATTAAATAAGAAAGATAATTAAAAGTAATATTGCGATATTATTTTTATTATTATAAGAAAAAACGGTTCAGACCACGCAGTGATATACAATACAGCTGCGTTTTTTGACAATTTCGAATATTTGACGTTACTTTTTTTTTGTTTTGTATGGCTCTGGACTCCAAGTTGACATTATCTATGTACTGTATTTTATCTATGGTGTTAAGATTGTAATTACAAATGTGTCAAATACTATTTTTTTTAGTAATTTTATTGTACTATTATTTATTAATAATAATGTTAAAACTTTAAAATTTTCGTGCGTTAAAATTGCTTCAAATTAGTCTTAAACAGTAGTGCTGATTCCAGTTACATACAAAATTCTTAGAAAATTCCAGCGATATATGTCAAAGTCAATGATCAATGACTCGGTCTTTCTGATCTGTGCTCATTTCAGATCATTTCTGATTTTCTGTGAATGACACATTTCGTCTTGAAACATTTTGTATTTTCTTTCCTTACATATTTATTTTCGTTATGTAGCCGTATATTCGTAGAGTCTAATATTTCGTATATTATTTTACATACCAATTTTTGCGATCTTACGTACATTAATATTTTCACGGGAGGAAACTAAACGTTTTGTATCTAGAGATACAAGTCGTCGTTGTGTGATTTTATAGGTTAGTTGTTCTGGGGTATATCGCTGCGTCGAAGTTGCTACGTAAAAGATTATCGTTTATTGCTTTCAATAAGTTGAGGTTCGCCACTTCCTAAATTAGTTAGTGGGCATATCCTCACATAATCCTTTCTCATATTTTTTTTATCTTACAGTCTGTAAGCGCCGGTCAAGTGTTTAACATTTGCATCGACCCGTTACGGTTTGATGCTTTTTTAAGGCAAGTGTTGTCTGTCACAATATTTATTCCAACACTAATGTTCTCTTTAAAAAATATATAATAAAATTATTAGTAGTGAAATTCAATATATATAAACTATAAAAGTATACGGCCAGTGGCTGTTGCAGGTGTTGCAACTTTGTCTTGTTCCTATACCTATTACAATCTTAATTAGAAAGTATTCAAGGACACAAAATAGGAGAAAAATAATTACAGGGGTGTACAGAAGAAAGAAAGAAGAATGGAGAAAATATGGAGAAAATTCTGTATAATCCAAACACATACAGTTAAGTACTCTTCATTTTCCAAGCTCATTCCAACGTCATAGAAGTAGAATTTCACCTGATAGGATTATCTTTTATCAAGTTCAGATGAGAAATGCACACATGTAATGTTAAGGATTCATGTAGTTGTTTTTTTTAGAAGAACAAGTTGCAAATTTTACAAATTTTTGGATGGGTATGATAATTTCTTTGGATTCTTCCACTCCTTTCTTTACTATCAGATTTAATAATGAGCCATACATCTTAAATGGACAATATGCTTAAATTCTTCATGAAACAAAGTTAGCAGTTGAAGCGTTTTAATATTTGAGACCTATAAAATCAAAATAAATCCAATCAAATAACCAGTAAGCTACAAAAATCAATAACTTTGTTCAGGTAGCTACAATTTTCTATATTTTAAGACAGATTTATAAAGAATGTGAATAAGAAATAATCTGAATTTTAATTAATAACACTTTGAGTACAGTGTGAAAAAGTAGCATTTAGCTGGCTTTGATTCCAACTATAGGATATTGCTGTATTTGATTCTGAGTAAATGGATATAACTGAATTTGATAATGAAAGATGCCATTTTGAGTTCTGCGGATTAGTGATGTTATTATAAAGTAAAAACAATAACAGTATATTAGTTTACAAATTTTAATCAATTTTCTATTATGTTAAATAATTGCATTTACTTATAGTTTTATTCATAAGACTTGTGATTCTTCTGCCATTCCTTCACAAAAACTTTCTTCTAAATTTTGATTTCCTTCAACAGATGGCCCTCTAATAATACCTAAGTAAAATTGTAAGTCTTCTCTTTCTTGCCATTCTAATCCAAAATGTTTTGTCAACAATCTCTCAACATCAGTTATTTTTGGACACAGGCACTACCGTTGGAATAGTGGTAGGTTGGACCATACTTGTTTTTATGCCAGTTTTGCAGACATTAAAGGCTTTATTTGAATCTGAATAATAAAACTGTTCACCGCGGATAAGTGTGTTACCTGAAATCTTCAATCTTTTTATAATGAATCTTTTGCATTGGGTTATTTTGAATGGCCACTTGGAGAAAATATGTCGGCTTAAAGACTTTCTGTTTTGAAGTCAAATATAATCAAAATATCATTTAGATTTGTGACCGTCGCACTACTTGAAATGAATTCGCAATATTCTTCTGGTCGGATGATTACTTCTTGTTTCTTTAGGACTTTTTCTACATTGCCGAAAACTCTGTCCGGGGGCATAAAACTATGCCCTGGTACAGGAAATATTATTTCAATACGTTTGACAGAGACATTTTCCAATAGCCATTTAGATAGCATACTTGGCATTATGCTATCTTTGTTTTGCCCACCACATCCGTCAGCAAATAAGCGTATGATGGAGATACCTGATAAATTCGTTTTATTTTATCGATCATAGATGGCTGATGCTATTTGGTTAGCTGTTTTACCAAATTCGTTTTCTGTCCAGGTGTATGCAAAAGGTATGTTCTTATTAAGCTTGTCTTTAGAGGATCCTTGCACAATTGTTAAGTTATAGAAATATAATTGTCGGCTGTAGTAACCACTTTGGTCTGGAATTCAAGGTAGTGACTGTTTTTTTGGCAATCAAAGGAAAATGTTATTATATCGTCACAAATATATTATATGGAAACAATGCTTTGTTATAAAAGAGCATCATGTCTCTGCAACGTTTCAATATTCCGTTGGCTAAACTCGGCGACGAGGACAGTGATTTCAAATGTTGGGCATACATCACCAAGGACAACAATATTTATTGTAAACTAAAGTGAATTTGCTTTGCTCTTGGGCTATGAGTATATTAAAAAAGCTTATGGCTTTTTTAACATACTCATGGATTCTTCCACTCCTTTCTTTACTATCAGATTTAATAATGAGCCATACATCTTAAATGGACAATATGCTTAAATTCTTCATGAAACAAAGTTAGCAGTTGAAGCGTTTTAATATTTGTTGCATCATTATCTGTTGTAATGGAAATTTATTTACCTTGCAAGCAAAATTCCTGAACAATGTTTTTTACTTTCAAAACAATTTGCTCGCTTTTGTGAGGAAACGATATGATCAAATTCCGAAGTCATAGAAATCATCTCCCCATTATTAGATGTATAGTGGGCAGTTACAACTATATATTGTTTGTTAGTTATAGATGTCCAAAAATCAAATGTCAAAGTGATCTTATGCTTCAAATTTTCGATCGTATTTACAATTAGCTGTTTTTTTTCTTTGTCTAATTTTTGTGTGGAAGATGTAATTTGAAATCTACTTAGTAAACTATACTTGTTATTAAGTGCTGGTAACAATGATACAAACTCCTGTTCTTCTACTATTCGGAAAGAATGCTGGCCATGTATAATAAACTTTATCAAAAGGCCATTTATGTCCACTTGTTGATTTTTATGTTTTATTAAGGACCCAGATGACGCCTTTTCGTTTTGTTCACTCTGTATAAAATCAACATCACGGTGACGTGATTGATGCCTTTTCAAAATGGAGTGTGATGTTTTACATGGATTCTAACATTAAAAATGGTGAATTCATCATTGATGATGAAGTCGGCTGGACTTCATCCTCAATTTGAGTTTGGCACCTTTTGGGTAGTACACAAGATACACTACCATCGGAAGTGGAGTTAGTTGATTCTAGATTGTCTGGTTCTGCTAATCGTCATCATATATTAATATTATAGTCTCAACCTGCTCCGTAGTGATGCTAAAAAATGATTTGTACTGAGGATCTAAATACGTCGCAATTGTGTATTTGTCGTCTTTGATAATTTCTCCAAATCTTGTCTTGGGTTCAATTCATCGCGTAAACTTCTCGTCAAATTTTGGAATTCTTCTGAAGTATCAGGTTTCATTTCTTGTTGTTGTAATGTGATCATAAGAACATGAATCAAGGGTTTGACTGATGAAATATTCATTTGAGAACTACTGAAGTTTCTAGTAATTTCTTCAAATGGTCTCATTAATTACTCAAATTTTAAAATACACTGTCTTCAGGGGAGATCATAACAATTGGATTTGCACTTTGGTACATAACAATCGAATCCTTGAGCTTCGAAAACCTTTACATCATCTAGAATGTGCTATTCCATCTGAAAATAAAATTACTAATTATAGCTCATCTGTGTCGCCATCACTATCATAAGTGCCGATAATATTTTATGATCTATACGTCGAGCCATTATGAGACCTACAAACAAGTACAGAAACGATTAAAGTAATAAAAAAAAAAAATTATGTAGAAATAGGTACGTTTTGCATGTCCAAACTGCTTACCTTTTAGACGACGTGCCGAACTACGTGGGGTTTGTGACACCCTGCCACAATTTGCGACCGATTGTCCACTGCGCCTACGTCTCTATTACTAAATCACTTTGCGAACCGGTAATGTCGCGACGCTACGACAGCTACTTAATATTTCGTGGAATTCGCGCAGCTGTTTAACAACGATTTTTGCTTCGCTGGGCTTTACTAAACCCCACTTATACACACGGTACGGTAGGTACACGGAAGGTTATAGGCGTTCACTCGATGTTCAACTGCAATGCCTTTGATATTTCAGGTAAACAAATTCGTCAAAGTAATTGGGTTTTTATTACCAACTTTTTCGTTTTCCGTAGACTCTACGTACACCACACGATCTAAAGTATGGTTTTCAAGAAACTGACTTAGGGTTTGGTTTACATTTTATAGTCCTCTGCAATAGTCATATTATTCGGTGACATCTTTCGTTTTTTGCCGCGTTCCTTTTGTCTTTTTCCACGATCGGCAGGGTTTACCCCGTCGCTACTATTTTTTTTTCTTTACTTTGTTGACTCACAATATATATTATCAATAAGATTGGTAAATATTTTTTAAAAATTGCAAAAATGGCACATATTTGATTTTCTAATTCAACAAATCGCTGTAACATAGCAAACGTAGA